TGCGGACCCCCAGAAAAAAGCACTGTGTAGCAGTAAGGCACAACCTAGCAATCGGCGTGCTAATTATTTGTTATGTTAACATCACATCCTTGCCCACATGTGTTTTTAAGAAGAGTTTTCAAAAGTGAGCTTTTGGGAACTACAAAGCACATTGCAAGGGGTTTGGAAAGAGCCCAGAGCTGTGCTTTGAAGTCCCAAGGATCATGTGGTTGGAGGCACTTCAAAGCACTGGTTTCACCTGGCATCACTGTCATGCCAGATGACTGACACTTGGGTGGCCCCACCCATCCACCAAATTTGGACTGTGGGGATAGGGGAATAAGGACCTGATGCACCAGTAAGTTCCAGATTCCCACCCCTGATATATGGTTTAATGGGTCCAGAAAATCCTGTTGCCATCACAGAGTTCAGAGTAAGGCCTGGTAGCCAGAGCTTGTTGGCTTTTTCCTACAGTGAAAATCAGCCTAAATTTCTGTGCCTAATCCACCCTCCAGACAACCAGTTTATTGAGCATTGGTCTTCTTTGCCAGCACAGTACTTCTGCAGAGGTTAAACTTAGGCTGCACACGGTTTCCTGCATTAGTTTAACTGGCTAGTGCTTCTGTCCTGTTTTCTAATGTCCTTTTCACACTGCCCTCACCTGTTCCATCATATCTTAACCACTATACTGCCATGTTGCATTAAATGTCATTGACACTCAACAATGAGCAATGAGCATCTACAGATGTCAACTGAGATGTTCTATTTGTTTGTTTGTTGTTTGCTTGCTTGCATTTATACCTAACCTTTATCTCCGAGGAGCTCAAGATAGGATGTCTATGCTTCTCCCTCTGTTCACTTAATCTGCACAACAACACTGTGAGGTGGGTTAGGCTGAGAGGCAGTGACTGGCCCAAGGTCACCCAGTGAGATTCATGACTGAGTGGGAATTTGAACCCTGGTCTCCCATGTCCTAGTCTAACACTCTAACCACTGTACTACACTGGTTCCACCTGCCCCATATCCACTGCTGTTTCTCCATTATTCACTCCTCTCCCTCTACATCCCGCCATCCTTATGCCCTTTACCTTTCTGGTATGAATTTCAAAGCTGAGAATACTGGCACACTCTTGTCATCGGGCAAAAGAGAAAAGGTGTGAGACTTGAAATGGGCGGGAATGCAGTACACCCTCGTATGCCATCTCATGGCTCGTTATGCAAACAGCTGTGGCATGAACCTGTGAAAACAGCAGGAATGTTATCATGTGAAACTCCCATGGTTTTCTGGGTTAAGGGGGTTGCAAATGGATTTTTCCAGAACCAAATAACACAGATATGTCTGTTAAACTTGCACCATATCCCATTAGTATTCCAGAAGTGGCTTTTAAATCATGTGAAAACTCAAAATAATGTGCAAATTAACAGGTAAACAGAATAAACAGCAGAGTGAATCCAGCCTACGTCTGGTCTTTATTGAGCATTCATTCTGATTTGTTTGTGGGGAGGTTATACAACAATGAACATTCATCCTGAAATGCTTGTGTGGTGTGTATATATATCTTCCCATAAATAGTTCATTTAAGCTGCATTTCCCCATCACTTTCCCAATGGCAAAAAGCCAATTTTTAAAAAGTGAATTCATTGTGCTAGGGCGACAAAGTGGTTCCATCCTATTTTCATTGCACAAACCGAAATTTCCAGGATGCACTTGGATCCCACACACAAAATACAGTCATCCCGGAGGTGACCTGTCATGAAATGCTGTTTAGTATGCTACAGTATTGTAACAGAGATGTTAAGGTTTGTCAAATGAATGATGACTACATTGTGTTGAACTTGATTGCTTAGTAATGACTACTGATAAGGAGTTGTTTACAAGGAGATACCTGCCTAATGACTCTCTGTGAGAAAAAATTTCTTGTGTGAACATTGGTGACTGCTGAGCTATAACGACACATGCAATATGCTCCATTTCATGCTGGTGGAGCAGTTAGAAAATGGGCAGAATTAAACATTTTTCAGCTGGCTAAGGAAGGAATGGACAATTCACATTTTGCTTCAGGGTAAGGGCATGCGCAGGCAATGAGATTCCATTTGGATCTGTATCTCTGTTGCTTTGGGAAGCAGCCCAGTTTGTTCTAAGTTGCTCTGTTGTCTGTCCGACTCAATTTTTCTTTCAAGTCCAGAACAGCTTATTTAAGAATAGAGCTGTTTCCCACCATTCACTATTATAAGGAATAATAATAATAATAATAATAATAATAATAATAAAAAACTATAACTTTTTCTTCATTTGACAGAAGTGGATAAAATTTCTAGGCATAGGAGCAGAGGCATTGTGTCTTTGGCAAGGAGCTGTATCAGTGTCCCCTGTCCCTTGTGCCCCTGGCAACGAGCGATATCCAGTGACTTCCTCCATGGCCATAGGGGCTGGGTCTTCTCTGCTTCACCTCTTCCCTCCTGCACCTCCTCCTCTGTTGGTCCATCTGTCTGAGCTTGCGGACAGGCAGACAGGCTCCTGGCCTTTGAAAAACCAAAGTCTATAGGTTCCCTGCATGAAACCCCCTGGATGTATCTGTCTATAATTTGGTGGTCTTAATCCACTCTGGATGGGCTGCTGTACCTGCAAACCAGTTGTGTGAAAAGTGGGGGGGGGGGAGCTATAGTCATTTTTAGATTGCACAATATGAAGGGGGGTTCTGTTTTTTGTTTGTTTTTTAAACAGATCTAATTCTGTCATGAATAACAAAGTTGAGTTAGAAAAGCACAAGATGAGGAGATTTCACCCCTCCCATATCCAAGAATCTCCTGAGGAGTCTGCTGATTCTCCAGAGAGGAGGAGGCGTGTTCTGCTCTCTACTTATTCTGCTCCAGCACCGAGTCAGTCAGTCAGTCAGTGTCAGAGAGAGAGAGAGAGACTGAGTGTTAGAGATCGTGTGTAGAGATAAGGTTGCTGCTAAGAGCAGCTGCAGACACTCAGTGCAGTGCAGTATTCATTTATGCTTAGACCTATTTAGCTCTGTATATAGTTGTATTATAGTTGTAGTTATAGAATAAAGAAGATATTCTACAGAGCTGCTCTCCGAGCTGTTTATATACTCTGCTAAACTCTGCTGTACTCTGCTGTGCGATGACTGTCTTCTTGTGGGAGTGAATCCGGTGCTCACAACTCTAAGCTGTGAGTCCACAGCACTTTGACCTGTTCCTGTGTAGAAGGTGGTCTCTGGAAGTGCTACCCAGCTCGCCTAGCCCAGTCGGGGCTGAAGTGGATGAGTCCAGTTGGTGGCACTGGCTCAAGGGCGATGCTGACACAAAATAGCTCCAAGACAGCTTCCCAGGGCCACAGATTCCAGTCACAGCTTTTGGCCAGTGGGTTCCTCTGTGGAACCAGAACAGGACATTGGGAACAAATGGGATTGGGGTGGGAGAGCAGCTGCCCCTCTCTCGGCATCCACTGGCTGAAGTGCCCCCTTTACTTTGGTGAGGCAAGCCCTCATTTGATCAGTGCTGACGAAATGTACTACTGTGCAATTTTGTTGCAAGCCTCAGATTACTTATCTTTTCTACTTCAATACGTGTGAGAATTGTTCGCTAAGGCGCTGGTAATACCGACATGATGATAATGCAGACTAAGGAAATGTGCCCTTCATGGCAAGGGCGTATGAGATCTGTCCCTGCTTGCAAATAGCCATGAAATAAAATTCAACAAGCAAAGATACACTGAGGGAAAGTTCAGAACAAATAAGTGGGCGGGGTGGGGGGAGAGAAACACGGGAGGTTAAACACCCAAGAACCTGAAATAATTGAGATAGCTGAACAAAAAGCCGCAATCATAGTATGCTAGATTGAGTACCATTGGTTATACAGGCATTTCCCCTACTGCGTGCTATCAACTCGTGTGGTGCTGGGAAATAATTAAATAATTTAATTCATACCCAGAAATGGTGGGAGAAAGCTGGAGAGTCCTCATGGCTCATGAAGAGACCCTCCCTGAAGCCAGAAGAGAACGTCAGTGAGGGCAGTAAGGTAAAGGTAAAGGGACCCCTGACCATTAGGTCCAGTCGTGACCGACTCTGGGGTTGCGGCGCTCATCTCGCTTTATTGGCCGTGGGAGCCGGCGTTTGTCCACAGACAGCTTCTGGGTCATGTGGCCAGCATGACTAAGCTCCTTCTGGTGAACCAGAGCAGCACACGGTAACGCTGTTTACCTTCCTGCCGGAGCGGTACCTATTTTTCTACTTGCATTTTGACGTGCTTTCGAACTGCTAGGTTGGCAGTGAGGGCAGAGGAAGCCCCAAAGAGAACAGAGGCTCAGTAGGGCTTTGTTTATGCTGCCCTGCCTCCCCACTTAACAGCTGGTAGTGCAGCAGCAGCCGCTACTTTCCCATGCATCCTGCAGCCTCCAGCTCGCCCCAGAGCTTCAGTTCCAGTTATGGATGTTTTGGGCACAGTATTTTTGAACTGGGTTTGAGAGAGAGTGGCAGAGAGGGCATTTAAAGGGTGTCTAGAGGGTGCTTCCCACTTATGCGATGTTCCCTTATGTGTGTGGGACGCCGGAACGTAACTCCCATGGAAGTGGAGAGTGGTTTGTATTCAGGTCTGCTGAAATGTTTCACATCCCACCCCCAAGCAACAAAAGCTGAGAGGAATACTCCCCCCTCCCCTTTTACTTAATGTCTCTGGTTCTACAAAGGCTAGAAATGTACTTCAAAGAAGGCAAGAAAGCAGAGAAACTGGGTATTTTATTTATTTCTAAAAATATTTATAGACCACTATTTTCGAAAAGCTCAAAGTGATTTACAGCAAAACCGTGAGTGAGAGAGAGCGTTAAAAACAAACATTAATTAACCTTTGTGGAAAGATATATTCCTAATTGCCTGCATAGGCCTGACAGAATAGATAAATTTTTAGCAGGCTGTTAAAAGTTGAAACAGAAGGTGCCTGCTGATTATTATTCTTTGTGGGGAATGCCCATAGACAGTTGTCATGCGAGCATAACCATAGGTACCTCCAAATCATGCGGGTAGCTCAGTTGGTACAGATGAGACTCTTAACCTCAGGGTTGTGGGTTCAAGCCCCACATGAGACAAAAAGATTCCTGCATTGCTGTGGGGTTGACCTAGATAACCCTCGTGCTCCGTTCCAACTGCAGGAGTCTATGATTCTACAAAGAAGCATTTTTAAAAAATATGCCTTTCAGGTGTTCAAAGCCCAATGTGGTTAGAGGTGAGTGCATCTCTCTGTTGCATTTCTGTCTCTGATACCTTCCATGTGTTGGAGAGCAAAGGTCTACAGCAGGGAGCTTGCTGTATGCCTGGAAGCTCCCTGTGTGAATTAGAACTCAGGTTTTAAAAACAAAAACACAAACTACATGGGAGCCTAGAACGGGTTCCCTTTTGCCTTCCAACACATGGAAAGTGCCAGGGGCTGGGTGACAGGGACATGCCAGAGGAGGTGGGGTTTCCATCCTAATGCCTTTAGGATCTCGGCGTGCGACTATTTAAAGTCTCAGGCACAGATATTAACTGCATGACTTGTTACCAGCTGTGTTTCATGGTCACAGGAAGATATATGATGCAAGGGAATGCCGGTGACAAAGTAGTTATCATGCTGGGTTAGTGAGCTAATACGGAGCAGTGTTATATTACATGACAGGAAAAGGGGTGGGGCCCACGCCACACAGCAGCTGCCAGTGCAAACCGTCTGAGCAATGTCAAGAATGAGAGCCACCCTGTGCCTGAGAACGGAAGCAGAGCTCTGCTAGATCAGAGCAAAGACCCATCTCACCCCAGCATCCTGTTCTCTCAGTGGCCAACCAGATGCCTGTGGGAAGCCCACAAGCTGAACATAAGTGCAACAGCATGCTCCCCATCAGCAAGAGTCAGTCTGGTGTAGTGGTTAGAGTGTTGGACTAGGACCTGGAAGGCCAGGGTTTGAATCTCTACTTGGCCATAATGCTCACTGGGTAATCTCAGCCTAATCTACCCCACAGGGTTGTTTGGGGGATTAAACAGGGAGGGTGCAGAACCATGTACACCACCTTAGGCTCCTTAGAGAAAAAGAAAAACATTTGCACAATGAATGAATAAATTCCCAGAAGCTAATTTTCAGGATTTGTACACGCTCCCATTGACTCTGCATCCAGTGTGCTCCTGTGGCTGGTTGGGGAAGTGCTGTACACACGACATTAACCACACTATATCTATCCTTGTATTTGACCTGTCATTTCTTATGAAATGCTGCATTTCCCCCAGATCAGCTTCAATTCAAATGGAAAAAAGAACAAACTAGCTGAGTTTTAAACTGGCAATGAATCCATCGCTGCAGAGCCATCGTGGCTCTGGCAGTGGAGGTAGAACAAAGGCATTGTGGCTAATAGCCACTGATAGCTTTATCCTCCCTGAATTTCTGTAAACTTCCTTTAAAGACACCCAAGTTTGTTTGTGTATTTATTTATTATTGCATTTATATACCACCTTTATCTTCCAAGGAGCTCAAGTTAGTGTATATGGTTCCCTCCCTGCATTTCATCCTCACAATAAGCCTGTGAGTAGGTTAGACTAAGAGATGATGACTGGCCCAAGGTCACCCAGTGAGCTTCATGACTGAGTGGGGATTCAAACCCTGGCCTCCCAGGTCATTGTCCAGCACTCTAACCATTACGCCACACTGGCAGCCATCACTACATCTTGTGGGAATGAATGCCATAGTTCAACTGTATACTGTGTGAAAAAGTACTTTCTTCAGTTTGTCCTGAAAGGCCCAATGTTCAGCTACATTGGATGGCCCAGTGCTGCTGCTTTGGTCGTTTTCCTGTAGGCAGCGCTTCAGTTCAAATCATAAAGGCTAGTTCAATAACTGATCCTTTCATACTGGCAGGAAGTGGGACAGCTAGTGGAGGACACCATGCAGTGAAGAAACGACCTGAGCAAGGTATTGTTTTCTTGGGAACCAATAACATGACCATCATCCCCATGTTGTCGCGTCCATCTACAGATCATTTCTGCAGAAGTTATCAGTTCATCTGCAGAAATTGCAGAGAGTGTGAGAATTGGACCTTGGCATTTCTTTCAAGCAGCAGTGCTGGGAAAATCTCTTGTTTCTTTCTGCACCACAGCCAGTATGTCACCTGCTGTGTGCACCTGCTGAACACACCTCGATAGGGTAGGATTTAGATTGTGTTCCAAGACTGATTGTTTTATATCTTAAAGCAGGGGTGGCCAATTTCTTCAGGGCCACTCTGTTTTCCAGGTGCTCTCCCAGGAACTGGAATTGATGGATTTAATGTCACCAAGCAGTAAAGGCTTCGCAAGTATGGGTTGCATGAGCCCAGATAGTGAACAATCATCCTTTGGGGAGGCTTTCTAGAATGCACATGAGGAAAACAATACAATAAAAGTTGTATGAAGGAAGTCAGACCTGCCACAAAATGTTACATTGCAGAATACTCCCCTGTGACTACAGTATATGAGCACTGGTCCAAAGCATATTTTCTACAGCGTTTATAGTTGCTTGCATGTAGGATTGGCTTGTTAAGAAATTGAACTGCATCCTTCTCATATGAATTCTTACAAGTCCAGCTGATGAAGAATTGATCAAGATTGGCTGATGAAGCACTGAACAAAACAGATTGGTTATCCAGAAACTCTGTTCCGGCGATATTTGGTAACAGATTATGTATATATCAAACTTTTGAATTATTCTACCGCGACTGGTGAAGATTTAGAGACTTTGCTTGTAATTTCTGATCATTTGTATTAGTCTATAAATAGTGTTTAGTGCCATTGTTATTGGCCATCTTGTTGTGTTATTTTGTTCAGCTTGTCTATATTGCAACGCAGGGGTCTGTTTACAGGCAAAATGTTACATTGCAGAATTCTCTCCTGTGACCCTGTTTTCCTCCCCAACACCCAGCCAGCATTCTGTGCCCGCTGGTGACTCTCAGTCCTCACTGGGATACTTTGGCATGGGGGGGGGGGAGAGTTTCCCCCACTTGGTGTCTCCCCCAAGTTTTTTGTACTTCTGCAAACCTTGCTTGCTGGTACCTCCTCCCTCCTTGCGCAAGAATGGTGCTGTTTTGGCAATGACACTCACCTCTGAACATTGGTAACAGAGACTTACTGCTTCTTTTTCTAACAAGCAAAATTGAGAGCAAATTATTTGACCGTACCTTGATTGAAATTTGATAGCTTCCACAGAAGGTAGAATAAGTGCTTTGGGGGCTGTAACAACTTGTGGGCTACCAACGATCTAAAGTCATAAAAATATAAGAGGTCAGCCTGAGCTCAGTTTTAGATTAGACAAGCTGAGTTTGGAGATAGAAGTTGATGGTAAATCAGAAAAAATATAGGGAGCTGTGTGCTTGGGAAGCTCTTGCAGTGATGAATCTAGATCTTCATTTCTTCTCCTTTAACAGCCTTGTGCATTACCATGTAGGTCAATTTCACATAAGAAGTGGTTCTTGCTTGTTGGTTTGTGAAGTGAATTCAAATCTACATTGACCTACATGCTCATTCACATTACCAGTGCCTCTCTTCCACTTTTCATCTTCACTACAAACAGTCAAGCAGTCATTTAAAAAAAAAAGTGTGAGGGATAGCTCAGAGTTGATTTTGTCAGGAGCTCGTCCTACACTCGAGTAGGACCCTAGCAGAGACACATGCCCAACTGGCATGTCTCTCCCTCCTGGTCGATCGTTTGGGAGCTTCAAAAGCTTTCTTCTGCCCGAACATCACAGTGACCCATGCCAACAGACATCGGCACACTTAGGGATCCTCAGAGTCTTTGCAGCTTGCGTAACAGAACTCAGCAACTCAGCATTTTGGCTAATCTACGTTTATTTACATATAAACACACACGGAGCACTGCAGTATGGCTCCCTCTCTCTCTAGTATTAGACAGCAAAGAGAATGAACAAAGGACAATAGTCCCACTTCATGGAACACAGTAACACAAACATCCTGTCTCCGTCACTTCCCACTCTGTGGAATGAAAACATGCACCATCATGTGATAGACAACAATCCCATGACTGCAATCATGGAGCAGGAATTCTAACAGATTTAGCTCTCTCATATGAGAAATACCTCTGTCCTCAATTGATTGTTGATGTACTCTGCTCTGATTTTTACTTATCTATGTACGGTGTAAACTCACACTTCACAGTATAAGGTTAAACTGTTTCAGCGTACCTTTGAAAGGCATCTGAACTGCCTCCCATACTTTTAGCAGATTTTAGCAGATTGTGCTGAGATCTGAGCTACCTGCACCATTCACAGAAAGCCTAGGAATCCCATAGTTTAACACTGTAGAAGGTGAATCTGTTTCTGGGCTCCTTCACACGGTCTGGGATGGAAGGCCTAAATTGCATATGGGGCTCTCGATCATGCCATGCATCAGGTGTGGGGAACCTCTGGCCCTCCAGATGTTGCTCAACTACAACTCCCATTTCCCCCAGCCATTAGCCATGTTTGATGGGGCGGATGGGAGTTATAGTTCAGCAGCATCTATCTGGAGGGTCAAAGGTTGCCCACTCCTGTCACACATAATGAGTGTTGCTCGGTGCGTAAAGGACTCAGGACACAGACATATCATGGCACAGATTTGCAGGTGCTATTTTATTTTATTTTCCTTTTATTTGCAGATTCATAAATTGCTTCACAGCCAAAAGCTACTGAACGATAAGATAAGAACAAATCAAAGATGTAATAAACCAAAGCAATAAAGCCACTTCCTACAAATGCATAAAACGATGCCTCCTGTTTTGCAGAAAGCAAAACTCCTTTATTTAATTTCTATCCCCCCTCCTACTCCCTGCCCGCCACATCAACAATGCCCATCCCATCTATTTAACAAGCAGATTATGTGGGGTCTCAGGCATGCTTTGTCATTCCTGGCGCAGAGTGTCTTTGTTGTTGTTATTGATCACTGGGCTATGTCTCTGAGCCTAATAAGATGAAGCGCCTCTTCATGACTTTCCTTACCAGCATTCCTCTGCGCAGCTCATCAAGCCTGGGATTCTTCTCATTAAAGAGAGATGAGGTAACCATCCTTCCCCATTTAGGCTTCAAAACAGCTATGTAATGCTAGATGAATCCCCCTATGCAAGACAAGGTGTGAGGTGATGGCATGCGGATGACATGTCTGTCTTCAAAACATAGCATATCCAGCACAGAGCACTGTATGGAAAAGGCCTGAACTCATGCATGGTGTATGCTTCAGAAGCAAGCTGCAGACCACCCTGCCACCTCAGATATATAATGCAAAGTCCACTCAGCAGCTAGTGTATATCAAGAAATATGCCCTGAGAAATCATGTATTATTGTGACTGGTGCTGAGATTTTAGAAGGTAAGGTCTTCTGCAGAATGACCATGAAACTCAAGGACAGGAAAGCAATTTGATCTTGATTGCGTTTAAAGGCTAACCTATCTAATTCATCAAATAATATGCAAACTGAAACACAGCCATCCTTCAAAATTCACACTTTTTTGCAGTGATAGTTTTGCAGTGCTACTATCAGAGCCATGCAATGTGTACAAAAATGCACACACTAGGGTAGTATGTGCATAAAAATGCATATATGAGTGAAAATAGCGTACAAAATGCATTCTCTTAGGGGAAATTGTTTTGCATGTATTAGGAGAAATTTGTAATAAAACGCTGGTGATTTTTCATGAGGACTTTTAAAAATAAATGGGCTGATGTGGAAATGTGAAGAACTGAACTGAAGAGTGCAAAAATGAGAACTTGAGAGAAACTGAAATTGACACATTCTCCCATCCTAGACAGCATCTTAAAAAGTAGAGACATCACCTTGCCAACAAAGGTCCGTATAGTTAAAGCTATGGTTTTCCCAGTAGTGATGTATGGAAGTGAGAGCTGGACCATAAAGAAGGCTGATCACTGAAGAATTGATGCTTTTGAATTATGGTGCTGGAGGAGACTCTTGAGAGTCCCATGGACTGCAAGAAGATCAAACCTATCCATTCTTAAGGAAATCAGCCCTGAGTGCTCACTGGAAGGACAGATCATGAAGCTGAGGCTCCAATACTTTGGCCACCTCATGAGAAGAGAAGACTCCCTGGAAAAGACCCTGATGTTGGGAAAGATGGAGGCACAAGGAGAAGGGGACGACAGAGGACGAGATGGCTGGACAGTGTTCTCGAAGCTACCAACATGAGTTTGACCAAACTGCAGGAGGCAGTGGAAGACAGGAGTGCCTGGCGTGCTCTGGTCCATGGGGTCACGAAGAGTCGGACACGACTAAACGACTAAACAACAACAACAACAACAACAACAACAACACCCATCCCTACATGAGACTTAGTCTTTCTTATACAGTTTATGTTTTTCTCAATCAGAGACCACCACTGCATTTATAGATATTGACCACCTGATGAGAGTGACACAATTAATAAATGCTTGGGATGGTTGCACATTGCACAATATAAAGAGGTAGAGAATATCTTCAGAAACATTCAGATAGTGTTGTTGTTGTTTTCAAGAGGGACAGGTGGGCAAGCATGTTCTAGAAATTTGGCCAGCGCATTCTAGCTTGTGGGCTTCCCATAGGCATTTAGCTGGCCAATGTGAGGCCAAGATACAGGACTAGAAGGGTCGTTGGGCAGGTTCAGCAAGGCTTTTCCTACATTATTGTCATTATTTATTATTTATTGAATTTATATACCGCCCTATACCTGGGGGCCTCAGGGCGGTTCACAGAATAAAATCAAGATATAAAACCACAAAAAACATAACAGAAATAAAAACAACCCAATTGCCCCACCCCATTTTAAAAGGCCATAGGATATAAATCAGATCAACCAAAGACCTGGTTTAAAAAGGGGCGTTTTTGCCTGGCGCCTAAAGGGCTTTAAGGAAGGCACCAGGCAAACTTCCCTGGGGAGAGCATGCCACAGACGGGGAGCCACTGCAGAAAAGGCCCGTTCTCATGTTGCCACCCTCTGGACCTCTCAAGGAGGAAGTGCACAAAGAAGGGCCTCAGAAGGTGATCTCAGGGTCCAGGTAGGTTCATATGGAAAGAGGCGGTCCTTGAGGTATTGCGGTCCTGAGCCATTTAAGGCTTTATAGGTCAAAACCAGCCCTTTGAATTCTTATGTTAATGATGTGCTGTACAGAGAGCATGGGACCAGTGTGCACAAAATAGGAGTCACCACCTGGTGGAAGGGAAACAGTTCAGTGGTAGGATACATGTCCCAGGTTCCTTTGATATATCCAATAAAGAAGATCCAATAAAGAAGATCAGGTAGAAGGTGATATAAAAGATCTCTGTCCAAGTCTCTGGAAAGCAGCTGTCAGTCAGTAGATAATACTGGCATGAATATTGTTAAGAGTCAACAATAGTGAGCTAAATTCTTGTTGTACCTGCTATGAGGTAGCTTCCTTTGTTCCTATCTGCACATAACAGAGTGGCTGGGACAACCAAGTTAGATGGGTGGGGTACAAGGAATAAAATTATTATTATTATGAGTTTTAAAAAAGGAACTAGTATTTTGATAGCCCACATTCCACTGACATCCTTTGCCTCTTGTCTAGATGCCCCATTGATTGAAGAAGTTATTTTGAAGCTCAAAATGATCAAGAGCTGTTAATAAACAAGTACATTGTCCAAGCATGACATTTTGGTCAGGGCTGTTATAGGGCACCAGGGCCCTTCTGTCAGTTTTTATCCTTCGCTGAAAGCTTCATTTGGTTGCTAGCGTTGCTCAAGAGACACCAGAGGCTACGTCAACTTGGTTATGTTATGGACTAGGCATGCTGCTGTGGTATGTAAGAAGCCACAAATCTTGTCAATCAAATCAAGATCTAAAGGAGTTAACTGACGGTGCTTTCAGATCTCCATTGTGTCAGGAGAGAAACATTCTTTAGACACATTTAGAATGGTTGCCTCACCACAACCATCCATGTGTCACCACTTACTCCTCCTCCCTCCTCTTCCTTGGCTGTGGCATTGTTAGTGAACACATCTAATGCAGCTCCCTGACGTGCGCAAGGAGTCAAACACTAATGCACCGCAGTGTAGTCCCTTCAATAGCTTACAATTTATGAGACTCCCGTAAGTAAATGAAAGTGTTTGCATGCTCAAAGGTAAGGAAAGATTTTTATTGCCCTTTCTCAACTAAAGTTGGGCAAAACAGGAAAAATTTGTTGCATGAGTAGGAGGAATCAACATCAATGTGATTTGTCCTCTTGTATGGAATACAATACAGTGGTACCTTGGGTTACATACGCTTCAGGTTACAGACTCCGCTAACCCAGAAATAGTACCTCGGGTTAAGAACTTTGCTTCAGGATGAGAACAGAAATCGTGCTCCAGTGGTGCAGTGGCAGCAGGAGGCCCCATTACCTAAAATGGTGCCTCAGGTTAAGAACAGTTTCAGGTTAAGAACGGACCTCCGGAATGAATTAAGTACTTAACCCGAGGTACCACTGTACATTTTATTGCACAATTGCACGTCAGTGCATCATTCTTTTTACCAGAGCAAAGACAGCAACATTTATTTATGCTCTGCTGCACATTTTAAGGTCAGTGGAAGATAGTGATATATCTTTACATCTATATTTCATGTTTGGATAAACCAAAACACACAAATAAACCTGACCAGATTGGAGTACAGATAACTGTTTGCTATTCAGTGGGAAAAAAGGTCACGCTCAGCTTTTTCTCTCAAAATGTGAGACACCAGCATCTTCCCCCTATAATTGCTGTCCTTCAAAAGTTCATGATGCCCAGGGCTTTAAATCTGATATCCGAGACAAGGTCGTCATTATAAAGTTATTTACAAATTTTAGATTAATATTAGTGGGTTCAAGAGATGCAATGATAAAAGATTAACTCTATCCACATCGAAGCTCTTTTTTGGAATCATTGAATCTGAAAACAAAAGGTGACCTATGAATGTCTCCTCTTCACACAGAACTTGAATATTTGCAGTTTGACCTCCAGCTTTTCTAATTCTTTTATTTTTTCCACATCCTCAGCCTCCACACTTGTCAAACACCTGTGGTCCTGACCCACTGTCAACAGCCCCAGGCCCTCTCCCAAAAAAGAGCCTAATTCGGAATCAATGATCGTACACTGAAATCAACACACAAGTGGGGTCCAGGACTGTCCTCACTATCCCCACCTGATGTTGCACTTGCATGGTGGTTTGCCTCACCTGTTTACACCATTGTGTTCTGCACAGAACTCCAGATCACATGGATGCCTTTGCACGTACATGTCAAAACATCCTTACTGCAGATGTATGTAATGAACATATGGCTGTCAGAGCGTGGGCCAAGGCAGTGTGTGCAATGTTGTGTGCAGGCCCCCACTCACGTGTTGATTCAGTGTGTCATATCATATTTATCGTATGCCTTTGCTAGGCCAGCGGCTCTGGCTCATGAACCTAATTAGACTGGTCAGGCCTCATCAACTGACCCATGAGGTCATTTTAGCCAAGCCATGCCCACCTTCCCTACACCTGATGCCATACATGATGTCAGATGTGGGACAGGCAAAGGCGGGTTTGGGGCAAAAGGGTTTGCAGGTACCGCCAATCAGTTAATTAGTAGCACCTGCATAGGGTTGCCATATTTGGAATACTGCAGTCGGCAGCAGCATCCTGGCAGAAATCAGGAAAATGTCCAGGAAACTCCGGATGTATGGCAGCCCATGTTGGCAGTACCATTTTTGCCCCTTTCCCTTAAAAATACCTCCAAAATGGCAAAAACTTTTTTGTCTGGATTTTGAAGTCAGCTGATGGTTGGGGTTCAAATTGCCATGCCAGAGCCAGTTTCCTATCTCCTTGCTAGTCCATGGGGTGCTTGAAAGAAGCAAGAGGTAACCTATCCAATGCAGCTGCAATCTTTAGGAAGACCACCCCTTCCCAATTAGTAGTGTGGTGTAGGGGTAAGCCAAAACACTTTTCAAGTCTAATTGCTGGTGGGTGGGAGAGTGTGCATGTGTGATGTCCACAACAATTTCTCCAGGTTGCAAATGTGACTATGGACCAGAAAAGCTGGTGATCCTTGCACTAGGTCAGGCATCCCCAACCTTCGGCCCTCCAGATGTTTTGGACTACAGTTCCCATCATCCCTGACCACTGGTCCTGTTAGCTAGGGATCATGGGAGTTGTAAGCCAAAACATCTGGAGGGCCGCAGGTTGGGGATGCCTGCAGTGGTACTATAAAGTAAGTAATGTAGGTAAGTAAAGTACGGTAGTCATACTGGGATAACTCAGTTGGTAGAACAGGAGACTCTTACTGTCAGGGTCATGGGTTCGAGCCCCACGTTGGCCTAATGATTCCTGCATTGCAGGGAGCTGGACTAGATGACTCTTGTGGCCCTTCCAACTCTGCAGTTCGATGGGTCTATGAAAATGTTTCTTCCTACTTCATTTACCCAGGGAGTACAAATTCATGATCTTAAAAAGACAGTAAAAAGTTGTTAACATATATCATACAAGCATATCGGTGAAAGACTTCAAAAATCTAGCTTCAGGCAGGAAATAAGGCCATCCACTTAGCAGTCTTCTGCAGAATAATCTATATGGGATCTAAGCCACAGTCTAAAAGTGGAGGTGGTGGTGGTGATGGTGGAGAATCGGTGAACTCAAAATGTTGCCTGCACAATCAAGAGATACAAATAACTCAAGCAAGTGAGCCAAGTCACCTGCCATGGTGGAAAACAAGCAGCAAAAAGTCTGAAAAACAAAACAATGCACCCTTCCGTTACTGAGGAAAGCGTGTTCTACTTGTGCAGAGCCAAGATAACTAATGTAAAGCTTTAATTCTATTGTAATAGTTAAGCTGCTGCATGGGGGGAATGCTTGCTTTTAGGTAAAAAGTCTAGCTTAATAACAGTTCTGCTTTATTTTTCATTGTTTCCAAAAGGAAGGAAATAAAACGTTCCAATAATTGGTGTCCTCTCGTCTGATTTCATAGCTTAAACTTTCACAGCAAGTTGATGTTGATGTTGCAGTGTGGATAACCGATGACGCTGAAAGTTAGGCTACGGGATTGTTCCCTGTGCTGTGATTTGTAGTTAAAATCAATTTTTAGTGTTACAATAGTCAGCAGGACACCTGTGTAGCTTTTCCTTTTCCTGACTTGAATAGGTTGGATTTAATGAAGTTGAGTGCGCTGGTAAAAGTTTTCTAGAGTTTGGCATTTATTTTATTAGCTGTTTGTAACTCACTCACAAATGTGGCCGTTTTTAGTCATCCGTGGGCTCATTAACATTTAGAGCTGATCATTAATTAATTAACCCAATGACATAATTTCTTTATAATGCATTTTTCTCCAACCCTAAGCTAAGATTCCCTAAAAGTCAAACTCTTTTGAAGTTGCCCAGGTTACTGTATTTTGCCCTCAACTTTTCTTTTCTTTCAATGCCCCATTAACAAAAGCACATGATGGGTGGTACATGAGGGTCAGGGGGTGTGTTTGGAGTGACATCAACTGAGACAATAAAAGAGCTCCTTAGTTACTTAGAAGTCTTCTAGACCAATTAAGCAGATTTTAAATCAACTTCTGCGGAAAACCTGCTTGAGAAACTTTGGTAAGAACTTTTTCTATTTTCTTTTGAAAGCAATTATTTGTAGCAAAATCAAAATCGATTGTTTCATCCATTATTGGAATGTCAACAGAGGCTTTTGACTGCCAGTCTAAATTGTTTCTTTAACCAGCAGCTTCTGAAATCTGTCAGGGAGACTTTTGCTAGAATGGAAACCTATTGACTAGTTCAATAATCATGTAAATCACGCGGAACTGTTTGGATGATAGTCATATAAAATGTAACTATAGGTATTCTTATGCCGCAGTAGTAAAAAATAATATGCATCACAGGTATTGCTTTTAAAAAACACATTGAAAACTTTAAAGTTATTAGGCATCTTACTGCTGTTTCTTTATTCTTAGTATAACTCTCAAAATGTAAAGCTAGACTTGAAATTGGGCTCAGATAGTTTTCTTTCTGCTCCTTGCATCAGCAGCAGTAATACTGATCATTGCAGAGATTTTCACAGCGCTCTGTCAGTGAAACATCCAATGATCGTGATGGGTTTATGCCGGCATGTAGCTTAAGCACCAGATTTTCTGTGCCTATAAACTTTATGGAGCAAAACAAAAGGAAATGTGATTTCCTTTCCATAAGGAAGGTAGAGAAAAGAAAGAGTTTGCTGCAATTTATCTATGTCACAATGAATCTCTGAGTGAGGGGGAGTTTATGGCATAAGCAAGCCAGAATCAGGTTAGAAACAAGCCTTTCTTTTGTCTGTGATGCCATTTTACAAGAAACAGGCAAGCTAATATCACTAGGCACAACCCAGTGCTATTTTATGGCCCATTGATTCATCAACATGCTTAAATCTCTACTCTTAAAATCAGTGGGACTTGACAGGGCTTAACCTTAGCTTAATGGGATCAAGGGACACAATGCTATTAAGATCTAAATTAACGCAAATTGACAGAGAATTTAGTCTGGGTAGATATATGTAGAATTCAGCATGTGATTTGTGTGGCTCTCCCATCTTGAATCTCCCTCCCTGGCTACCTGGACTGGAGTCTCAGTGTCGTCTCCTTCCATGTACACTTATCATACACCAGGGAATACGCCAAAATTGAGTTAAGCAGGGGTGTAATGTGTTGGTGCAATATATATATTCTCTCACTCTTTGGTGAGAGAATCCCAGCAGAGTATTAAAGTCACAAAATATGCAGCAAAGTGAAGCATGGAAATATAGGCTGTTAGATCTTTAAAATATCCCTTTAAAGTTTAAAGTGAGTTTTAAAATGCATGGGCATAGCCTGGGCAGGGCAAGAGGGGCCATTGCCCTGGGCTCATTTATTTATTTTTGGACGGCTCATTTTGCTCCTTATGCTGAGGAAAGTATGCCGGACAGATGATCCTCAGGTGCAGAGCAATCGTATGTTTTAAGCGTCTCCGTGTACAGTCGTACCTTGGAAGTTGAACAAAATCTGTTCCGGAAGTCCGTTCAACTTCTAAAATGTTTGGAAACCAAGGTGCGGCTTCCGATTGGCTGCAGGAAGCTTCTGCAGCCAATCGGAAACCACACAAGCCACATTGGACATTCAGGTTCCAAAGAACATTCGGAAACCGGAACACTTACTTCCAGGTTTGCGGTGTTCGGGAGCCAAAATCTTTGAGTCGCAAGGTGTTCGTCAACCAAAGTATATGACTTTAATCATGCGGGTGTTTTCAACAGAATCAGTAAAGTATTGTGCATTTTCAAGCCCTCGTGCTTGTTGCATCAAGATCCATCAAGGGCAAGACCACTAAAATCCTCTTCATATATTTTTAAACAGGCATTCCTGTGTAAAAATATCACTGTAACAAAATATTATTTGAGTTGGGGTACAATTCCATTGCATTCAGTCCCTGCTTGCGGGCTTCCTACTGGCTCCTGGTTGGCCACTGTGAGAATGCTGGACTAGATGGGCCACTGGTCTGATCCAGCAGGCTCTTGTTATGTTTGTGTGTTCATTGCCCATGCAGTATTTTTCATTTTATAGAGGGTGGCTAATGAAGCAAAGGGCACTCCCCTTATATGGCTGGCATATGAATATGATGGAGAATTATTTTTACTGAACAAGTCTCATAATGGCTGGTTGCAATACCTCAAGTAGCTGTATGGAATAGACAAATCACATTTATTTTAATAAACACCAATGTTTTGTACTGTTCTCTTCAGTCTAATCTGGCGGAAATATAAGGGAGAGAAACTAATAGGCTTAGCCAAGGTGTTACAAAAAGTGTGTGGGGAAGTGAAGTTGTTCCCCAGTTTGGTCCTTTGTTCAAATAAGAAAAATACACTGCTGTTACACAGTCTTTTGCCTGAACATCACCTTCTTGAATGCTTTGATATTTATGTATAGCATTCTATTTAATATCTCATATTGTCTAACTCAATCCAACCATATGATAACTTTCTTTCATCTCTTATAGTTATCATGACTTCAATCAGAGACATGGCTAAAAGTGCAATCATTTTATGGGCAGTCTGCTTCTTTGCCAACTCCGATGGGAAAGCTGTGGTGTAAGTACAGTATATTGCTGAATTTTTTTAGAAGGTGAAAGGAGTTAATGAGCAACATATTCTAGACATGATGGGGTGGCAGCTGACTGCTGCTGCTTCTTGCTCTGATCACCTCAGTAAATTGCATGAATATTTTTTTGTGAGTAAAAATCCATCATGGGGACCACTAGATGGACTGGAATCCTGATGAGGCCCCATTTGGTTCCAAGGAAGAGTTCCTCTTGATACAAATATAAAGGTGTAGAGGGGCCAATCAGAATTGGGGCCACAGGAGGGAGAAAAGAGTTGAAGTCCTGAAACATCCTACCAGAGTGATAATCAGGAACCACCTCCCACCTGGATGCCTTTTAACTCCAAAAAATAAAAATAAAAGTCAAGGAATTGCTAATTATGTGAACTCATGTCTACTTTGGCCCATAGGTGCAGTTAAAGGTGTTAGCAAACTTTGCAGCCTGCGTGAATTAGATTCAAGCAATTACTTAAAGTTTCTAGAGTACAAAAACTTTATCCATGCAGGAACTATTCACAGGATGAGTAGAGATGAGAGAGGGGGGGACCAGACATCCTGTCTCAACAAAGCTGGGAAGCAGGGGCGTCTTACCCATAGAGGCTAGTGGTGCGGGGCGCCAGGGCGCCAAGTTCCGGAGGGCACCAGGGAAGAGGTGGAGGCTGGATGTGGCACCTCCTGGCATCAGCTTGCCACCCTAGCCCACCTCCGCCTCGCCCAGAGCCTCCGTCTGCCGTGGCCACCGCGGCACAAAGTGGCCAGCTGAGCCAGGAGGTGCCACGTCCAGGCCTCCGCCTCTTCCCTGCCGGAGGACCTGCCCTCCAGCCGCTGCCTGCCTCCTCCAGCCCCACCGGCAGCGCTGTCCTCCCGGAGGGAGCTTTGCACCACTGCGCTAGATATGCTTAAGATGTCCCTGTGGGGAAGGACAAACAAAATGGCTAGGCTTTTAGGGATGGAATTCACTTAGGCAGAGAGGCTTACAAGCAAGTGCTGGTTAGATTGCTACACAAACAGTGGCACTGTGTGGTTTGAGGTAACAGATGCATTAATTACAAACTTAAGCGAAGGAAATTTATTTGCTTTTCTCCATCCAAAGTTTGGGCTGTTAATGCTATGTGGTTGTTTTAAATCCCACCTTATTTATCTGTATTACAGGAAGAGGTCAGTGAGTGAAATGCAAATGATGCATAATTTGGGGGAACACCTGCATTCTGCAAACAGGCAAAACTGGCTCCTTGAGAAACTGCAGACCGTGCACCATGACCCCCAGGCCGATGAAGCAGCAGAAGCAGTGGATGTTAAGGCCCGTGAGGTCCGAAGCTGGAGATTGCTCCCTGATGACCTGCAGGCAAAGCTGCAAAAGAAAGCAGTGAATTCTAACAAGAATTATAGAGATGTCACCTTCAAAACAAGACTCCAGTGAGAGGGTCCATAATGTTGTCTTTCCAGCTAAGTGCATACAGTAGTGAGCAATTAGGGCATTTTGTTATTTATTGTTTATAAAATGATGTTTAAGGGCATGTCTGCATGATGCTACTTCTTGGGGATTGGGTGTGCTTCTGCTGTACATCTCATTTCTCCTAGTGTACATGTCAGTGGGGGTTCACACACTACTTCTTCAGTTCTTCATATGGCTAACCAGGTGAATTGGAGGCCGGTGCAAACTGAGCAGTCTACATTATTATCTTCCATTATTGCGGTGGGTGGCATGAGAGGGACCCTTACCTCTCCAAGGATATCTCCTACACTTCTTGAGTGCTCTACTACTGAGCCTGACACATTGGTCTGCTGCTGTAAGGACATGTCCAAACGAATGAAGAGCATGTATTGCCCAGGTCACTCATTTGGATCTCCAGATGGAGGCAACACAGACAAGCAAGTCGGATCCATTAATCCTCTGGCAGGGTAAGCTGGTGCCAGGACCCACCCGTTGCCCTCTTCTACCCTGCTTGTTGAAATAATGCAGTTTGTTGCCTTCTCTTGGCAGTTAGGAAAGGGAGTGGCATGGAGAAGTCCAGGCATCAGTTTGGGATGTTACAGTCCCTGTCTTGGTTTCCGGGAGATGGTAGCCTCCTGTATCCAGGCAGGCAGTAGCTGTGGAGATCTGATTTCACTCCCATCTCTCAGGAAGACAATAACGTGAATTAGCAGAGTGTTTGTGTGTGTGGAAGATGGCACAAAAACATTGATTTGGAATTGTCCCCATTCTTAATACATGGTCACTGGTAAAGTCTGAATAGCTTAAGAAATTGACAATGGTTTTTATCCAGAAACAAGTAGTCGCCCTGCAAAGGTACCATACATTTCAGTAAGCCTCCAAATGTGCTAAAGTAAGGGCTTGTCCCACCACTTTCCCATGGGACAAACAGCTGTTTGGCGCTGAATCAGAACAAACATCCATTGGTTTTTCTGTGGATTGACGTTTGTTCTGATTCAGTGGTAAACAATGGGTTTTCCCAGAGAAAGCAACGGAGACAAACAAAAGCAGTGGAGACCTGTGTGGCCTTTGGACTGGCACCAATGCAAACTGACAAAGGGGTTTTGGGGAGGCATGGGAGATTCAGCGAACTCGGATTGTTAGATAAATGTGCACAGCAGAACCAAATCGGAAGGAACATGTGTTCTGATACCTGTAGAGTACACTAGCTTGTAAAATATTTAAGCTCATAGGCTCAAGTTATCAGCACTTTATTTCCTAAAGCCATATGGAAAGAAGCAGCATGCTCATGGAGCAGACTAAATCTAGTTTAACTGTTATTCCCTCTCCCCGGGGAACTCTGAGAACAGTAGTTCTGGCGGAGAGTCTAGAGTTCTCTTGTAGAGACTTCTCTCGGTGCCACACCAAACTACAGTTCCCAGGATTCTTTAGGTTAAACCATGGCAGTTAAGCTGGCATAAAACATATATTAGTGTAGATAGAACTTGAGACTTGGAGGCACTGCATGAGTATATGGGGCACAGTATGAGGATGTGATGTGCTGCCACATTCATTGCAAGTCCCGTGCACATTTCCTACTGCACGTACAAAGGCTTCTCCAACACCAGGGTGGATGTTTGTAGCCCTTGCTTACCCAGAGCCCAAAATGCGCCTCTGAACACCTTACCTGCAAGTAAGTGTACTTTGAATCAGAGCCTGGCACCCAGATCTGAAACGTATTTCCCTGGGAGCCCCATTCAAGTCAAAGGAAGTACATCTACATAAATTTGTGAGGCTGCAATCCTACGAATTCTTGCTTAGTGGAGACTTGCTCTGAGTAAAAATGCACACAATCCTACGCTATAAGGGGAAAACATCAGGGACACATCATGGGGCTGCCCAAATTGATCCAGGACTGGAGATGCAGATAGTGCAAGATTTGAGACGGAGGCCATAATCTTACAGATTCTCAGCAGTCACAAACTTCCAGTTGAATATGTTAGTTTCTTTTTCACATGAGACCTAAGGAAGATCAGACGCTGCTACTCTGCACTGGCCTAATCCAGTATGGTTGCTTTTATGTCTGTCTCACCTGTTTGTACGTGTGGCACCTCATGCATTTTGCAAGAGTTGGTGAATAAATAATAAATGTCAAAACACATCCGCCATTTTTAGACTAGAAGTGTATTTGCAACTAGCGAGCTGACATTCATTATATCTAGACAGCAAGGAAAATTCTGGCTCCCTTTAAATCAGTGGCAAAGTTTCAATTCAGGGTCAGAATATTATCTTGGACCCCTACTAAAGACATGTTTCTGCAAACAGACAATACATTACTACGGACCCTTGAACCTGCAGAGAACTGCATTCAAATGGCATTCCATGTGGGAGCAAGGTTCTGACATGAGATAGGGTATGTTTGTGGGACTAAGACCTTAATATGCACTTTCTATTTATTATTTTGCTGTATGTTCATGTCTAACTTACACAAATGTATCTTTATTCCTTTATATCTGTATCTTGCTAATGAATTGTCAAATAAAATGGACCAAAAGCTCTTGGACAGTAGTAGTTGAAAAGCATAAACCTTTGGTCTTTCTGTCATTATTTATACATGCACTTTCTCATAATTTCGGAAAATAAAATATTCAGCTGAACCCACAGTTAGTTGAACCAAGTTGTCATTGAGATCAGTATACTACCATGGCAGGGGGAGAGATCAGTATGAAAAATTAGTTTTGACTAAGTTCCTATTCAACTCAGTGGGGATAGGTTTAACTAACTTAGGGATGACTTCATCATTGTGCTAATGTCTTAATTGAAGCAGGGCAAGCATTTTGGCTTGCCAGATGAAACAATCTTTCCCCTCCACCTCCTGTAAGCTGTTCTGAAGATTCTCCTGCCCCCCTCCCCAAGCCAATTTTGGTGGACATGGAAGGAGAGGAGAGGGGTGAAGTCTCACTGTGCAAGTGGAAGTCCACTGATGGGGGTCACTAGTAGAATCCCACCTTTATTCTGGATCCATCCAACTGTATTTAGTCAGTAAAGCATGAGACTCTTAATCTCAAGGTCTCCAGTTTGAGCCCCACGTTGAGCAAGATGCCTGCATTGCAGGGGGTTGCACTAAATGATCCTCGTGGTCCCTTCCAATTCTACGATTCTAACAAAGTATTTATGTTAACCTGGAAACACGAGAAAAAAACATGGTGGGGGAGCAGGGATAACTCTTGAGAGGGCAAGCTCCCCCTGTAACATGTTCAAATGCTGGGAAGAAAACACCAAGTGCATGGTTTTCCATTTGACAGTTGCAGCTCAAGCTGTGGCCCCCTACCAGGGGTGAAAATGGTGCTCTGCTAGTCGCAGTGACAAATATGCATCTGTTTGTGACCAGTCCAGTCTCAGCTGTTTAAGCTTATTGCAATGACACCATGAGTAGAACTAAGAGACAACAATGGAAATTTTTTACTGAGCACAATGTCTGTAATTACTTGCAATGTATAACAGCATGTTCTAGCATTATATTTTGTGGGGTTTTGCGTAGGCAGAGAGAGGCGGCCTACCTGCAGTGTCTATCCTACTCCCTCCTTATTGACCTAGCCATATTTCGATTTGGTATCAAGATGAGAGTTTGGCTCAAACCATGCCACTTTTTTGGCCCAAACGAAACAAGATATAACGGATAAGAATAAGAAACATCTCAACAGTCCTGCCATTAGAGGTCATTATTAGAGCTGGAAAAAAATAAACGTAATCATTCAAGGACTTTGCTCCCATAGTGATATTATCTTCAGGCAGAACAGACAGATGATTAAGCTTTTCAAACAAAGCAGGAGCCCTAAAGACAAAGTCACAAGACCCATTTTTAGCTGGCTTATTCTGCTAGCGTGTGGACCAGCAGTGCTAGCATGTGGAGAAATCTTTTAAGAGTTTCACAGGGCACTTTCGGATGAGAGCTCATTGTAGGATCAGTGTTATTAACACAAGTTATTCACAGCATCCATACAAGATAAATAAAAATGCCAGCTAGTATTTCCCCCACCCCAATTTAGTTTCCCCTTACCATGGAAAATTGGATAACTAAAAATAACCTCTTTTACATCTGCAGTCACTGCTGATGTGGCAGCTTCTTAGCATATTATTTTTGTTGAGCAGTTTGCCAACAGTGTGGTGACATTTCAGTGGGTGGCCTCCATTGCTGCGCTCCAAATTCCATTTGCTTCTTAGCTGAGCACAACCTTCTCATTTTGTTTCTGGTGACACAAGCAGGCTACCTAAAGTTGCTGGTGGTTGAACCTTTGACCTTTTGCATGCAAAGCATGCATTGTACCACTAAGGTAAGCTCCCTACCAGATATATGCTCTGCCCTTCCAAGTAACAATGCTTTGAACTGGACTACAAATCAGAAATCAATTATGGCAGGAGTAGGAGTGGCGGTTATGTGGAACTAAACTTTGACGTAAGGGCCCCCAGATGTTGCTGGACTACAAGTTCCATCAGCACTGATCCTTGGCAGTGCTGGCTGAGGCTGATGGGAAATAGAGTCCAACAACACCTGTAGGTTCACAACTTGCAAAACCCCTGACATAAGTAAGGCGTTAAGAAGAGCAACTTGTTGAACTCACACCCAGGGCTGATATTATTATTAAGGCCAACTAGATAGCCACCAGGGCACAGACCTCAGAAGGAGCACAGTAATAACTTTTGATGGGCACAGTTTTTATTATATCTTATAAATTTCTGGTTTTTTTAATTTTGAGGAATTTTATCATTTATGAAGTAATTAGTAGATTAGAATTAACTTGTGGGCTGCAGGAGTGATGAGGGTTTTCAACAAGTTTTGACAGATGCTCCTGAGATTGCAAAGGAACTAGAAATACTACCAAACTTTTGAAAAAGAACAAGTTAGAAAGAGGAGAAAGAAACAGCAGTTTAAATTTGTGGCCCAAGAAAAGGCACTGCAAGATCCGAAGCAGATTTCCAAAGTACCGGTAGGTTTTTGCTATGCTGTCTCACGACATGACCATAACAGTCTGTTGAAAACAGATTCCAACAGCCACCACACTTTAATTCCCTATTTGGCTTCCTCTGTGATATATACAGTATTAACAACAACAACAAAAAATAATCAACTGAAGATGTATTGAAGGCCTGCAAGAATTTTGAGAAATCACTGATGCTCAATCGAAACAAATATATGCATGCTGAAGATCTGTGCTGTGGACCTATGCAGCAATAGCTCGAAAACTTTCAGAATCTATGCTGCTACAAGGAGCACTTCTCTTCATACTGCAACAAAAACTCCTGGTTAATGTGCTTAACGTTTCTAGTTTTGGATTTGAGAAAGATAATAAAAGTTTCCTATTTCACCGATTCTTGCAATTTAAAATAAACTTAGCAGCTTCAACGGTTGTGCTTTTAATTTTTTTTTCCCTGCAAGACATCTGTTTCTGAAAACTGAAGTTAGCAAATGTTTTTTGGGTTGGGGAGGTGATGTGCCAGTAGTTAGCCTTGCCTAGGGCGCCAAATAGCCAAGCCCCGGTCATGCTTACACACGGTCCGAGCGTGTTAATTATTATTATTATTAATAATAATTATAATTATACCCCGCCCATCTGGCTGGGTTTCCCCAGCCACTCTGGGCGGCTTTCAGCAAAATATTAAAATACGATAAAATGAAATAAATGAAAGAAGCGCCGTCACAATCCTCCACTGATGCCCAATTCTCGGGGGACGACCGTCCACTTGAGCAGATTCGGGAGAAGGACGGGAGGAAGGAGGAGGAGGAGGAGACGTCGCTGCTACCAGAGGAGCGGGGCGAGAGAAGAGAGCGCCGAGGGGCAACGACGCCGCCGCTGCAGCCACCGCTTCCTCCGAACGCGGCAGGCGCCTGAAGGAAGAGCTGGCCGCCGCGGAGCAGCCAACCCGCGCCCACCTTCCCCCGCCTCGGAGCCAAGCCGCCCGCAGCAGCAGCAGCAGCCCTCGCGCGGTAAGCGAGCTTCGCGCTCTCCACCCGCTTCTCCTCCCTCCCTGCTGCCCGGCGACGCCTCGCGAGTTTTCCGCGCATAGCTCTCGCGAGAGCAGGGGCAGACGGCCGGCCGGGGCCTAGTAGCAGCAGCAGTTGCCGGCCAGAGGCAGCGGCGGCGACGGCGAGGGGGAAGCGCGGCGAGGCTGGAGCCCGGGCGTCGTGGGGCGCAGCAGGTGAGGAAAGTGGGAGGGCGGCGGGAGGCCCCCTAAGCCCCCCCCGGGGGTTGGTTGGGGCAGAATGGGAGGGTCGGGGAGACGGTGGTCGGCAGGCAGAGGCAGGACAGCGGGCGGCGGCGGCCACCGGTGGTTTTCTCCCCCAGAAGCGGGTCTGGGCCGGAGATCCGAAGCGTCGCGGTGGCGGGCAGGTCGGGGCAGGTGGGCGCTGCTCGTCCGTGCTGGCGGAGGGTGGGTGGCCGTTACCAGGGAGGTCTATAAAATGAGGAGGGTCAGCGGTTGTTGGGAAGCCGGGTACGTGTGGTGGTGGGTGCCGCGTGGTATTAAGGTACGTTTGTGTGTGTACACGCGCATACCTGACTGTGTGTGTGTATGCGTGACGCGCGTCAGATGCGCGTGTATCTTCGTCTGCCTGACAAGTGCGGCAAGACAGGTTTATCTAGGTGGGGGGTATCTGTTTTAAAACCCATGTGGACCACAAAGAGTTGCGAGAAAGGAAGGGCGGGATTGAGGTGGTGGTTATTATTGTTCTTATTATTCTTAATTTATTTATAGGCTGTTTACGGCCTCGTTCATGGTGATTCCCGGTTCCCAGTGCCCCTCTCCTGGTGCTCTTACCGTTTTCACCGATGGGCTTGTTGGGTGTATGGCTGCTCCTACAGAAGTGCCTTGTCACGGGTAGCTCACCTTTGCCCCCTTCTTTGCCACATCCTGCCCTTCTGGAAAGGTGTTGGGGGGCATATTGGGGAAAGCCCGGGATGAGGAGGTGGAGAGGTTGTGTGTGTGTGGGGGGGAAGTTTTAAGAATACAATACTGTACTCAAAAAAGTTGGACTGTTTTGAATTTTTTAACGGAAAACATAGATTTATGGGAAAAGTTGCCTTGTAATTTTCCCAATATATGTGTTGCTCTTTCTGCGGTTTATTCTGACTTTGGTGTTCTAAAGAGAGCAGGCTTAAAATATTTCTAATGTTTACTTGGGAAGATAAGGGATGTTGTTTGTGCCACAAATCATTTACAGTGTCGTTCGTAGTTTTTTTATTACTATTATTAGAGTTGGCTACCAGTACAGGAGAATGCAGTTGGGTCCAGTAATTCCAGTATCCCCATATCTGTCACATCACTCGTTCCAGACTTATCATTTATTCTTTGATCCTTGTGTCATTCATGTAACTCAGTTGGTGCCACTGTTTTTGTTTAGTATTGTATTTCACTATTTTGAAAAATATTTTCTAACAATACTTTTGATGTCATGCCACATACCTTCTTTATAAATTGTTGTTGTTGGCATCCGTCATCTGACAAAAATTAAATTCCAACAGATGATACTTAGCCAGTTTCTTTCTTTTGGAAAGGAGCTATTGGTTCACATAACATGGTAAACCAAACCTTGGCTTAGTTGACACACCACACTGACTTTAGGACTAGGAAGGAACAAAGTAGTTACAATTTCTTCTCCTCTCCAGTAGCCTACACATTTCTGCTAAGCTGCGGTTTGGCTTGTGTGTGAATGTGGCTATTTTGTCAGTCCTCTTATTCTTGCAGTGTTAAAAGTTTTAAACCATAGATACTTAAGACATGTAAAATGTTTGAATACTTTTCTTATATTTCAAAACAATTTGGGTGTATTAATGGACTTGTTCAAATATATACATACTTAACTTAGATTTGTGTTTAGGCTATACACTTCTTGGAAAATAATAGAAAGCACCTCAGACTAATCTACTGGATTGTATAATGACATTAGATTATGGATGGCATCCAACACTAGTCATATTTTGATTTCAGTGGGTATGCTCTGAGTACAACTAATATTGTATATCACCATTAATGTTTTAAAAAATGTTATTCTTGTCTAAATAGAGATTTTAAGCCTCTTTAAATCTGTGTGGTGCTTCAGTGAGACACCATGTATCTTTTGAAGTATAAACATCCCATTTTATTGTAAAACAGTTAGCACTTATGATCCTGGAATTTTACACAACAGGCTTTTATGTTTTCTTCATCTACTCTGCTTCTTCAAAACCTACAACTTCATTATTTTCCTTTCACAGAATATTTGCAACTACTAAACTAGTATGCTTGGATCACTCTGTTTTATTTGTTTTGCCTTACTTTGGGAGATGCTCCATCACAATTTTTCATTAATTTCTCTCCAGCCTCCTCCAACAATGCCCCCTTCATCATAGTAATGTAGAACAGTATTCTGGCTTTGGTAAGTAAAAGGAGAGACTTAAATCCGGACAGAAACAGGAATATATTTATGAGAGCATTTTAATTATGTAAATATCAGTAGCAAGAATGTGATTCCTAGAGGCATTGGACATAAAGGCAAAATGTCCATAATGATTAAAAATAACTACATGCTGCTGTGAATTATTATTATTATTTATTAAATTTGTTAGTCACTTTATGTTGCCTAGGGCAACCCAAAGCAACTTACAGACAGACAAACAAACAAACAAGACAATAAACCCCACATAGATACAATAAAACCAAGAGGAAAATTAAATACTGTACATTAAAAAATCCCACCCACTCCTAAAAGGCCACAAATAGTTAAAGTCCTGGTTTTGCTTGGTGCCAAAAGATATGTAGTGAAGGTGCCAGGTGAGCCTCACTGCGGAGAACATTCCATAAACAAGGGAGCTGCCGCACAGAACAGTTGCCCCCCTCCAGATGTCTTGTAGAGGGGGCACATGAAGAAGGGCCTTAGATTATGATTGCAGGGTCCGGGACAGTTCATATGAGGAGAGGCAGTCCTTGAGGTATTGCCAGCAGTTTGAATTTGGCTCAATCGCTAACTGACAGCCAGTGCAGTTGATGTAGGATTGTGTCTATATGCTAAACCGTCTTGCCCTGGTGAGCATCCTGGCTGCTGAAGTTTCTGAACCATCTTCAGAGGCAGCCCCATGTATAACGTATTGCAGTAATCTAACCTAGAGGTTACCAGAGCATAGCCGACAGAAGGTAGACTGTCCCTGCCTAGACAAGGATACAGCTAGGCCACCAGCCACAACTGATGGAAGGCGCTTTGTTGCCACCAAGGCCACCTGAGCCTCAAGTGACAGTTATGGATCCAGAAGGACCCCCAATAATCTTAGCAGGTGCCACAATATTGGTAATGCAACACATTTTGGCTGCTCAGATAATGAAGGTGCCAGCCAAGCCTCCTTTGGGGAGCCACTGCAAAAAAGGCCCGTTCTTGGTTGTGGTAGAGGCACACAAAGATGGGCCCCCAATGGTGATTGCAGGGTCCGGGTCAGTTCATATGGGAAGGGGTGGTCCTTGAGGTATTTTGGTCCTGAGGCATTTAAGGCTTTATAGGTCAAAACCAGCACTTTGAATTTGGCCTGGAAACTAGTTGGCAGCCTGTGCAATTGGGCCAGGATCAGTGTAATGTGCTCATACCCTCTTGCCCTGGCAAGTAGCCTGGCCATCAAATTCTTCACCTGCTGAAGTTTCTGAACCATTTTCAGAGGCAGCCCTATGTAAAATGAATTACAGTAATCTAACCTAGAGGTTACCAGCAAATAGACAGCAGTAGTTAGGCTGATCTCACCCTGGCTTAGTCTGTGGCTCGGGCAGTGCAATTTATGCTGATGTAAGACCCCAAAAGGGGCATTCCAGAGTGTGGTAGAATGGGGCAAGGATAAACTTATAACTATTCTAAACTTTTAGCTTGGTCATATTGTGTGACTTTGGGCTCAATGCTCAGAACTGACCCCCACACTTTCCTGCCAGTTCAGGTGACAGGAGCCTCCTGAATGGAATTTGGAATAGCAGCAAGTTCTGCCACCATTGATTATGTTAGTTCAAATTACACCACCTTTCTACAATTAGGAGGAGGAGGATTATATTTATATCCTGCCTTTTCATACTGGGACTTAAGGCTGCTTACAAGTTAGAACAAGACAGATAAAATTCAAAAAGCTAAAAACATATAAAAATAATCATTAAAAATAATTAAACTCAAGTAGAATGAAAACAATATAAAAACCAAATCTGTTAAACTACAAGTGATAAAACCAATAAAAACAGCACAGCACTATTAAAACCCTTTCCTCAAAAAAAAAAATACAGTAAAGTGGAATAAAGCATTGTTGCTTTGTTGATGCCCCATATCTTTCAGGTATTGTCCCTTCACTTGTTACATAGAAAGAGCCCAGAGTTTAGTAGTTAGCACACCATCTAGTTCAAAATTCATTTATTTATCTACACAGTGGTGCTATCCATGCCTGTGATGGTGTACTTTACAGAGTTTTATAATGAAAATGCAAGCCACTGTCAGTTCCTTGGGGGAAATATAAATGTAGCCCGTGGGAAGATAAAGACAAGAGTGTGTGTCTTGATAATAAGAATCCAGGCAGGGAGGGAGAAGCCTGAGGAGGAGTTTCCTCCACTGGAAAAGTTGTACAAAGATCTACATATAAGAGCATTGACTTAGAAAAGTGTTGCAGAAGCCTAAGGCATAGAAGGAGTCCAGGGGGAGGATTGTCCCAGTTCTCAATGTCGCTGATGCTGTCCTTGATAAAGCAGACGGACACCTTTATCCCATGACATGAGAATTGCAAAATCAATTTCAGGAAAACTCAAATTGTATAGGGAAGTTGTAAGTTTAAAGCAGTTTCAGTTCCCTGCATATTGTTTATTTGTAAGGTTCAACACAGTCAGCAAAATGGACCAACTAAAGTGGAGTGACCAGGAATAAACAGTCACCTTCAATAGCCTGTAAGCAAGGGAAATGAAAGCCTTGCTTGAAATGGCCCTGAAAACAGATATTAGATAATGTCAGAGATGGTTACGGTTTCTGAAAGCTGTGCCATTTGCTAGTATTTGGATTTACACCTGAGCTAATTAGAAATCTGATAAGGTGAAGCTATGAAATGAGATCATGTCAGTAGCCTGATCAGTAGTACCCATATTTAAATACAGTGCTCTTTGAACCAGAAGCGTAAGGCCTTCTGCCTAAAAGTTGCACCTCTGCTCCTTCACATGATCACACTTCTGATCCAGTTGATTTTCTCATTATTGGATTGATTTGATCTTAAATGTAACACATTGCTTCTCAGTCTAATACTGGTTCATTTAATATGATGGGTATGTAATATGACAAGTATAACTTTTATGTATTTTTTAGATTATTCAAAGCACTTCACAGATTATTCAAATATACTTTACAATAACACTGTAAAATCAGTGAGTGTCATTCCCATATTGTAGAGATGGGACTGAAACTGTGAGAATAGTAACTTGCCTTAGGCCACCTTGGGAATTCAGGCAAGTGAGGTTTGAACAATGGTCTTTCCAGTTCACAGCGTCCATGTCTAATGATGATATTTGCTGAGTCTCTTCTTGTGGTTAGCATTTATTGAGATTAATTGTATAAATTACAAATTGAAATGAAAAGAATTAAGATTTTAATGAAGCCTTTATCATGACATTTCTCTCTAACCACTTGTCTACTTAGAGTATAATAGCAGAGACCCAGTATGTGTATATTAACAAACTACATTCTTTTTTCAAGTCAAAGGGAAATCAGGGCTATATATTTGTGATTCAAATACAGCCTGACAGTTAGGTAGAAACAACAGTTATACTCCTGTATAAATCTGCCTCCTTATGGTAGCTTCAGCAGAGAGACCTTGCCAAAAATGGCTTTCAGTATTATTACATGTACTATGAATTTGAGTCCTGGTTTGAGGGCTAATGGGTTCACATCTCTAAAAGGACGGGACTAGCCTTCCCTCCCTCTGTAGATTTCTTTTCTCATAGGTAAATTCCTTCTCCAGGAGCAGCCTTTGAATGCCTTCATACTGTACTTTGAAGGCAAAGTATGGAAGTGGCATTTGACTGGTCAAAACAACAAAAAGTCGACCCTTGGTCTCTTGAAGGGTCACATACTTAAGTACTTAAAATGGTAATTTATCAGTAACAAACTGAAGTCACTATGCTAATTATATAGTTTTGTTCTTCTTAGAAGCATAATGCATTTAGATTGGCAGATGCCTCTAAACTAGTACATTATTGATTTCACATATTACCACAACATGGAAAGTAGCTGACCGTCCAGATAACAATATTTTACTGGTCAGTTGACAGCCTCTCCAAATCATGCAGGCTACTAGTTTTATTTCTTTCAAAGCCACACAGGACCTACTTGCTCTGTTTTTCTTACCTACCTTCATGTTCAGTCACAGCACAAAGTGAATGGATGATTTCCTTTTTTTCTTGAGATGTTTTCTTCCCTTGATCTTCTCCTGCCCTCTATAGTCTTGATTCTTTTAAGTCTTGGATAATTTTGCATTGCTCAGAGCTTCATTGTATATATTCTCTTGTAGACCAAAGAAGCAGATTGTTGGTGAATTCAGTAACTACTTGTTACATCTGGTTTGGCTTTGAAATACTTCATATGGGTTTTTTTAAATAGCTCCGATGATTACACTGTCTAAAGAAACTTCATTCCCCTCCCCACCTCTGTTCACCTGTGCAAACAGATGATGATTTTTATGGGGATCGAAACTAGGACTATGCTGAGATTCAAAGTGTTTATCAGAATATATACTACTGGTGGGGAGTGCCCAGCACTGCCCAGATACATACATACATACATACATACTTACAAACAAACAAAAATCTGCTTTTTAAATAGTGTAATTTGCAAGTTTTGGGGCTGTGTTTACACACATGTACACACACACCGACCTGGCTGTGGAGCACCTGATCCAGTACCTAATTGGTTTTTTTGGGGGGACGGGCAAGCGTGATGTTGAGCCAGCAAGTCAATAAACCAGTTTAATCTAAGCAAGCCTGAACCAGGATATTATCTCCATGCATATGGAAATCTAGGCTGTTGAAGAAAAATGCTGTGAATATTCAAAAGCTCTGTATACATGCTAATTATTGACCAGTATTCAAAGAACTTGACCCTTGTCAGATGAACTGAAGGGGGCTTTTGCCTTCTTTCAGACAATGAACTGAACAGGTTTCATGGCAAAGCATAAATTCAAAACATACCTTGGATTAGGTGAGAGGAGGTACCAGCCATTCAAAGGAAATGGTGAAAACTTCCAGTGTTATAGAATAAATGGGAGGCTATGAGACCACATTTTGCTATCTGTCAAAGACAGATATTCCTATGAGTCACGCATTAAAGAACCTAGAGTTTCTTGCTTAAACTGTTGATCCATGTGCAGTTAAGTATTTTTGTATGTACTATTAAAAGGTAATTAAAGAGGCTGCTATCAATGTTCCATGTCGGCAAACATTCATGCATATAATTAAAACTGACTTCCCATAGCGGAAATGTCTCTGTACCATTGCCAAGTTCAGGTTTGTTTGTTTCTAAAAGACTTGTTATGTTGACTGTGTGGGTGCATGTGAATAAATAGCAAAATGCTTCTAATTTTGCTTTTTTATTATTATAAATGGCATTTTAAAGGTCAATGCTGCTCTTTTAATGTAGGTTATGAGTGCTGGCTGTATGCTTTTCAGAGCAGTAGTGTGAGGAAGCTTGGAGTGGAATGGCAGGACGGCCTCATCCTTATGACAGTAACTCCAGTGATCCAGAGAATTGTGATCGAAAATTGCATAGTAGACCCCGTAAACTTTGTAAGCATTCAAGGTAGGTAGCACATATGCTGTATAGCATCTCAAAACTTTAATCCAAATTGATTCTGAAAAACTATTGAAAAGTTTGATGCTCTCAGTAACAGATGATAAACATCATTCTGAGTGAATGTATCATTTTTTGTATCTTTATTGAGCTTGTTAACCACTTCTCACTTCTGCCAGCTGTAGCCATCTGAGAATGTGTAAAATACAGAGTTCAGTTGACCAATTATTGATTATGTCATCTAAAACTTACCAAAAAAACCTACCTGGGAAGAAAGTTTTTAAATGAAACAAGTACGCCACTAGGTATAAATTATACACATCTAAGGCAATATATATGGTCAAATAAATAATCTGAATAACCTTTGTCCTGTCAGCAACACTGACTATTTGACATACTTGTCTAACTACAGATTTTTTTCCCTTCTATAACTTGACTCTTACTCTGCTGAACCAATAGGTGAAGGCATTTGATAGCAGAAATAATTGCTTTGCATCTTGCATTGCCATAATAAAAAATGTTAAGCAAATTAACACCTGGCATCTTTGCATGTAATAACTTTAAATTTAGAAGTTCATATACATTCATTGTACTTCAAATTAATCCTCTCTGCCTTGCTGGGTATTGAAGTATCCATTGCAGAGATGGAAAAAGAGATCTAGAATATTACTGACAGAAGGTATCAGTTCAGTGGAAAATCTGTAAATACAGTTTATGGTGCCTTGCTTATATAAGCACTGTAACCTTGCTACTTTAGCACTAAAAACATGCTGTTGGTTTAAGACTGTTAACAGGATACCTTAGAAGCCAGTGTGCTTATATGCTGCCTTGATTAAGGTTACCAGACGTCCCCATTCCCCGGGACAGTCCCTGGATTTACAAATCAGTCCCCATACAAAATCCATTGAAGTTGAAAAGTGTCCCTGGATTCATTGAAAAAAATCTGGTAACCTTAGCCTAGATGGCCTTAGTCAGCTGGTGTATATCGACAGAGCTGCCTGTGAATCATCTAAGAAAAGAATGGTGAGCAGGCATATTCTAGGAAGCCGCTTTCCAATTTGGAAATTTGCTGTTTCTGGAAAAATCCACTCGGTCCTCAGCCCTGGGTGATTTCCAGAAGTGATATAAAGCCCGATTTCAGCAGGCTTTCACTAGATGGGGATATGTTGGGTCAGCTGGAATAGCTTGTTTGCTTAATATGCATTGGCACTGCCAAAAAATTTTGTTACTTACCCTGAGCCTAGGACATCAGGCTTGGTTCAAGAGACTGAATTGCAAGCAGCAAATTCTGTTGTAACAAATCATGCAAGTAATACAAATGAAAATAAAATTGTATTATATGAATAAAAGTAATTGGCAACTAGCTTTGTTTTCTAATTTCTATACCACCTTTTATCGAAGGATCACAGGGTGGTTTACAGTATAAAACACAAAAATGCATGACTTTAGTGTTAAAAGTGTACATTTGGAGATAATGTTTAGAACAGAGAACACGGGTCATTATGCTGTGTTTATTTTTTGGAATATTATGGAAAATCTCACAACAAAATTGTTTTCAAGCATTTTAAGATCTCAAAAAACAAACAAACAAACATTTGTTACCAAAGTTGGGTACAGGGCCATCAATAGCAAGTACTCTACTGCAAAACTATGCCATGCTCCCCTTCTAGACTCAGGGTGTGAGAACGATTGTTTGATTACACCAAAAGTCTTGAAAAAGGCACACAGGCAGAGTGCAAAAACTGACTATGCCATGGCAGAAGAACATTTGTGGAAGCTGTTTGCTAGAGAATTAAATACTGGATCAGTCTTGTATTATTTTTGCAACTCACAAACAAAATAATAATCTAAAATTTGGGGTCATGTGACACTTTACAAATGAACATAATTTATTATGAGGGGCTTCCGTCCTTTCTGGAGTTAGAAAGAGCTAAATATTTGTTTGCTTCGACAGTTTCTTGCATTTTTGAGTTACGAAGAGCTCTGCTGAATCAGACCAAAGTCCCATCCAATTGAGCATTCTGTTCACAGTGGCCAACCAGATGTCTGTGGAAGCCCACAAGCAAGTCTTGTCCCCTCACATCAGCGGCCTAGATCTTGGTTTGTAATTGTATAACTGAGAAACATTGAAGTTGTAGAAGAAACTCTGGTTAGAGCAGTTACGGTGGCTCCTGCTTATTTTGCACAGACAGTTTCTTAACCTGAGTTATCTTGACTGTTGCCTTTCTCTCCTATATCTCTAAACAGGGTGGCTTTTATTAAATATCTTTAAATATCCAAGCAAACCATATGATCCCAAATGAAGCTCTTTCATAGTTTGTGTTGCTTTGAATGACTGTAAAATCAGGCATGAAAGATGTGTGATAGAATAAACCTTTTCCCTTGTTTTGTTAGTTTATTGAAATCTGACAAGCTGGCAGGACTAGAAATAGCTTCACAGATGGCATTTGGCAATATACCAAGCAGCTCTTCTCTTACGCGTTCCTTACACTGTCCATCAACTATGTTAGCCAATGGCTGCTCAGAGATGAGGAAATGGTAAGCATGAATTCAGCTTACAGGAGGCTGTGAGGTCAGACGTCAGTACTGCACTGTGCACGGCTGAGTCAGTGGCTGTGAGAAAATGAATTGAATTAATATCTAGGGGGCTTGCGTCTCTGAGCACTTAATGGACTGAATAGCTGTAACAGGATTGTTACCCTTGAGGGTGAGAGGAAAAGAGGATGCTAGAAAGTAAGGCAGGCTAATGGTGCAGAGGAGTACTGAGAGGAGGATGGAAATAGCAAATATGCTGAACTTAGCAAGTAATGCCAGAGGATGCTGAGCTGGCTTCCAAATCTACCGCCTGGAAGGGAGCGGATTTCCTTTGTACTTTGGTCTCGATATTTTCCCCATGTTTTTGTGTTTCTTCCTTGTTCTACGCCAAAAGCAGGTGCGTAACCATTAATAATCTGAACAGCATTTAGCAGGAGCTGGAATGCAAAGGAGACTAACTGTCCTTTGTGTAGTCTGATCTCTTTAAATGTCTGATATGACAAAGAGCAGATGTGTGTGTGCATGATCTTTTGTCTCAAGGAAAGACTGTAATATAAACAGAAATGTTATTGTTGGGTGTTAAGATGCATTTATTTAGCTTAATTTAAGAGGAGTTGGAAGTTTGTAGATCCACTCAAATGCAGTTTCTTAGAAGGGGCTATTTTTAAGTTTGGTTGACTAGCTTTTTTAGTGCAAGACAGAATATTCTTTTATTGTTGTTTGAAAGATTCATAGACAAAAGTTTTTGTAGGTGTAATATTTGTTTGAAATGTACTCTATCACTTAATCAGGATGATAAAAAGATTTGGTTAGTAAGTCTCTGAAAGTGTTGGCATTTTCTTTAAAAAAAGGTACTCTAAAATCTGAGTTTTCTCATTGTTAGTCCCTACACACTTCTTTAAACTATGAATATTGACCATGCTTCTTAAATCTGTAGTTTTAACATGTTGCTTTACATCTCCTAGAGTTGTACAGTATATACTATAAATGCTTATGGCTGATAAAATAGTTGCTTTCATTTTAGTTGACTTGAATATTTTTTTGTATCTGCATCATTTATTGCATAATTTTATTTTTATTGCATTTTTAGTGCATTATTTTTGTAGTGTAGAGCATCATATGAAGTTGTTTAAAATATGAGGAAATTGATGGTTTTATACACAAAATAGCTGATAGAAATTAATGGGTTGTTTTTCTTAAGACTAGTTTGGATTAGTTCAAATCTAATACTGTACTATATAGAGGCTTCTTAAAGTTACATGTATGGTATGTGCTCTGTGCACATCAATATGTTTGTGTGAAGTGACTTGCAACAAACAGTTGTTTTATGTGGTTTGCTGTTGTAGGAAGACAAATAGTGTGGAGTCATCCACTCATGTTGCAAGCTACTACATGGGAATGGCTGGGTGATTCTGTGTGATAATGTTTTGAGTTTACAAACGAGGGTTTATGTTCCCTTCAAATTACCAGGTTTGGGCAGCAATCTGTATTCTAGGTGCACTTGTGTTAAAGTACTATGACTAACTTTTTTTTGGCCTGAGGGCCACATTCATTCTTGATCAACATCTGATTGCTGCATGCCAATGGTGGAGGTGCCCCCGCCCCATACATATATCAACAGACACACAGCCCAAATGATCAGTCTGATGACTGGGAAGTGGGTGATTTGCATCTCCAGTAGGAAACTGGAAGCCCCTCCCCCGGGTTGTGCCTATTCCAATTCCAATTTTTCTTTTGGCTGCTGGCACTAAAATGGGTGGGGTTGTAGAAAGGGCAGAAAAACTGCTTGGGGGACTAAGTCACGCCCCCCTAACTGGGGGGTTAGCCTCCCCTACATTACAGTAAAAGGTAAAGGACCCCTGGATGGTTAAGTCCAGTCAAAGGTAACTGGGGTTGTGGCGCTCATCTCGCTTTCAGGTTGAGGAAGCCGGTGTTTGTCCGCAGATAGCTTTCTGGGTCATGTGGCCAGCAAGACTAAACCGTTTCTGGCACAACAAAACACCGTGACGGAAACCAGAGTGCACGGAAATGCTGCTTACCTTCCCACCACAGTGGTATCTAATTATCTTCTTCCACTGGTGTGCTTTCGAACTGCTAGGTATGCAGCAGCTGGGACAGAGAAATGGGAGCTCACCCTATTGTGTGGATTCGAACCGCCAACCTTCTGATCGGCGAGCCCAAGAGGCTCAGTGTTTTAGACCACAGCGCCACCCACATCCCTTACATTACATTACAGTGCATGTTTCCAAAGAAACTAGCTCCTCTAAGTAACTTGTAATTTGACTGAGATTTAGCAAACAAAGACTAAAATATGTCATGTTATTTTTTTTAAAGAATATTTTAATTTCTGTTTTTTCATAATACAAGCAAACAGTAGCAAATAAGAATAACCCAAATGGAAGTATACAAAATCTCAAATACAAGTTATTCTGTTGATATAGCAGTTTTCGTTGGTTGAGTAATGAGTTGTCAGTGGTCTTGGAGTTGAGTGTGTGTTCACAAATGTTAGGAAGCTGAACCATGTGTCAGCAAAGTCACTTTTTTTGGTCCTCCATCGTAAGTTTTTCTGCTTGTGCAATTTACCAGACATTGCAATGCCAACAGCTAAGAGTTAAGCCAACTCCATTTTCCAGTGTCTACCTATTATTAATTTAAGTGTATAAATAAATACATAATTTTTCCAATAGCCAAAGGAAGTTGAACTGAAATATTTGATGTGGGGGTAAATAATCAATTAAGTGCACTTGCTGAGTTTAAATATTAACATTCAACAAGTTCCAATGTTTCACCTGGAAATTTATTTTTATTAAAATGTTTTAAAACATTTGATTTCATTCTGAGTCATAGCAGTTGAATAACGTACTCAGAGGTTTTTTAGATTTTAAGAAAACAAATGAAGGCACAGAGACCTGTTAATGCACTAATCAGCAACAGAAGCACAGTTTTTGGTGACATGAAAGAGAGACTTTTACGTGGCTGCTCCTATATTGTGGAATTCCAAACTAAGTTTAAAATGGCTCCCTCTTTGTTATCTTTCCCATGGCAGCCTAAGACCTTCCTCTTCAGACAGGCCTTTGGAAACTAAGGTGCAGACAGTGCTGATCACTGGGTTGCTGTCGGGGCAAATTGTATCTTAATTGTTGGTTGTAAATATGTTGCAATGTATTTTATTATTGCTTTTAACTAGTTTGCTTTTATTATTCTATATTTTATGATTAATGTGTATAATGTTGTAAGCTGCCTTGAACCCCAACTTGGGAGAAAGGTAGGCTATAAATATATTGAATAAATCATTTTAATATCCCTTAATAGCTTACTAGGAGTAGTCACCTGGAAAGCTAAGTACTACTTTGTTTTTAGATTTTAATGATTCCGTGTTCATTCCAGTTTGTCCAGTTTGATTTGTCACAGATTAATTTTTAGAATTTCATTGTTTCATTAAATTAAACATCTTCCATTCTGAAGTCTCAGAATGGTTCCTCCTTTGGCACACAGGGATAGCCTTTGAAGTGGCAAGTATCTGCTCATCTCCAGTACTCTTAGTCCTTGCTGCCAACACTCAGTGCGTACAAACGTCTTTCATTTCTACTCTTCCCAGTGAAAATAACTTCTTGAAGCACTCAAGAGTAGAGTTGTTTCTTTAATTCTCCTGTACATAGTTGAAGAGAATTGAAGGATAGTCTCAGTTTAGCTTCACACTTCAATTTATGCTATTGTTTCGTTGTTGTTTGCCTATAATTTTGGGGGTATAAATTTCTGAAACAAACGTTTGCTGTGATTTTCATCTGGAAACATATGCCATATTCTTTGTAGATGAAATAGAGAATATTAGCAATATAAAATGGGAGTAAAATATGTTTTAAAATTAGTTTAGATTTTCCTCCTCAAAATACACATCTCAGTAGCTTGACAAAGAGTTTAGGGATTTTAAAATATATTTTTTTACTGTGGTTCAGAATAAAATTCCAGTAGCATGATTATTCTCTGTTCTAGAGTTTCAGGCTGCCTAAGGAAGTGTATTATTGTGAGTCATCTGCACTACTTCCTGTTGCACCTGTTTACAGTAGATAATTTCCAGGTTTTAATATTCATGAGCTTGGCTTGTTTTTGAAAACAGCCAAAGAGAATAGTATTTTATTCTGTGGGTTGTGTAGACTTGCTTTGGGGCAGGATGGACCTTTAGGGAACAAAACAAAAACTTAAGCCTAAATGCAGATGCAAAATCATGACTTAGACTTTTATGAAATTTTACTTCCTTTAGCTAACGTATGTGTCATGTCACGTCGTGTTTCCTGCTTTCTTATTTCCCATTCTAGAGTTGGAGATCTCTATCTTTCACTAATGTTCACTCTTTGTCTTAAGCTGCTTATAGATTTGGAAAATGACTTTCAGAAAAGCAGCTTAGCATGCAGTGAAGGGATGGACAGTAATAATAAATACAGCACAGAGTAGTGCCAGCTTTTTTCTCCATCAGTAAACTACTTCAGGCACACACTTGAATGATCTAGGTAACTGCACTTTCTCTCCCCTCCCTCATATTTTGCAGAAGTTTTGAGAGGTTTGTCAATATTTGTAGGGGGGTGTTTCTTCCTCCTGTCTTTTCAACTGGGCATAGGGTGCATTCATTTTGTGGTGGTTTTGTGTGGGCCGTCTGTCACTCTGAGGCCTGCTTCACACTTTATGGAACAGGAGGGTTCTTGTATTTCTCCAGCTTGCTGATGTGTCTTCTTATTGGCAATGGTAAAGGGAGCGGTGAGGATGCCGTCATATGGGCGCCATGGTTCCTTTTGTTTCCTCCAGTGTGCAAACATGTAAAACATTCCAGAAATAACCTAGTTGAAATATTGTGGCAGTGTGGGAGCTTGTCTTTCCTGTAATATGAAAAATGTCCCTTTGAGACCTTGCATTAGTTATGTTCTGCTGAAGTCAAGAAGGGGTTTTCTCTCACCTAAGATCTTGAGGGTGTGTGTCCCTTTCCTTTTTGGCATAAAGGACCATCACAGTTAGAGAGAGGGTTTGCGATGTGTTAGTGATAACATGCAACTAATAAATATATAGGCTTTGCTTCATGCTTGAGATCTGAGATGAGAAGAAATTTCTCCTTCATCAGGTTAGCTAATTCCTCTTAGTCTTTAGGTTGGCTTCTTAGGTCTTTTGGATATGTGGGGTAGTATACCACCTTAGCGGGTAATCTGCTCGCTGTCTAGTTTCCGTCAGCCAGTGTGTGGAGGATCTAGTCTTAGAGGCTGGACTTTCTGACACTGCAGTTCCTCCTTGATAGATGAAGACATAATTCTGTGGAACACAAATACTTTTTGCTTGTCACATTTAATCTTAGACCTGTTTCATCCATGCAGCAATCCATGTGAAGCAAAGGAAGCTATTTGTGTGAGTGGCTTACATTGAAGTTCAGGCACATTTTAACCACATCATCATTTCCTCCACACACACCTGTCCCTCCACCCAGTCATTTTTAATTGGGGTGGAATCCCCCATCATATCAGGCCTCTTCTCTGATCCAGTGCGATGGGACAGAATGTACATGAACTTCACCAACCAGTTTTCTGCCTGTACCAGGACCTTGCTCCCAGGTTTTGAGAGCTACACAGGTTTTGAGGCAATATAATGGGACAGTTGAAACGGTCAGTTAGCCCCCTGTTGCTCATCTGTTGATAACTTGTATATAAAAACCAAGACCATTTATATTGCCCTTTTATCCTACTTGTGGACTTTTGTAGGCATCTAGTTGACACCATGGGACTGTTGGATTGAAGAGGCCTTTGGTCTCCTCGGCTCTTCTTGTGATCTTATTGGGGAGAAGTGATGATAAATCAAGGCAATTATAGCTATTTAAAATGGCAACAAAAAGCTGATTTAAATAGTTGATTTAAAACAGGTTTCACATTTCTTAAGAGAGAGAAAGAGTGGTGCAAATCTGACCACTAAATTGTGTTATATTACAAATAAGATTATGTACCATGTTTCATTCTTACAAGCAGACTTTGCACCAGGACAGTTTCTGTCCTGCTGTTTTGAACAAGCTTTACTACATTTGCCTACAGCTCTAATGTTCATCCAGTTTAATATGCATTCTATTAAAAAGCAATTCTGCGTTAGAAGTAGACTGGATTGGTGGTTTTTAAATTTGACTGCTCAGATTTTAGAGGAGAGGCTAGGGTCAATCAGTGTGTACGATGTCAAATCACTGTTAATTTTCTTTAAAGGTAAGACACCACTTCTGCAAAAAGGAAGGAACCATATTAGCTGTGTGAATATGTACAAGTTAGTGGTACCTGCTTTGAAGCTTTCGGAAATGGTCTAAGGCTCCAAGCATGCAAATAAGCAGGGAGAGATTGTTTGATCTGCTGCTGATGTCACAATTGCTTCAAGGGAGAATGGAGCCAAGGGCTGTGGCACAAGGATGTGTCTTGGGAGTCACATAGACTTCCTTCCCCACTTGCATGTAGAAGAGGTTGTGGAACTAGAGTGCAGATGTGGCATTTCTCTGGTTCCCCTTGTAATTAATTTTTCAGCTGACCCTTAAAACTTATTAATTGTACTAATTATAAATATTAGTGTTGCGGTATCCTTTCTGTCAAACTATTTCAAAAAGTTTGAGGGTTTTTAAAAATAGGAATAATTCAAATAATATTTATCTCAATTTTGTTTTACTTCTGTGTCAGTATCTTATATTTTGTTTCAAAGGCATTTTACATATTCTTAGTATATTGCACGTTGTGAATATACTTTTCAGTGTGCTCCAATGAATGGTCCATAGGATCTTCTATAGACAGGGTATTGCAAGCTGTAATAAAGAGGTGAGCAACATAATGATTCTGCCAGGATGGACTTAAACTTTCCCACAAGCAATGTGCCTCTTCCTAAATTTTTCAGAAATAGAACTTGATGTTAGGATGCCACTGAGGTTAGGAAATAATTTCAGCTAACGAAAGATTGGAACTAGATCTGTTAATTATTGATATTCCAGTGTGCAGATTGCTTTGTAAATCTTAATATGACAACTGTAAACTAAACATAAACATTTGTCTTTCTAGTTCTTCTTCACGTGTTGCTAAAGGAGATTGTAGCAAAATGAGTCTCCATGGTGCTAGTGGTGGGCATGAAAGGTCACGAGACCGACGTAGATCAAGTGATAGATCACGTGACTCCTCCCATGAAAGGCTCGAGTCTCAGCTCACCCCGTGTATCAGAAATGTGACTTCACCAACAAGACAGCATCAAGGAGGTATGTAAGGAGAGAACAGCACCTAAAGTCTTTTTTTTTTTAAGTGTACTTTTTAGTAACAATAGCAATCTTGACATTGCCATATGTATGTAAAAACTGCATTGGCCAGTATGTTCATTGGCATTACAGATGTCCATCCTCCACTTTATTTCCACACCAGTAGTTAGCTGTGAACATAAATAGTGCAACAGAGGCCCGGAGGCTATTTATTTAAGCTTTATATATGAAAAATATCCTCACTAATTTGTCCTGTGTTCATATGCAAAACTTGGATCAAAAGTATGTGAAATCCCAACACCAAATAGGTTATATTGTCAGAGCCTTCATTGAATCATATGATAATGGAAAGCACTAAAACAATTAAATAGATTTATTAACAATTGTTTTATATTGTGAACTGCCCTGAGACTTGTGGGTGTAGGGTGTTATACAAAGAAGAAGAAGAAGAAGAATTATTATCAGGGGATAGTAATCAACCATTGTAGAGTTGGAAGTCATCCTGAGGATCATCTAGTCCAACTTCCTGCGATGCAGGAATCTCAACCAAAGTATCCATGACAGATGGCCATCCCACCTTTGCTTTAAAACCTCCAATGAAGGAGAATCCACCACCTTCAGAGGGAGTCTGTTCCACTGTTGAACACGTTTTAAGTGAACATACTTCTGATTTGCACTTTTGTAAAATGAGGTGATCTTATTTGCTTATCACAGTGAACCAGGGCTTCTGGCCTGTTGTGGTTCACCATGAGCAAGCAGCATGCTGGTGTGCACAGCCCAGTCTCTTCTCACTTGTTTCTTTCCCTGGCACAAAAAGAAATCAACCGGGAAACTTGTCACAGTGTCTGAACCTGAGATCTTGGCTTGTTCCCTACCAAGCTAGGATTCATAAGCCAACAGCAAACCATGGTTGATTATCTCAAGTCTTGGATGTAAGGTGTGACTATTCCTTCCTCCCCCGCATGTATAGGTTTGCACATTGATACCTAGGACTAGAGATAACTGAAGCTTGTTTGAGAAAAAGTTGTATGTGTGAAATACCACTCCATTCATACAAGTTGTCCCCTCCCCAAGTGTTCTGTCCCAGCAGTCTGTGGGAAGGGAAACAGATCACCCACTTCCACACTTAACCTCAGGAGTTCCTATACTGTGGCAGCGATGATGACTGCTGATCTTCACTTCCTATGTCCGTGGACAAGTGCACAGAGAACCCTTCCACTGCCGCTCATAACAATAAGATTCCATTCTGTGCAGCTGTCACCCATGTCATGATAAGCAGAGCGAAGGTTAGGAGACTTTCCCCCTTTGTCGTCCTTCACACCACAAGGTCACACCCTGCTGCCACTGTACCTAAGGTCTAATCAATACAGTGGCAGCTCTGCTTGTTGGGTCACAATAATAGCTACCCCCTGTGAGAATGTACATTCTGATAGTGTAGAATATTTGGACACTGCAACACAATTTACAATATTTTAATTTTTTTTGTTGCAGAACGTGAGAAAGATCATAGCTCATCTCGTCCAAGCAGCCCTCGACTTCAGAAAACCTCTCCAAATGGTTCCAGTAGTAGTATTGGGAACAGTAGAAACAGCAGCCAGTCAAGTTCAGACGGAAATTGCAAGAATGCTGGCGAAATGGTATTTGTATACGAGAATGCAAAAGAGGGAGCTCGGAACATAAGGACTTCTGAGAGAGTAACGCTCATAGTGGACAACACTCGATTTGTTGTAGATCCTTCTGTTTTTACCGCACAGCCAAATACAATGTTGGGCAGGTCAGCATTTCTTTTTACTGCATACGCCTAAACTGTACTCCCTGAATTGCTGCTCAGAACAAATGTTTGGCTTGTTCAATATTTTTATTTGTTTAAACATTTTTATTTATTTAAACAAGGATGTACACTTTGGTAACACAAAAGAACAGGAAAAACCAACAGAATGAATGAAAACTAAAATTAAACATACACAAAGTACAAATTTGGGTTGTTTCATTTACTTTCCCCAGAAAAAACAGTAATTATTTTGATGTTGGAGGGCAATAACTTTTTTAAAAAAGTTTTATTTATAAATATCAAGATACTGTCTTTGAGGTCTTAGGATATTCTTAAAGCTAAAAGATTGTTAAGAATTCCAAATTGTAGCATATTTCATAGGAGTCATTTAAATATTTTTACCATGAAATAAATTGTTTTATGAAATAAATTGTTCAATTTTCTATACCTCAGTTTTACAGCTGTCTTGATTAAATATTTTTGTGCAACATTTCAGGTGAAATTAGCCTCTTTTAGAGTTGGTACCTTTTCTCTCATGAAATGCAACTTAGATATTGGGTGTTTTTATCCTTGGGTAAACCTGTCCATGGTGCAATTCAGTTGGAGAGGAATATATCTTATATGACTTTCTCTACAGTAGTTAATTACCTAATAATGAATTTCCTCATGGGATGTGACCCGTGGCGGTATTGTTCTGCAGTGAATTACCAGATTCATTTTTAGATAGTGTATAGTATTAGGGACATATCGAGGTCTGTTCTTCTAGAAACCAGTAAGGTAACTTCTAATGGCCGTGCTGAGTAGAGTTGGCTCTTCTCAAATTCAGCAAAGGAGGTAATAAACCTTTTATGGATTGATAATTGTCCATTTTAAGCTGACATTTTACTTGAAAGCATGTATTCCTCCCTGCTACTTATGGATTAAAGGACACATTGTAGATCGAAATGACAAGACCATGCAGGAGAGTGAACTAAACCCATATTACCATATTTTTCCGTGTATAAGACAATGCTTTTTGCTAAAAAATAATAATAATAATTAGGCAAAATTGGGTGTCTTATACACGGATAGTGATTGCAGAGGGGGGATGTGTGATTAATAGCAGCAGCAAGCAGGAGATTGGCAGTGGCGATTGGGTGGGTGATTGGTGGCTGCGGCAGGTGGGCTGTTGGTGGCGGTGAGCGGGCAGACAATTAGCTGCGGCGAGGTGCACGATTGGCAGTGGTGGGCAGGTGGGTGAGCGATTGGCGGAAGTGACCCAACCCCCCCAAATGTAAACAACTTAATTTCGGGTTTAAAAAAATAGGGGTTGTCTTATACATGGAAAAATACAATAATTAATATGGGTTAGTTCACTCTCCTGAATAGTCTCTTTGTATTTTATGTGTTCATATTTTAAGTAACAAGTCACACAAATATTATCTTAGGGAAGATGCAAGAGTTATTATTTTCTGTAGCTCTTAATTTGCTACTATTCTTTCTGCAGTTTCACCTTGCTAATTTGAACACTAATGAACGCTGTATATCTGAAATGACTTCTAAGCAAACCTTTTATATATATATATCTAGGATGTTTGGATCAGGAAGAGAACATAATTTCACACGGCCCAATGAGAAAGGAGAGTATGAAGTGGCCGAGGGAATTGGCTCTACTGTGTTTCGTGCTATTCTGGTGAGATTACATTACTTGCTGCTCTTTCCACATTCATAAGTTTATGTGCAAGAGGTACAGATTTTTTAAATGGTTTTGTAGACTTGAAAAAGAACACCTGAACATTCATCCTGTTATATCCAGGGCCTGTGCGGGTTGTGATTGAGGGTGACTAAGGATTCCTGCAGGGCACTTCTGTTCCATTGTGTGTGGCATCTCTCTCTTTCATTCTCACATATATTGAATGACATTGTTTGAAAGAATAAATGTAATATGAAAATCCTTTACAATGCAGTTTTGTTTCCAGCTGTGTAATCAAAAGGCTTCAACTGAAATCGAGGGATATAAAAGGTGGTATCTATTTTTAGATATGTTATTGTCTCCAATGATAAAGAAGTTCTACATAAAAGCTTATTATTATGGACCTTTTGTATCACAGTATGGCAGTTGAGATAACTTATTTCAGTACTGTGAGAACTGTTCTAGTGCCAGACATTAATTTCTGCAGTGTTTGACTCTAGACCAGTGATTTTCATCTTTCCTTGTTCACAGAACTCTTTCCATGAAACTGCTGGGTATTTCAGAGTGTTTTTGAGTGCACACTTGGTTTGCTTGAGGTGCTGCCCATTCCTATTGAGTGTCACGTGAACTCTGTAAGCTGAATTATAGAACACAGCCAGCACCACTGTGTTGAAACATTGTGGGGGAATAGCAGGCAAGCTGTCTTTCAAGAAACACTGTTCAATATTACTGATATTCTCATTGAAGAATCTCCAGTAATCTTCCAAGGAACATCAGGATCCCCCCCACACAGAGTTGTTTGTGGATGGCTAAGTGGGAGGGTGAATCTGATAGGAAAAGATAGAAAGAGGTGTCAGTTTGCATTTCTTAGTTCAGAAAGTATTGATTTGATGTGTAGAGACCTTTCCTAGTCTAATTAATTCGAGAGGGTTCTGGAAGCTTCTCTGTGTGAAAGAAACAAGTACTGTAGAAGGTTCATGATGTTCGGGTTATTCCTTCAGAGAAGCTGAGTACAGCTGGCTTAAACTGGTTCTGTTATCTTTTTCTGTGAAGGTCATGCTGACTATAATAGTAAGGCCAGAAGGAGCCTGGGTTTCACACTTTTCTATCTCTCTTTTCTGGTGTGGTGTTCTGTATATAGTATGCTTAGTGTTAAAGTTTAGTTTTATTACAAGTTATTGTAAGTTTCAGTTAGGTCTGCTGCAACTGGATTTCTTATGGACAGTGCCAATCATGAATGTATTGGATTTGTGACCATTATGCTCATTTGCCTTCAGTAGCAGGAAAGCTCTGCTGGATGAAATACAATTGCCTCTGGTCTATTTTTTGGGAATCCTGCAACATGTTTAGGCTTTTACTCTGATAGCTATATGTTGGAATCTGCTCTGGATCAATATGAGTAGAATTCATGACAAGAGGAAGCTAAAATCTTTGGCCAATGTTGTAGGACAGGCAGGCATCCCCTGAGATGCACAAACCATCCCCTGAGATGCACAAACCATAATAATGCAGGCCATTTGGGTTGTACCCAGAAGCTAATTGGCATCCAGGACAGTCACTGCAGCTTCAGCCTTCTATGTGCCTTTCATGCCACACCTGGCAGAAAGTATGCTGCAACTTTCTGCATTAGCTCTATTTTCTGCTCTGTTACCATGTAAAGGCATAATAGTAAGCTAATTTTGTCTTAAGATGGCAAAACAGAATTTTTGGAGAAGTGAAAAACTTTTCAGTAAGGAATTAGATGCTCCTTTCCAGTGTTTCATGGTAGTATAATTTTCCTTTTTCTTTTTCTAAGGATTACTACAAGACTGGGGTGATCCGTTGTCCAGATGGAATATCTATTCCTGAACTTAGAGAAGCTTGTGACTATCTCTGTATTTCTTTTGATTATAGCACTATCAAATGTAGAGACCTCAGTAAGTACACAGTTGAAACTGGATTTATATGTATGTGTTTTCAAGATATCTTGTTCTAACTGCAAAATATTTTCCTAGAATAATATTTATGCAGCAATACAGCCATCTCCTTAAAAAGAACCCCTCATTTCCAGATGACCCTCCATATGTATCATGGCATTATTTTCTTCTAGATAATTCCTTAACATCATGGAAATACATAGGAGAGGCTCAATGGGGAAATAAATCTTTTAACCAACATAGCCTGTTATATGAAGCATTCACAACAAATTATTTCCCTACCACAAAAACTATATTGTTCAGTTTCCCTAGTCAGGGGAACGACAGCAGAAGCTTCCCCATTTTTTTGGTCTTGAAAAACTGTACTGACTAAAGTGTATTTAGTGTCTAAAGTGTATTTAGTGTACTGACTAAAGTGTCTTTCTTAAATAAGAGCTCAATAATATTGATTTGGTGTTCTTGATTTCAGGTGCTCTTATGCATGAATTATCAAATGACGGCGCTCGGAAACAGTTTGAATTTTACCTTGAAGAAATGATACTGCCACTGATGGTAGCCAGTGCTCAAAGTGGGGAAAGAGAGTGCCACATTGTGGTGCTCACTGACGATGATGTGGTCGATTGGGATGAAGAATACCCTCCACAGATGGGGGAAGAATATTCACAAAGTAAGTCACTGAGGTTTTTTGAAAGTAAATTTGGCTCTGGGGTATTTCTCCAAAAATACATGCACATATCCTCAGATAATTTTCATTAAACAATACAAACATCACTAGAAAACAGCTGATGGTGATCTCTAAGGAAAAAAAATTAACTAAATACGTAGTGGCGTTTATGAATTAGGCACACATTGCGATACAGTTAAGGTTTTTGTTAAGTGTGGGGAATTTATTTATCTATACAGAACATACTTAATTGACTACATAGGCCTAGTGTATTAGAAAAGTTTTCAGCGGGTGTCTAAAAGTTGACACTGAAGGCGCCTATGGGCAAGAGTATTCCACAATAAAGCTAAAAGGTAAAGGACTCCTGGACAGTTAAGTCCAGTCAAAGGCAACTATGGGGTTGCAGTGCTCATCTCGCTTTCAGGCCAAGGGAGCCGGTGTTTGTCTACAGACAGCTTTCCGGGTCATGTGGCCAGCATGACTAAACTGTTTCTGGCGCAATGGAACACTGTGACAGAAACTAGAGTGCACGGAAATTATGTTTTCCTTTCCACCTCAGCAGTACCTATTTTTCTTCTTGCACTGGCATGCTTTCGAACTGCTAAGTTGGCAGAAACTGGAACAGAGCAGCGGGAGCTCACCCCATCATGGGGATTTGAATGCTCACCTTCTGATTGGCAAGCCCAATCATTGAGAGCCAGTGTGGTGTAGTGGTTAAGAGCGATAGACTTATAATCTGGGGAACTGGGTTCATGTCTCCACTCCTCCACATGCAGCTGCTGGGTGACCTTGGGCTAGTCATACTTCTTTGAAGTCTCTCAGCCCCACTCACCTCACAGAGTGTTTGTTGTGGGGGAGGAAGGGAAAGGAGAATGTTAGCTGCTTTGAGACTCCTTCGGGTAGTGATAAAGCAGGATATCAAATCCAAACTCTTCTTCTTCTTCAGTGGTTTAGATGACACTACAAGCTCTGTGTCTTGTTATGAAGTGAACCTTGTCAACTTGGGGAATGACCAGTGCCATTCCTGCAGATCTTGGTGATCGAGCTTGCATATAAGGGTTCAGGTGATCCCTGAGGTGTCCAGGACCTAAGTTGTTCAGGGCTTTGTAAATTAATGCAAGGATCTCAAACCTGGCTTGATAGTTGGAGGAAGCAAGGAGCGAAACGACAGCATTCAAGCTGTCGCATTCAAGGAGGGAAATGACAGCATTCAAGTTCTGCATAGAAATTGTGCAAAGCCTAATTTTGCTTAACCACGATTACTGACCTAGTGTTATTTCCAAGTACAGCCTTTGCATAAATCCCATCAGCAAAGTGTGAACTACAGTGGTGCCTCGCAAGACGAAAAGAATCCGTTCTGTGAGTCTCTTCGTCTAGCGGTTTTTTCGTCTTGCGAAGCAAGCCCATTGACGGATTAGCGGATTAGCGCTTTTAGCGGCTTTTAGCGGCTTATCAGCTTATCGGATAAGCAGATAAGCGGCTTAGCGGCTTAGAAAAAGGGGGGAAAAGGGAAAAAAAACCGCAGGAACTCGCAAGACATTTTCGTCTTGCAAAGCAAGCCCATAGGAGATTCGTTTTGCGAAGCACCTCCAAAACGGAAAACTCTTTCGTCTAGCGAGTTTTCCGTCTTGCGAGGCATTCGTCTTGCGGGGCACCACTGTACATCGCAGCAAATTTTGGTTAGTCCAGTTAAATTAGAAGTGAGGAAGGGAGCATTCACAAAATTTTGAAGTGGGGGCAGTGCTTAAAACCTATTCCAATTTCTATTAATTATCTCACATTGGATTAAAATCTTTTGCTATGCCAGTTAGCAAAAAGCACTCACTGGCCCATCACGTTGTACATGCTTTTAAGAAAAACAAATCTGGGAAAAGAGTACATGCACTTTTTAAATAATAGAAAAGCTTTCAAGAAGGAGGCCCCAGGCACATCAACTGCTTTTTAAACCTTTGCATGATGAGTCTGAAGGCCTGAAGGGACTTTTAAAGGATTTGAGTGAATGTTCTTACAGCTGCTGCTCACAAGAGGGTTTCTGTCTTATCAGGGTACCTCCTCACAAAGAGTTTCTAATTGTATTCAGTAGAACACACTTAAAAACCTCTTTAGAGCTTCATGTTAATTGCCCAAAGGTGTAAAGAGTAGCCCAAGTACCTGGAGACACTGGGAACAGGGCTTGCCTGCAGTTTTACAATGCTTGACCTCTGTTATTTGTGTGGCAAAGTGGGTACAAAGGATTGTCTTCCAATTAAAGTTGCAAGCATTGTAACACTGGAGGAGAATGCTGCATCCGTTGCTTTATCGACCGTTGCTACTGAACCAGGGGTAAACACTGTATAACATTTTATTCATCGGTGCATTGTGTTCCCTCCCCCCAGTTATTTATAGTACAAAGTTGTATCGATTCTTCAAGTACATTGAAAACAGAGATGTGGCCAAGTCAGTCCTGAAGGAAAGAGGCCTTAAGAAGATTCGATTAGGTATAGAAGGTAAGAGGTCTTGGAATTACTTCCTAAGCTATATCATCAACAGATCAGTGTGTGTGCACTTCTGCATTTACAGAAATGGAATAAGACAGGGTAGCGCTGGAAGGCAGATAACTAAATTGAGAGAGAGCGACAGAGGGGGCGGGGGAGAGAAGCCTTGAACAAGAATGTAGTTGATCATTCTGAATGTATGGACCATTTCATGATTCATGTGTACATGAGTAAATCTTCCTGCGTAAGTACCAGTGCAAAGCCTACCTTGATAAATAAGCGTAGCTTGAAATGTTAGTGTTTTACCTCTTGTGGTCTGTTAGCTTGTTATATATTATATGACCCTACACACAAAGGACAAAAATATATTGCTTGAAGGCAGAGTGCCAATAACAGGGGTCTGTAACCCGCGGCTCCGGAGCCGCATGTGGCTCTTTTACACCTTTGCTGCAGCTCCGGGCTGGATACTAGCGAGGGGAGGAGGTGCATTGTGCGCCCCGACACTCCCCACTGTGGCGGGCGCTGTACTGGCTGTGACGTCGCATGGGGGTGGTGCGTGCGTTAGTCACGCACCGTCCCGACGTCACCTTCCCGCCCGCTGTCAGATCGGAGGGCAGCGGCACGCATGCTTTAAATGTCGCAATGGTTTTGCGGCTCCCAGGTTTTTTTTCTTCGGAAACGGGTCCAAGTGGCTCTTTTTGTCTTAAAGGTTACAGACCCCTGGCCAATAATATCTTCAGTGGAGGGTGGAGGAGGTCCTTACATGGAGCAGTTCCTAAAACTAAAACACCTGCCTGGTGTCTTAAAGTGTTATATTCTTTTAGATGCCCTGGAAATGAAGTATTTCTGGTTGAAATGTGTGCAAATTTTGTTTGTCTTTTAATATTTCAGGTTACCCCACATACAAGGAAAAGGTTAAGAAGCGGCCTGGAGGACGGCCAGAAGTCATCTATAATTACGTCCAAAGACCTTTCATCAGGATGTCATGGGAGAAGGAAGAAGGGAAAAGTCGGCACGTTGATTTCCAGTGTGTAAAAAGTAAATCTATTACCAACCTAGCAGCAGCTGCAGCAGACATTCCCCAAGACCAGCTGGTGGTGATGCACCCCACTCCCCAAGTGGATGAGTTGGATATTCTTCCTGTCCCCCCTCAACCCAGCAACAGTGATGTGGATCCTGAGGGACAGAACTTGCCACTCTGATCTGAACTCTTGGTTAAACAAAAGCATGCTATTATAAAAATGAAGATGCTGTAATGAGCTCATACTGCACTACAATTCCAGCTTCTCTCCATTGTGTAATGAACATAAAATGTTTTAGGATATTGCAGTATGGACTTACAAAAGACCAAAGTGGGATCTGATTATGGTTTGTGGGAGTACATGTGTAACAACATCCTGAGGTTCAGTTACATACCTGCATATGTTTACCAGTAGGTTTTGTGGTATTGGTTATTTGTATGGTGGACTGTCCTCATCCTAAGGCTCTGTCACAGCAGGATTTGGAAGTTACAGTTTATTCAGTATTTTGGTACACGAGTGGGCAAAATGCAGACGTAAAATTGATAGTGGCACTTTATTAATGGTGGACAAAAAGAATTCTCAAAGCCATTTTTATAGTCATGATGCACAATGTTGAGTCTAACAGTGTGCTTCTTTCAGATACTTTCTATTCAGCTAAATGTAAATAGTTTGTTCTGAATGGAGGTGATGAGCCTACTTTGTTCTCTTATGGACGAGCACAAAATTAATTCTTGCCACTGGGGCTTTTGGATTGTGAGGTCGAGATCCAAAAGCCTTCTTTTTCAGATTTATTCAGTGAAGGGTTTTTTCATGTTTGATGTGAGCCATGTTCAAGAGTCAGGAACATACGATACGGGCTTTATCTTAAAATTCTGCCTTACCTTAAATCTGTTCACAGAAATATTTATTTACTGAGTTTTTTCATAAGTGTCATGGAATAGGAAAATGCAAATTGTTCACTCTTCATTTATTAACTGATTGTAAACGAGTTTTTCATTCAAATAAAAATTTCCATTATTTTAATATTAGCTGTGACAGTAATTTATTACGTATTTTTGTAAAACTACGTAACAGAATTTAGTGCCAAAATCAATGCCCTTTCCCCCTCTCTTTTTAAAAATAAAATGCCCTGACAATCCACATCTGACAAAAGACTGGTCTTTTTTAGGGGAAATCATTTAATGGTATGGAAAGGACCTATATCCTAGGTCTCAGTTGCAGTCATAGTATATGAGGACACAAAGACGCTGTTGTAAGGCAACTTCCTATATTTCTAAAAGTATAAGATTATATATGCAGCTCTGTAAAATCAAAAAAGACCAGTACAACAAATGGTATGTGGAAGTTATTGTCTGTAATGAGGGTAGACTGGATGGGATGTGCATCTTTGTATTGGAAGGCGTTGCAGTAAAGTGCAGGAGAACATCTAGATTATGATCATGAGATGAAACTGCTCAAGAGTCAAGAATAAGTAGAAGCCAACAAGGCAAGTGCAGTGACCTGGTGGTTAGCAGCACCTAACACTGTATTTCCTCCCCTGTATGAAGGTTTTTGCATGTCGCTTTTAGGCAAAACTTCATCTCATAAGCCTGTATTTCTTCAGTCAAACCTTAACCGCCTGCTTTTATCACCAGAGTATCTCCTATGCGCCACATCTTTTTCCATGCTTCAGAAGCTAGGCTGAAACTTGTAGGCGTTTGACTGAAGAAATACATCGTAGGAAGTCCTGGTTGTGTGTGATTTGAAAAATTGCAGACCCCCATTGATGCCAGGCAATTCAACGGATTCCCATAAGCATACTTGTTCAGGTAAGTCCATCACTTGCTTCGGAAATGCATTTGTTGTTCCTTTCGCCGTCGTCATTCTGCACTTCAACCAGAAGTGCTTTTTCAATCGAAGTAAATGTAACTTAGAACAAGGGAAAACATTTTATTTTAAAAATATTTAACTGTCTAATACATTACACTTCAACAATATTTATAGTAAAGGATCTTACAAGAAACAGTTTTGATACATTAGTATAAGAAATATCCATTATCCACATGGGGGACCATTTTTGTAGTGTAAAAACACACCATACAGCTGAAATGACCATTTGCATATAAAAGCTACCAGTGATGCCAGTGCTTAGTTCGCACAGTGATCTTTTCCTTTTTTTAAAAAAAATGTCAACACAAAAACAGAATCCAAAATATACAGTTAACGCAAGCTATACACAGCTAACCAAATCAAAGACGTAGGAGGAACACTGTAGCAGGTTGATCTCCACTTGGTGGTCTGAAATTACACATGGGAGAAGGATGACTGTTCTCTTGATATGGCTTTTTATGAAATTAAAACATCAAAGCAATTCAACAAGCTTCACAGATTGGAGAACTCCACCAATAATGCACTTTGATATATCCATATTTCAAAGCTATTGGGTAGCATTTACAAGGGCCATGGTAAGTCACTAAAATCAACAGGGCCCCCTAGACCCGCGTCAGCTTCCAGAAGGCTCATGATTACAGCCATTGCTGCTTCATCATTGCTGGGGCTGCTGGATCCCTGGTCGTTGTCTATCATGTCAATCCCTATATGCGAGTTTTCCCCTGGAAATAAAGTGAAAAAAGTGAAAGCTATAGTATGATGAGCTCTGTCCAAACAGTATACTTAAGACCCTGAGATCATCTCCTGAGACCCTCCTTCGTGTGCCCCCTCCTCAAGAGGTCCAGAGAGGGGCAACACAAGAACGGGTCTTTTCTGCAGTGGCTTCCCATCTGTGGAATGTTCTCCCCAGGGAGGTTTGCCTGGTGCCTTCATTATACACCTTTAGATGCCAGGCAAAAACATTGCCTCTTTAACCAGACCTTTGGCTGATCCATTACATCCTATACCCTTTTAAAATGTGTTTTTTGTTGTTGGGGAGGGGGTTATTGCGTTGCTGTTTTTATTAGGTATTTTGTGGTTTTATATGTTGATTTTATTCTGTGAACCGCCCTGAGACCCCCAGTTATAGGGTGGTATATAAATTTGATAAATAAAAACAGCTGAGATAAAACAATGCCAAACTACAAAGAGGCATTACTTTTCCCTTTGTTCTGTATACTTTGTTCTAAGAAATTTAATAATTCAAGTTTTAAAGATTAAATATTCCTAGTTTTCTTACAAAAAAATAATCTGATGCAGATAAACATGCAAATGAATCGGTGCTCTACAAAAGTTGTAGAATACCTTATCTTTATAAGAGAAGAAGCAGAGGGTTAAATACTACTTGTTGGGAGGGACTCCTCTGGAGAGAGTGTTTCTTGTGTCAGTGATACCAGGCTGCTGACCCTGAAGCTTTCCCTGGATTCCATCAAGAGAAGTTTGCCCTCAAGATTTAATTCACCAATATTTTTAAGTTAGAGGGATAGGACCCTAACCCTAAGGATTTTTACTACATAGTGACTGGGAGTAAGTAGTTCAATTCTCCATTCCTTCTTTTATTTGTCTTAGCTTGTCTTACATGCTTATATACTTACCAAGAATGGAAGAATTGTCAGAATACGGGTAGCCTGGATTGTCTTGGATCTGGCTAGATAGTAAACTGGCAGGAGGAATGTCTGGAGTTCCACCATTCAAAATCTAAAGAGAAATAGATAAAACATAATAGACTTTAGTCTCTAGCATGATCTGAGCGCTCTGATCGTAGCATATTTTGCACACATGATCCTGTTACACACTGTTAACATTTACAGAGCTTAAGTTCTGACATTACTTATTTATTCAACCATTAAGCTGCCGTTCACCTGGCTCAGGACAGAGTGACTTACAAAATACAAATGAAAGTTAAGCAAGTTAACAATAAACAGGCCAAATTTTAAAAAAACCAATACAAAAAAAATTGTACACCTTTTCATAATTTCTCCTGATTTCTACACGTTATGGTATCACACTATGGTGAATCTTAGGAACTTTGCGGCTTTAACACCTGAATTTGAAGCAGAGGGAACCATTCGTCAACTTTCGGAGGATATTATTAACTTCAAATTTACATTATGACTCAGCAAGAATTTCCCTTTGGGCCTAGCAACAACCCATTCACAATGTAACAAGTCATCACATGGGGTTTTTCTTCCCACTGAAACCTGCTAGGCTGCGGAAATGAAAGGTGAGTCAACATGTGATGAAAGCTTATTTTAGTGCTTATGTTAATAGCTCTGCTAGTCAAGCTATACTGTCATCGGAATGATTTAAATGTGCTGCAAGTGAACCAATAATAGATCAATACAAAATCTCTGAATAGCCAATTTTTTTTATAGCACTATAATTAAAAAGCATGGAGTTACAAGCAATTAAATTTTTATTTCTGGCAGTAAAATGACCTGGTAAGTCCCTGCCTTGCATTCCAAAGGCCCCAGGTTCAATTCTTGGCATCTCCAGGCAGGACTTGGAGATAGTCACTGCCGGTCAGTGTAGGGCAGATCTTTCCAAACTTGTCATGATGGTGACACACTTTTTAGATAGGCATCATTTTGCGACACAGTAATTCAGTTTCACTAGCAAACTGGAGGTTAAACTAACCCCTTTCCAGCCCCTGGAGGAGTGCGGGGAGCATTCGCACAACACACCTACACACTGCAGCCGACACACTCGTGTCACGACACAGTTTGGAAAGCTCTGGTGTAGGGAATACTGAGCTAGGTGAGCCATTGGTCTAACTTGGTAGAAAGACAGCTTCCTAATGTGCTTTGTCACCTGGTTTGCAGTCACATACCTATTTGGGGGTTGCAAACTTAAAAAAAGACTCAGTCCCTGTCTAAATAAGTTTTGTTCTCTTGCACTCTTATGCAGGCACTGGTGCCATCTCCAGGGGGCCCTAGGGGCCTGGGCACCCACAGAATTTTTGTTGTGGGAGCTTAGTTGTAACTATTACTGGCATGTTTTACTACCATTTCATATACAAACAAAGTTCAATTGAAATGTCGCTTAGGAAACTTTCAGCACCTACTCTGCTCTTTTGAAATGAGTGCAAGGGAGGAGAGGAGGGAACCTAAAACCTAAACAAAACCCATCCGGGAAGATCATGCCAGTACTAAATGTTCACCAGGAGATGGCAGAAGCACATTTCAAAAAGGAGTCATCGCATCAGTAAGAATGTTTGAAAGGTTTGCTGTGTTAGGTGGATCTGAGTGCAGCATTATCAAAATCTGCTTCACAGGGAAGAAGGGTTGGGGTGTGCAAATCAGGAGGCTCATGTGAAGAAGAAGAAGAAGAAGAAGAAGAAGAAGAAGAAGAAGAAGAAGCTTGTCCCCAGTGCCACTGCCATTGGATGTGGTCATCAGGTGGTTTGGAGCCCAGAGGCATCAATATGTTGATAGCATCTAGATCTATCTCTCTAGACCATGAGATGGAGCTGTGCTAGTGCTGAATTGGTGCATAAAAGCAGCAGCGCATCGGGGTAAGGGCCAAGACGGCAAATCACATTGAAAATTGAAAACTTGCGCATTTGCTGTAGGGAGATAACTTTTGGGCAATTTTAAAAGTAACTTTGTTGGCTGTACGTGTTCCAAAAATATTCAGAATGAACCTTACTCTTCCCCTGAATTGAGCTGCTGAGAATTCAGCCCTACAGAATACTAATCTAGCAACAGGAAGTTCTCACAGGATGTCTGCGCATGTGCAGAACAAATGTGTGAGACTGCTGAGAGAAGCCTAGCAATTTTAAAGACCCCATCTCACCTTTTTGCCTCCTGGCGAAGACGTGTCAGGGGGAGGTGTGCTGGTCATGTTTAATGGACTAGAGCCACAGCTTGAAGGCGAAGAGCCTCTTATCCTGTCAAAACAAAAGGAGTCAGATTGGAAAGGTTATGCTAAACAATGCAATTAATGTTTGACCAAATTATCATATTCATGGCAACCTGTCCCCTACCCACCTTGGAACATTGTACCCAAGGAGATCCTATCTCTCTCATTATCAAGTGTGAGAGAGATGATGCTCTGGTTAGGACTTAGCATTTTGAATTTTAACCTGCCAGATGTGTTAACCTGTTCTGGCTTACAATGCCTTGGTGTTCTCAATTGTGTACATTATTGGAAGTAGAAAACATAACATGAGGAATTTCCCACTGACTATAACCAGCGATATTTTTCTAGAAAAAAAGGTGCCAGAACTCACCATGAACACCTCCCTCATTCTCTTAGAATGGCAATGGTGCCCTCCTGAGAGGTGCCAGAACTGAGTTCTGGCAAATTCCAGCTGAAAAAAAGCCCTGACTATACCACTTATGGTTCTTTTCTCCCTCTCCCCTATCAGTGATCAACATAATTTTGAGGCAGAGGTTTTGACCATTTTGGCTCATTGCTCTCAACATAACCCAATATATTGCCACACATTTTTCTCTCCACATTTCTACAAAAACAGCTACACCACTTACACAGATTACTGTAAATGCATCAAGAGAGAACACACTTGGTGATAAAAGTGAATGCATATTTGTTCTGGGCTTGTCAGGTTTGCCTCCTGCTCCTGTAACAACCAATAGTAACACTACGGCAGCTATTGATTTCTTGTAACCTGAAAGCAACTAAACAGGGATACTTGCTATTTATGGAAAGGAAGCAGCTGGTCACCTTTTTTTTCGAGAAATAGAGCTTGAGAGATGGAAGAACAGCACTGGAGCTTTCCTCACCTGTGAATCTCCATAATTTCTTCAGCAATCATTCTGCCAATTTTTCCGGCTCCTGCTCTTGTTCCACCTGGAATACCAGGAACTGTTGGAAGGGACCTTTTAGGACCACCTTTATAAAGGGGGGAGGAGGTAACATAAACACACATGAAAATTTTAACACACATGAAAATTTTAACACACATGAAAATTTTAGCGGAAGGCAGAAAATGTCCCTTGTCCAGCACTCTCTCCTCCATTTCCAATGTTAAATACTTTACTTCAGTAGTCATTGGGTTGTATCCAATGTAGCACCAAGTTAGGGTCCTGGCAGTGCAAGGATTTCTGCTTGCACAACAGGACTCCCCACCCCAATTCCTTTGTGCATCCTTTAAATCTGTTCTGGGGTCCCCCAACTGAGGTCCAGCTCTGAGGGCCTTCTGGCGGTTCCCTCACTGCGAGAAGTGGGGTTACAGGGAACCAGGCAGAGGGCCTTCTCGGTAGTGGTGCCCACCCTGTGGAATGCTCTCCCTTCAGATGTCAAGGAAATAAGCAACTATCCGAGTTTTAGATGACATCTGAAGGCAGCCCTTCTTCAGGAAGTTTTTAATCTTTGATGTATTATCATGTTTTTAATATTCTGTTGGGAGCCGACCAGAGTGGCTGGGGAAACCTAGCCAGATGGGCAGGGTATGTATGTATGTATGTATGTATGTATGTATAAATAAATAAAATTATTATTATTATTATTATTATTATTATTATTAAAGAGGTGAGATCCTGTTGTGTAAATCCTTGCACCGTTGAGAAGAGTTTGTTGGATATAGCCCAATGATTCCAATCGTTGCAGTAGAAGCTTGGAGGCCTCCTTCTGACATTACATTAAGTGCTATGTGTGTTTGCTTGAGCATTAAGATAGACCCCAATGTCATACACAAAAAATAATGCTCACAGATTTTAGAATCGTGATGCAGATCCTAGTTAGCTATGCTTTGATGTTATGAGATGCCCCCCCCCCAAAGGTCAAACTAGCTGCTGCCACAACCAAGAGGAGCAACATCTGTGAAATTGTCTGTGCTTTCCTTCCTTGGGCTACTTGTTCAAATGACAGACAGGACACCTACATATTTTGACCAACAAGGGATATGTTATTAACAGCTAAAGTGAGCCAAGTTAGAGTTTGTTAGAGTAAGACTAGGAAGATCCAGCTTCAAATCTTCACTCAGTAATGAAGTAAAACTTAACTCCTATGTTACACTAACTTCACGTGTGTTCTTTGGCTAAGGGGCTCATTTGGACTCTGATATTTGGCACTTGAGGCTCGTGAAATTTAGTGAGCTTCTTGGCTTCAAAAAGAGCCACTTAGAACATGGGCTTGACTGGCTGACTTAGCTTTGATGGTGGAACACCAAACTGGCTAAAGGGGCTAAAAGGCGGCTATGAATGGCTTTGTTCGGTGCTCTAGTTACCTTCTCCAGCCTGGAGCACACTGTCCATGCTGTGCGGTGAAGCTGAAAGCTGTGGGAAAGTCGCGTCTCCCCCATCAAGTACATTGGCACTGCAGGGAGGGAGGTTTCAAAAGAAACAGAAAGACAAATGAGACCCTTGGCTTGAATGCAGCCAGTCACCGTGTTTTCTCTTTTCAGATCATAGCCACAAAGCGAAAGACACACAGAAGAAATTACAAGCTTTGCATTACAAACTGATCATCAAGAAACAGATCATATGTTGCACAAAAGACAAAAATGTAAATATCACATTTCTGTCTTTCTGTTTGCAATACGTAAAGTAGAACTGGGATTTCCAGATCTCAGCAGCAGCAGGGGTGAGATCCACTACATATTACAGCAGAATCAAGGAAGGTGGAAAGGCCGTTTACATGCTTGGAGCATTAGGGAACATAGGAAGCTGCATTATGTGGAATCAAACCATCTAGTTTGGTCATGTCTACACAGACTGGCAGCATCTCTCCAGAGTTTCAGGCCGAAGTCTCTCCCACCCCTACTTGGAGATGCCAAGGATCAAACCAGGGCCCTTCTGTAAGACAGATGCTTCGCCACCAAGCTTTGCCGCTTCCCATTCTTGCTTCTGTTTTTCCTATTCATTTTTTGTCCCTTGAAGAAATTCTGAAATGATACCCCTAAATTATAGGCCAGAACCTACATTTCAATGGAGCATAGCAACAGAAATAGTTGCCTTCCATGACCCAAGGCAATCAACAAGGTGAAGACCCTTATTTTGCAGAAGGTTAAATATTTTCTTGTCCTTCCGGCAACTTTCAGATAGGAAAACAATTACCGTATTTTTTGCTCTATAAGACTCACTTTTTCCCTCCTAAAAAGTAAGGGGAAATGTGTGTGCGTCTTATGGATCAAATGCAGGCTGCGCAGCTATCCCAGAAGCCAGAACAGTAAGAGGGATTGCTGCTTTCACTGTGCAGCGATCCCGCTTGCTGTTCTGGCTTCTGAGATTCAGAATATTTTTTTTCTTGTTTTCCTCCTCCAAAAGCTAGGTGCGTCTTGTGGTCTGGTGCGTCTTATACAGCGAAAAATACGGTAGTCTAAATTGGAGCATTCTGCTATATTTGAACATCAGGACTATTTGGCTGTTTCCAGTTCTGTCATTATTTCATTAAATATTTCTTGACATTGAAAAGCAGATCAAGTGGCTCAATGAAGTGGTATGGACCTATGTACTGTCTTGTCAATATGTTGATGCCCCAAACCAGGCAGCATGTAGGGTCCAGTTTTGCAGGCCACTTGATACACTGGACCTAACAAAACTGTGAAGTCAATGGGAATGTCTGTGTATGCTTTGTTACCAAGCAGATAACAATGTGCTGATTTTCTACGTCTGCTTATAACTCCTTTGAGACATAGAAAGGAGGATTAAGTGCCCAGCTTATCAGCTGAGGAAAAATACTTACGATACCACTGTGTTAGTTGAGACAATATATTCTACTTCTTTGGTCCACGGGTTCATGAAACTGAACCAACAACTCCTCAGTGTAATAAAAGATCCGTCTTTGACTTTAAACTTGTAACAATTAGTATTAATTTTCTCTCTCGACTGTAAAACTGAAAGAAGGGGGAAATGGGACAAAAGTTAATATAAATGCACACTCCCTAGATAGTCTTGTGTGTTCATCACTTTCCATTGTGTGCTCCTTCCCACTGTGGCAAATTTCCTGCATATGCACTATTATAATTACAACATCAACTTAAAATTTTCCCATTATTCAATTTATCCAGGTTGTGTTTCCTAACCACTCTTTCTTAATAAAAAACAGAAATAAAGTCAGAAATTTAAAAAGTTTGGAATTAACTACCACCCCCTTGCATTTTTATTTTTTATTTTGCTTATTTTACCTTGTCGATGACATTCTGCAAGATGCCCTATATCATCTTGATGAAAATATTCATAACACGAAGTACCTAGAAGTTCCTGTGGTAAATATGCCAGAATTGCAGTTGCCCTAAAATATAAAAGGTTGTTTAGCTTAAAAAAATAATACTTAGGCGAAAACTACTATATAAAAAAGGAGTGCCAACAGACCAGAAACAGATTGGCATGGCCTGCTCCTTTGCCCTCAAGGAGAAACTTTTACTGTCAGAGAGAAAGACTGCGAAAAACATGGGCCCTCACACTGAAGCGCTTTCCTCTCCCTTTTGTTGTCACAACCAATGCTAATTATTCAGTATATAACAGCTCAACGTGGGAACACGGTTTCAGAAAATATGGCAGAGGGGTGGAGCAAAAGCATGCACTTAATGGATTTATTTAAATGGATTTATTTTTATAATAATAATAATAATAATAATAATAATAATAATAATAATAATTTATATCCTGCCCTCCCCAGCCGAAGCTGGGCTCAGGGCGGCTAACAACAATAAACTACTTAATATTTCAAAAATCTCCAAGCAGTGTCCCAAAAGAGATATGCTGACCACAAATGGACAGATGTACACAAGCACAATGCCACTGATTTCAATGGGCTTCAAATGCCTGTAACTGGATGTTGGATTTTGTGGTTACAGTCAAAACTCAGTCTATTAACAAATCAAGAAATTAAGTTCATGTATGTGCATACTTTTGGTACAGTGTTAAAAAAGGGGTGATAGCAAATGTGCATTGAGTGTGAGACCAAAGGTACAAAGAAATGTAAAATAAGAAGTGACAAAAATGTATATTATGTGAGAGATTATTCATGAAACCTTTTCTTTTCCACCTCTGCTCTGTAATCTGCATGTTATGATTTAGCTGCTAGTAATAGGATCTTCCTTCCTGTTGCCAGGACAGTAGGTTGGCATGGAAATCTCTTGCATGCAAATATATTTCTTCTGATATTCTATCAGTAGTTTTTAAGGTACCATCTGTTTTAGCATCTGTATTCCAGATAACTCTGGGGAGGCTTTGCCAAGTATTTTCAATTTAGCTATTGGCATAAAAGAGAAACTCACTTATGAAAGTACTCAAGGAAATAAATAAACATGATGAGCACCCCCAAGGTTAAAGATCCAAATAAGTTTCTGTCTTCCACTAAATCCAGATTAGCTCTTCCAGCTGCCAACTGGCTGAATAGATTATAGTCCAGAAAGCTAAAGGTTTATTTTCATACTACAATAAGGGATATAACTTCCCATGGTAACTTATTAACATTGGAGAACATTTTCCAGTTATTAGCTTTTACCATTTAATATTTAACTGGCAAGGGTTAAAATGGAAACACTACCAAATGAACGAATGTATAGCAATTCTCCAATGTATTCATATATTTAGAAATCCAAAGTGATATAATCCCTCCTTGCACAAAACTGAAAACATGTGAGACCAGTAGCTCCAATATAGAAATGGATTGTTGCCCACAATGACGTTGCTCACTTCAGTAGAAGGCTACAAAGGTGGCATTTTGCTGTAACATTACAGAAAGCTTTCAACCAACGCTGAAATTGTAGTCGAGATTTTATTTTTGTGGCATGCCATGTTCTTTTTGGCATGCCAAAAATGAAGGGGGAAAGGGGTGCACAGCAAATATGCCACACAGCCATGCTAATTATTCAGTTATGACTGTGTAAAGTTCCTTCACCCTCAAAACAACCTTCACTTGCACCAAACAAAGAGTGAAAGGCAGGTTGTGCATCTTTGCATAAAAGAATCACATTTTTTCTTTTATATCCCTTTCTTAGCCTCCCTTCTAAATACTAAGCCGAGGCATAGTTTGGTTTAATAAATCAAGTGCAAATGAATGATAATGCAACAAAAGTGGAAGCTTCATGTATTTTCTCTTTATCAGCAACCCCTTCTATTCCTCACCTTTTATAAAGTTAAAGTAAATTCAAAGGATTTAATTTGGGGAAGCCATGGGTGTATTTTTACAACCCAGTGGAGGTAACTATGATCTTATAAGGCTGAGAGCTCTTGCACCTACTCTGGCCAGTCTCATCATTTAATTTATCAGTTTCTTCCCACAAGAAACTGATAAATTAATTTTTTAATTGTAATTTCTTTAAAACTGTTTTTAACGTTGCATTTTAAATGGTTGCTACCTGCTCTGGAGCCTTAGGATAAAAGGCAGGTAATAAGTTAACAATAACAACAAACGCAACAAGGGATAAATATACAATTGACTGGGAGAAATGTCTTTCCTGACACCAAAAAGATGCCAAGGCCTGGGGCTGGTGAACCTTCCTGAGAGCATTCCACAAATAGAGGGTCACCCCTGAAAAGGCCCTTTGGACTATTGGTGGAGGGGGCACACAGAGAAGGGCCTCCAGTGTTTACCTCAAGCCCTAGATATAGGTAAAGTAGGTTCATAGTTTATTAATGTCTGGGCCATTGAAGACTTTGTGGGTTAAAATCAGCATTCTGAATTTGGTCCAGAAACAAATCAGTCAGATTGTGCTTTGTTTCCTGTGCTATGTTAGGAGGAAAGGAGATAATATGAGCACCATGGGGGGTTGTGGATTGCATCCCATTTTTCTAACCAAAAAGTTTAATTATTATTCATCAAACTAGGTGTCAATATTCTTGAGCAACAAATTATTACATTTATGCCACAGGAATTCTGCCTTTTAGGGCGAGAAGTAATTTAGAGTCACAAACTGTGGATACATAATTGCTCCAAAAGTACTTTGCAATTATTTATTTTCATAACTAATATTATTGCTGTTCTGAATAAAAACATTAGTAGGTAAAAGAATAAACTTAAGTCAACAGACCATTGTCCTGATAGCATAAATTAAAGATGTTGTTCTTACCTCTGGTCTACAAATACAAATTTCCCATCAATTGCATGCCGAGAAACATATTCTGTCGGTTTAACCCTGATCTCTCCATTTACTGGTTGAGGAACTACATGAGGATGTAACCGTCCAATTGCAACGAGACAGCTTAAATTACAGCCTTCATTATCAGGCTCATTGTCTTCGTCTAGTCCCATTTTTGTTGGTGGCCAGCTTTTTAAATATCCTGTGCTATGGATAGTGCAAAAGCTTTTCCGGTCTGCTACAAAAGAAAATAAGGTTTATGTCATCAGTACTGCATTGGTGGGAAAATGGCAGCTTGGGGTTCAGGCACATGAAACATCTGGCATCTTAAGCATTCAACTTCTGAAGAGCTGTACAATGTGCAACAGGCTGTATGTATGCAGACTTCCATGCATATGCTTGGTCCAGGACCAGGAGTTCTTGGTTTCTTCAGGTCTCTGAAGAAGCCCTGAAGAAACCAAGAACTCCTGGGTTGGGCAGGGAGAGGATCAAGAAGGTGCTACAGCAGTGCTGAACAAAGACATCGCCAAAGTGGTATCAGGCAATTTTTGGATCATCATCTTGGTCAGCAGCTGGTAGTTTTAGCTGACCATACACCAGAGATCCATTAAGAGTCTGCAGGAAAAGCTCCTCATGGAGGGCTCCAGAAGGGTCATGCAGTGGGTTCCAAGAAGCCACTGCTGTTTTATGGCCCACCATAGGTAGCAATATCAGGTTCCCATCAGCAGAGTCCAGCTCTTGTACACCTACCTAGTTGTTATCATGGACCTTCAGAAGAGGACATGTGCTGCCTTGTTAATAAGAAAATCAGACTACACACCCCATTCTGACAGTATGTGTAATGCACACTGCTTCAGTAGAATTTATAGATATGTTGAGAAAATGGTCATTTTAAAAAACTAAGCTTTTTTTAAAAATAAGTTTCATGTGAATGAACTCCTCACTGGTTTGCAGTCTATCTAGATCTTCTTGAAAGATCAACTCATTTAATTATTAAATTATGCAATCCCCTCAGTATCCAGAGTTACCAACATTTCAAGTGTTTAGAACATAGGATCATTCTGATTACGCGCTTCCAAAGTGCAGTTTTATTTTAAAGATATTGATTTTCGAGGCTGAGTCCATTATGATGAACTTGGCCGGTTCAATCTTTCTCCTTAAAAATATCCATTGCTGTTACACTTAAGATTGTCAAATAATTTTATTTCCAAGCAAGGGCAACATAATCTGATCAATACAGGAAAAGGAAGAGAAGGACTCCTGCTGGATATGTCAACTTTGCTACTTTGTAAGTCAGGTGGACAAGCTTGCCATAGAATCGTCAATACATCCAATTTAGACAGTTTACGTTGAATTTCCGGGGCATGGTTGTGATACTGGCTTTCTATCTGTAGTAGGTGAAGCACAACCTTTCTGTCTTTGTAAAATGGTTAAGATATTAATGCCAATGGGCTGGGCAGGGGTGGAGGAAGGGGGGTGCTGTGGGTGAGGGCCGCCCCGGGTGTCACCACTGAGGGGGGTGACAAAGTGCTGGGTGGCACTCACCGTGGGGCCTGCAGTGCGCCTGAGCCACACAACTCTCCCGGGAGAGACGCAGTGGCTTGGGCACGTGCAGGCTCCGTGCTGCCCAAACGGTCTGCCTGCTGCCTCCCTCCAGCTGTAGGGCGGCTGAGTGGGAGGAGGCAGGCAGACTCTGGGGGCCTCGAGGTGCGCCCCGCCCCTATGGGCTGTTCGCCCCACCCTCACGCTGCCCCTTTGTGCGGCTCCTGCCACCCCTTGGCGCTGTCCCAGGCGCCTGAGCAACTTCCTCTGCCATTGGGGCTGGAGCCAGGGACTCCTTCCGAATTCATAGAAGGAACTGCTATCTTGCTGAAATTCTCAGGGGAGGGAAGACATATTTCCCTGATTTCCCTTTTCTCTGAAGCTCCCTGTATCTCTTCCCATCCGCCTTTGGAGGGCAACCAACACCCTAGAGCACAGTTTCAGGGGACACAGGGGGAAGGACGAATCAGAGAAAATTACATGTTTTGTCATCTTTGGCTCTGAATGCAGTTTGCTATCAACAATTTAAATGTTATGTCTACAAACTATATTCTGACCTCACTAGCAACTTGACTTGCGTCACCAAACATATACTATTTGAGAGCAAAAATTATTAGAAACTCTTAAGAGAATTGACTGTTTTTAGCAATAGCATTATTCCAATGTTATTATTTCAACTATTTGTGGACTCAAAAGTCATGGAAGGACTGGAAGCTAAATCTCTTTTTCCAAATGATGCTTTATGTAGCCAGTGCAAATCTGATCCCATATGCAAAACCTATGAATTGCTTCATAAGGTCAGAAACTGTAAGCCAGTGGGAGTCAGGTTTCTTCTTTATTTTTTCACATAGTTACAACTTTGCAGGGTCTTATTTGATCTCAGATAAACACCTTAATTGGGAGAAATGAACCAAAATTATTTTTCTAGATTCATCAAGGCATACTACTGGTACCTTTCTTTTTAGAACAGGTGGAAGGAAAGTCTTTATCTTCTACTTTCACGGATGGTCTGTTGCATTTCATCCTACAAAAGAACGAACGTCTTGCTCCAGAGCATAGTCGCGATGGTCCAGGCGTTATATCTGTTTTAACTGGAAGTCCAGCTGCAGTGGAGTGAAAGAAGACAAATCCAAAATGGTGAATCTGGCTTGGCTTTAAATTTCTATTTTCAAATATACAGATCTGTAACTAGATAGTTCGTATCCATGAACATAACTCAACAGAATGAATGGAGACAAAAGCAAAGTTCTGCATTCAGGGAAAGCAATTATGGGATTGGAAATACTTGGCTTAGCAACAATACATATGAAAAGGATAATGGAATTTCAGTCGATTACAGGCCAAACATGAGTCAGGAGTGTGAAACTGCTGTAAAAAGGGCCAGTGTGATTTCATGCTTCCTGAGTTGAACCACAGTTTCCAAGTAACAAAAGGTAATAGTTCCACTTTATTTTGCACTAGCTTAAAATCATCAGGACCTGTGAACTAGCCTGTGGAGCTCAATGAACATTCCAGTCACTCACTTTTCGCATCTATGAGCCTTTCCCGTGGTGCAGTATCAGAAGAAGAAAGTTGCTCCTTAACTTTGGCAATATCTTTAGGATGAAGGTAGTCAAATAAACTCTGACCAATCAGATCATTCTGCCAATAAAGAATGTTAACAACCAATTAAATTATTACAGACATGCAAGAAAAACTGTTAATAGCATTTTTGTAACATTTCAATTAACTGATATTTTAAATGAATGAAAACAATACTGTTTTTGTAAACTGAAATATTTCACTTCAACCCATAAAATAAAACAGACAACAATATTGTTAGCTTAAGCACAGTGTCATCTACATCTACCACTGAGTTGAACAAAATATGTTACAAGGCTCTGTTCTTTTCTACATCTTAAGAAAGACAAAATATACCTGACTATAGTTGAGGATCTTGAAGACTGATTCTGAAACAAACAGTATTTTGCCTCTGTCACAGCCCACAACGAAGAGAAAACCATCTGCAGCCTAATTGGGAAACACAGGACGGCCACTTTGTTATAGTGTGTTATTTGCACATTGTTAAAATTATTCCCAACATGCAGTTGAATTTCGGTGACCAAACACGTTGCATTTAAATGTAACTAGATTAGCACACGGCAAAAAAATTCAGTGGAGACTTGAGTGTGGCGACACTATTTTTTAAATAATAATGCCAGAAATTGGCAAGGCAAAATGGCTGGATGTCATTGGTAAATGTCTATTTGTAAAGGGTAACATTCAGTCACACCTAAGCAATTATTTAAAAACCACCTTACTGCACTTGATCTTTTCTTTTTAAAAAACATTTCTTTAGGGAAATTTCCAAAAACTGCAGGAGGTGACGTGGGGGGTGGGGTGGAGAGTAAGAGGTCATCTAATCTTCCTCTTCTCGCTCTAACGAAACCTTTGTCAGGATCTTAAGAGTCTGCCAGGAGCTGTTCGTGTGTGTGGGTGGAAAAGGCCATAGAAGCAGGGAAGGCAAAAATGACTCACTTTCATTGGGCTGTTGCCAGCAATCTTTCCAAAGGGGCTTCTAGGAAACCAGGAGAAAAGGAATTGCTGGAAATAGGCTAGATTAATGCAAGGCAGACTCCAGAACATTATTCTTGTGGAGTATCTTACCAGACACTTGGAAAGGGGTCATATGCATGCAAAACAAAGAATGAAAATACTGCTTGAAGATCTTGCTAGATCTTCTCACCACATTAGAGAGGAGAGGAGGGAAGAGGTTGTCTTACACCACAAGATGGCACCCCTTTATCGCTTGGTTTATACCTCTTATCTGCCCATGATGAATCTCACCCGGGGTGGGAGAGAGTTGAATTCCTTTTACTGATGCCTTTCTCTAAAGTTTCATAGGAGATGTTCTCTTCTGATCTTAAAAAGAGGGTTATAAATCCTACTTAATTTCACTGGAGTGCTTGTCCATATGGAAGCATACAGACTCAAGCCTGAATATTTGTATCAGTTGCACACCAAAGCTGCTTCGACAGGGCAGAGACTCGGCATTCGTTTACCAGAGGGTAAAACCTGCAGGGCAGTCAGATCAAATTTGCAGAACGCAAATGAGATTTTGAAGATTTGTGGCAACCAATGAAACGGAGCATTTTTATGTTGTATAGGATACTACTGGATACCATGTTTCTACCAACAGGTAAGCAGATGGGCTTTATTACTGTAATTCACTGAAACAGCATGGACACCCCAAATTTAATAAATATCAAGTCAGTTTGCACTAAGTTTTAAATATCACACGTTGCCATAAAAAAAACCTTGAACCTGACAAGAAATTATAGTCAGTGTCATCCTTCACATGCACTTCAAGCAAAATCAGAGGTTTCCTATTCAATACAGAATACATTGTTGCCAGAAGAAAACACTGGAGTGGGGTGAATAGACAGCGAAATCAAAGGCCATTTTCTAGAAACCAAGGTGCTTCATCTCCCTTTAGCATTTCTGCTCAGGAAACACATTAGTCAACCTCAAAACAGTAGAACATTATGAATTATATAATCACTTTTTGTAGTCCCTGGTAATTTATTATCAATTTTTTGGTTTACTGGCTACTAATCCAGAGTTTCATGTTACTGGGAAGCTTACTCAACTCTATATTGGGGTTAGCACAGTGTGCTCATAACAGGCAGACAGCGACTTGCTGGTAAGTCCATTGGTTTAAAAAGGGCTGAAGCAGGGGGGTTTTTTCTGGAAAAACAGGTGCCAGAACTCACCATGAACGCCTCCCTTGTTCTCTTATAATGACAATGGTGCCCACCTGAGAGGTGCAGAAAATGAGTTCCAGTACGTTCCAGCTGAAGAAAGCCCTAGCATGCATCTCCTACACTGGAGGAATTTATGGTTGCAGTGTCTGGTATAAGAGAACTCCACCCTACATGAAAACGCCACCACACTTACAAGAATCTTCTCTTTCATTGCACACTATACATGCTTTCATGTATCTGAAGTTAACACATACCCTAAGAATAAGATGTTTTAGTTCATCATCTGACAAAAAGGCAGGTTTGTAGTTTGCTTCTGTATATGGGTTTGTGGCACCTTAAAGGCAAAGGGAAGAAAAGTAATTATTCTTTGAGTAAATAAACCAGTTGTGCGAGGTGCAGAAGGGGTTACATTCTATTTGCACAACTATTTTCAGTGTCCCTAGTCTGTTTTCTAGTAATGCTTAGAATGATGCCTCAAATACTAAAAATCAAGTAGACGCTGCTCCCAAAAGCTACTATGAGACAGCAGCAATTTCTTTCTATTCAGAAACTTACAAACCTTTTACCAATAAAGGTTGGCATGATAAAATATCTATTTTGTATCTTTTACTGGTATGAAAGCACCTTTAACAAATCTGTAGATCACATGGTGCAAGCTAGTTCAAATCTCACTTCAGTCAAAATCTCACAAGGTGCCCTCAGGTAAACTGCTGCTCTTTCATTCTCCCATCTAAAATAATACTAATCAACTTAACCACAATGGTGTAAGCAATACTGAAATAATAACTGCAAAGTGCTTTCACTGCTCCATCACACCAACATTTCCCCTGGTTTTTAAGTTCCACAAGTAACCTCTCTAACTACACAGGTTGTTTTAAAATTTACCTCTTAACGTCTTCATGTGCTGAACAGCCATTCTCAGTACCGTAAGTTTATCTAGTTTTCTGGACATAGCATTGCATGTTGGCACTAAAGAGGCCAATTCATCGATAAAACTGTTCATCTTATCACGACGTCTTTTTTCAATCTGACTGTGAGCCTCCCTAAGTGATAATGAAATAAGGATCATGACATTTCAGGTATCCAGAGTTACATCACAAATCTTAATTGCTTTTGTGAAAAAAGAGACAGGATTGCTTACATTATCAGTTATCAGGAGATAAACCTTTATTTACTTTACACTGGCTACATAATGAAGAAATGAAACAAAGTAAACAGGAGGATGAAAGCTGATGAGTAAATTGAGGGAAACCAACTATAAATGAGGATATAAAGGTAAAGGGTAAAGGTACCCCTGCCCGTATGGGCCAGTCGTGTCTGACTCTAGGGTTGTGCGCTCATCTCTCTTAAGAGGCCGGGAGCCAGCGCTGTCCGCAGACACTTCCGGGTCACGTGGCTAGCGTGATGATGCTGCTCTGGCAAGCCAGCACCAGCGCAGCACACGGAAACGCCGTTTACCTTCCCGCTATAAAGCGGTCCCTATTTATCTACTTGCACTTAGGGGTGCTTTCGAACTGCTAGGTGGGCAGGAGCCGGGACCGAACAACGGGAGCTCACCCCACCGCGGGGATTCGAACCGCCGACCATGCGATCGGCAAGTCCTAGGCACTGAGGTTTTACCCATAGCGCCACCCGCGTGGGTAAAATGAGGATATAGTCTTGGTCATGTAAAGGGAAAAAAAGAAGTCAAGAAACACTGCAATTATCTGAAATGAATTATCTTAGTTTAGACAACAACCCTGAGCCTCGGGTATGCCTGCCTGCAGGAAAACAGACAGACCATTTCAGAGGAGCTTTCAAGCCATTTCACACACAAGATCATGCAACTGCAAGAACACTCAATTTGTCTGGCAATCAAATTCTAAATTGGACTTCCACACAGCATGAAGGTGAGGCTTCACCAGAAAGATGCTGAATGGGTAATGCTCAGTGATGATCATATAGGTGTTGCAGCGTGTGTGATGCACAAGCACCCACAGATTCTAGGGACCCACCAAACTCAAAAACCTTAAATGATCATATAGGTCAGGTGCGTATTGCAAAATATTTTGATGAGTCTACTCATCAAATATTCGAAAATATGTAAAGTTAAAAATGTAAGTGTTCTAATATAACTTTGCCATGCCAATAAATACCATGCATGAATATGTATTTATAATTTACATATATTCTGAAGATATGTACTTCATAGTTAATTAAATGTCCTTTTTGCATAAGAGTGTTTCATATCCTGTAAGAAAGGTACATCACTCTACTGAATCTTAGTGATGCTGATCTTGAAAAGTATGGGATGAATCTGAGCCTGCACTCCTAACTCAATTACCATATTCTTTAACATTTTTGGAATCTGAACACAACATAAGGTCGTGGTCTCAAACTCTGAAGTGATTCTATGATTTGCCGTAGCTAACATTATTGTAAGATTATGTGTTTAATTCACATCTATTATAAGTGGCACATTTATTACTTGTATAAATCTCTCTGTCACATGATATATTTAAAATACTTCATAATTAGCTAAATCTTTAACTTCATCCACAATCTATAAACTGGAAACACTAAGGAAGCACAAACTGCAGGGTTTGAAAATTATCCTTGTTAGTGGGAACTATATGGGATGCACTGGCAGAAGACAGAAATGTTGTAATCTCTGGATCAAAAAATGAAATGGCTTTTTCATATAACCTAATACACTCATCTCTCATGAGTGTAGGAGCATAATTTTCTATTAAAGAAATAAAAATCCATTATAGGAGCACATCCAAAAGGCCTTTATGGATCACATCATAAGCTCACTCACTGTTCACAGAGTTGAAACAAAGACTCTTTGTTTTACCTTGCATTTTTTATTCTGCCTTGCTGGTCTGTATATTCCAACCTAGCAGAGAACAAAAGTGATACAAATCAAGTCGAGACAGCAGTATAATCTTTGCCATGAGACAAGGTGAGGAAGAAAGATGCTTTTCAAATAAATCTATACCCAAAGCCCACTTGAATATGTAGAACTAACTGCACAATGCTTTGGATCACAGCCACTTCCATTTCAGAAGGATCACAACTACGCATTTTCTCACCAAGGTGAGGATTTCTATTTCATCTAGGTGTTATATTAAGACTTGATCTTCCAGTAGGATTACCCCAGTCCTTGTATACTCTCCAGATTCTCACAGACCTCAATTACACTCCACATCTCCTTATCTCACTCTCTAGAATTATCCGAGCTTTACTTTGAATACACTTATTTTTCAAGATGCACAATCAATTCAGCAATGATGCACAAATAAATACCTTCCATGTTGATCATCTTTATCTGTGTCCATACCTTCGCTACAAAACCAGAACAAAAGAAAAATCAACAGGGTAAAAATGCAGCAGAATTTGCTTCAATGATCCTCACTCCCACACCTTGCTAAAACATAAGCATTTACACAAGTAAAAACAGATGGCGTGCTGCAGCAACATTCATTATATCTATATTTCCTGAAAATAACCAAGATAAAAAACGGGCTGTTGAATGGCCATGAGCAGACATTCACCTCCACCCCACATTTAAATGTATCCTTGGAACTTGGCCATCCTTTGTAATGCATTGATATATCCACCTAATTTAAAAGAAACAGCAGCTAACTTTAGAAGGTGGATACTTTAAGGACTATCTAGTTAAACACATGAGCCTGGTTCAGGCATTTCTCTCCACACAACTGATATAGTGCAGCAAGTGACAAGGGGCCATATGCCCCGTTTCCCCATCATGCTTCACAATGTCCCCTTCTCAACACTGTACATGAGCTGTAGGAGCATCTACAGAATATGTATAGGCTACCACCATGATCTGGAACCCTATATGCTCTCATGGGGGTGGCCTATGTGCATTTGGCGTAAGATACCTACAGGCCCACTGTCTCTTCTCCACAAGATTTCTATCATCTGATGAGAAATGCCTGCACAGGACTGGCCTGCCACTGAAAATGACGAGCCATTTCCCCCTCAGCTAGCCCTTTCTACATTTGAGGACAGAGTGTAGAGGGTGCAATGCTAATCATACAACAGGAATCCAAGTACTCTCTGTGTGTGTGTGTGTGTGTGTGTGTATGTGTACACACACACACACATATCTTCCCAAGAGCTTTTTTCTTTAAAAAGGCATTTTATCAGAATCATGAACTTTGCTTACTAGTGACTAGCCAGATAAACAACAGTTAATATAGACTGTGCTTGAAAACAATCATATTTTTTCTCTTGCAATTCTTTTACACAGTGAGCACTGTAACAAGGCCCCCCTTTCCCCATATGATGTTTGTACTTACTCAAAAGAAAAGCCATCGAGTCTGAAAAGAGAGAAAAATATTGTTCAATTTATACTAAATGATGAAAAGCGTTTTCTATCCACACATTCAGTTTTCAGTGAATCTTAATTTCTACTATTTGATCATTGCAATTGTGTACCCTGAGAAGATTTTTATTAAAAATCTGAACCTCCTGTCTAATGTTGCAGTAGGATACTTGCATTTGCAAACATAGGTATAGGTCTGTTCTATTCACACACGACTTTTATTTATTTATATTTCTTTCACAAAATTTATATACTGCTTGATGGGGGGGGGGACCTCAAAGTGTGTACAAAAAACCCCCAATAAAATTATCAGTACAATTTAACAACAATAAGTTAAGACTTTTTAAAAAGTTGAAATATTTTATTTATTTCATAATATTTTGTTTCAGGTGGACACCTAAAGAAAGTAATGTGTGAACAAAATGCGCTTGGGGCTTGACAAAACATCTCTGAACTTTTTCTGAAAGCAGAACTAGAATAATGAGCAAAGAATTGAATCATATTTTCAGCTTTAATTCAACTTACAAGTAAAGACTTGTTTATTAAATAATACAACAAATAATACCCCTATAAATGCAAATATTTAGGATAAGAACTCATTGTGCCACATTTACAAAGCAGTCTTCATTTATGTAAATGAAAGTCCATTGTCACCCAAAACTCAATTCTCTTCAAAAGAGTGTATTTGTGGTTTCCCATGAATTAATATATCACTGTATGAAATTTTTACAAGTTGAAAAACACCTCATCTATTTCCACTATTTTTGGAAGGAAAATAGACTCCAAATAAAAATGGAATTTGAACAACAGGCACAGCTGAAAGGTTATACTAATAGGAAATGCACTTACTGATAATCAGTAGAACTGCCTTTCCTTTTCCTATTACAATCCATTCCTGAAGAGTTAAGAGAACTAGAGATTAGGTCAGTGGGGCCTGGTGACATAAAATCACTGATTGTAGAAGAAATGTCCATCCTTTGGTCAGCCATTGGATTGTCTAGAATTACCACAAAAAGAAGAAGAAAAGAAGCACAGGAAATTGGTTTACCGAATGGCTACACCACAAGAAGAGTTAATGGGTTCATATAGCCCCTGCTATCCCTAAGAGTTAACTTCATTACAATAATTTCTTACCTCAGCCCACAACAATTCTATTAAGTATAATAAGAAATCTTTTCCCCTATTCTACTGGAAGAAATAGATAAGAAATGCCATTCAGTATCAGAAATAATGTCTATCCCAGTGCTCCTGAAAAGCTCGCAAGAGAGGTAAGATGGAGACAGACATTTTGTTTGTTCCCATGAGGTGGCAGTCAAAAGTACATGGGGTTCTGAACCTGGATGTTCCCTGAAGACTAATCACCATAATCCTTTGAGATTTTTTACAGTCTGTTTTTAAAGTCATCATGCCAAGATCACCTAAGTAGTCTACTGCTGAACAGAGCGGTTATGTCCAGGTCCACGTCTAACACTCTTGCCACTGGGACCATGGCTGAAGCTTACAATTTCAATTTGAGTAAAGAGAAAGATGACTCTGGTAACAGTTTTGCTATGCTTTTTTTAGTCTTCAAAGTGCTACAGTACTCTTTGTTAAACTAAAGCTGTAGCCAACAAGATTGCTCTGAAAAACTAATTGTCATGTAATTTCCTGGTCACTTCTGAATGTATAGCAGCTGACGTTGCATCATGTGCTCATATTCCTAAAACACACCATGGATATCAAGTTCTTGAAATATTATATGAAGCCTAGAATTGATACATTTAAAAAAGGATAAAAAGTGATGGGACTTTACTTGAGAGGACGGCAAGACATCTGTAAAATACAGGCAAATGATAAAAGAGTTGGGAAAAGAGAACAGTAGAAAACAAACAAATTTCTCCATGGAAAAAGAGCAGCAAAAGGTTCAAGTAACTTAAAAGGGGAAAGAGGTGGGGCAATATAATTAGTTTTCAATTATGGTTTTGCGTAATAAGCATTTTTAGAGTTCTTAAGAATTCAGCAAACAAAGCAGTCCACTCTTATTTCCATCTTTGTGAAATACCGTAAGAGTATATAGAAACGCAAGCCAAAAGCACCAAAACCCTGATGGCTGTTCCTACCTGTAGACTTGATTTCTGGAATCTTAGATCCACTCTGGAAGGATGTGCACTCCTGCTGCCAGTGCAAAAGCAGCCAGTCACCTTAACCCTCCTTTCATTTCCTCCAGCCTTGTTTCTCAGCAGCTTCCAAATGCCTGGGTTGTAGGAAACAAATATCACACTGTCAATTTCCTTTATTACATCACCAGATATATTCTTCCGATGCTTTTAAAAAAATGTTCAAGGTGACAACTAATTAACATTGTTCAGTTCAAAGGGTCCACACCTTAATCTGCTAGGAAACATTCCACTTCTTTATATCAGAATCAGGTGAGAGGGTGGCAGTGGTGAATCGATGCCTCGACTCAGTAATGCCCTGCATGAAGGCTAACGTACTGAAGCTCAGTCCAGACAAGAGAGAGGTGTGCATAGTTGGCCTTCAGTGGTGACATTCTGTCAACTTTGGATGGGGTTGTATTCCCCATGAAGAAGCAAGTTTGTAGTTTGGAAGAGCATTTACGTCAAGCTGATACTGTGGGTGGTCAAAAGACCATCCATAAGATGTACCAGGTCTGGCACTTTCTAGGCCGATATAGAAACATCAGATTTATCAGAGGTGTCGTAACTCCCAGGCTGTAATACTGTAATGCATTACACAGTACATGAGGCTGGCAAAGACAGCTCAGAAATTTCAGTTGGTTCACAGCAGGGGAGGAAATGGCCGTTCTGGACAATTAACAGCATCTAAAAAAAATCTGCACTGCACTAATTTCAGGTGTTGAGTTTAACCTTTTAATCCCTAAATGGCTTGAGGCCCTTTTGTCCCATAGGAACGCACCCCAAATGACCCCTCCTGCAAATACCCCTTTGGCAAATACCTATACCAAGATTGTATGGGTGCAACTCGGAAAAAGGTTTTTTTGTTTGTATGTGATGTCTGCCTGGAATGCTCTTCTCACAATAGGTGAGGGGAATACATATCATTTGACCACAATCCAGCCCATTCTGTTCTTCAAGACTTTGCCCACCTCCCCCAACCTGCTGCCCTCCAAACGTTTTGAACCACAACACTCATCACCCCCAACCACTAGTCATGATGGCTAGAACTGATGGGAGCTGTAGCCCAGAACATCTGGAGTGCAATAGTGGTTTAAGTGTTTTTTAAAGATTTGAGAGAGCTTTCTGTTTAGTAAGTATTGCTGTTGCAATAGATGAACTTTAAGTGAGTTTTATGGATTCTGTTTTAAGCTTTATAAACTTTGCTCATTTATTGGTTTTGCTTGCTGCCTGATATTATGTTTATCATAGTTCTGTTTCTGCTTATATATTGTTTCAACAGAAAAGCATATACAGTGGTACCTCAGGTTAAGTACTTAATCTGTTCTGGAGGTCCGTTCTTAACCTGAAACTGTTCTTAACCTGAAGCACCACTTTAGCTAATGGGGCCTCCTGCTGCCGCCACGCCGCCAGAGCACGATTTCTGTTCTCATCCTGAAGCAAAGTTCTTAACCTGAGGTACTATTTCTGGGTTAGCGGAGTCTGTAACCTGAAGCGTATGTAACCTGAAGCGTCTGTAACCTGAAGCGTATGTAACCCGAGGTACCACTGTATTTTAAACAGATACAAACATACATAGTAGTCAGGAATACAGACACATAACCATGTCTGTCATTATGCAGCCCCAAATGCTATTTCTCTTTACACCAAATAAAGATGAATGAAATAATCAGTTAAACCAAGAGACCATAAACAAAACCCACCCCTCACATCCATGCGTCATGGCACTGGATGATGACTATTCATAGTTCAAGGCGAAGTCAAACAAAATTAAATGTACCTTCAGGCTGGCGTCTGATTGTATGGCCCAGTCTGAAATTATGTACAAGGATGTGTGCTCAGATACACAAACTCCCCACCCCCATTAATTTCAACAAATGGAACAGCTCCATGCACACAAATGAAGGCCATGCAGAGCTACTGTGAATGAGGAACTCACTCATGCAACCTTGCAACTATATTGGCAAAACTTTTTACTAACTCACAAGTCTCAGCATGCCTGTGCCAGGCACTTTCAACAGCCTGAACAAGTACCAACCCTTTCCCAACTTACAAAAGTTTCTCAGCCTGGTTACTTCCTTGGCGGAGACTCTTATAGATAGGTGACTGGGCAACTGCCAGGCCCCTAACCTAACCTATGTATGTATAGAAGCTCTCCTGTGTGGACTGGAACATAATTTCAACATACTGGAACATTTCAATACTGAAATGAAGCCCCTGGAAATGGGGTGGGGGGGGCACACACGTAGCCAAACATTAGATTGAGGCACTTTCCATGAATGGAAACCCTGCTTACAGATGGCTTCTCAGCCCCATTTTGGGAACCTCCTTTTCCCTCAGCCCCTCATCCCATTCAACAACATTTCCTGACCTCCAGGAAAGATGGAGTTGGGAAGCTTAATTCCTTCAGCCCATCTCTGTGCACTTTACTCTGTATCCAACCCAAAGAAGCGTACTATGCAAACCACCTGTGGTTCAATATTTACATGTTCACAAAACACAATTTTTTCAATAACTTCTAATTAAAATGTAATTTTACTACTTATCCTCCTGCTCTCAGTGTTAGCATTGCTTTTTGTATGTTGCCTTACATAATTTCTAAAACTTTTTTAATTGTTAGATTTTCATATTATAGAGTAAGACTGATATGCAGCCAAGAAGAACACATTGTATGCTTATTTGCACAAGAATGTATATCCCCACCCTTTTAATATTTACTCATAATTCAGGGTGGTTAAAAACCATTAAAATAGCCCCTTCGTAATAAAATATTAGAACCAAACAGTTTAAGACAGAACAGACAAGAATAAAGAGGTAAAAAACAAGAATAAAAAGGTAAAATGACATCTACTAATTAAGGCAAAAGTTTGCTGGAAGAAAAAAGCATTTACCAACCAGTGGAAAGTGGAAAAGGCCCAAATGAGCTTCACAGGGCAAGGACTTCTATAATTTGGATGTGAAAAAGATTTCTCTTGTTGTAGCCAACTGTAGTATAGAAAAATTCATAAACCTACAGTCTGTGGCCCATCATCTGGAGCGCTCCTTCCTGAGCCCTAAGACCTTTCTGAAATTATGTTGCACCTGAGCAAGAAGAGTTGTCTCTGCAAGGCAAGGCAAGGTAGAGGTGCCTATAATTTTTGAAGAGTTGGTGGTCTCTCCAAAGTTGAGGGGACTTTCACTTCATTTAGTTTTAAAATGAACTAAAATAAAATGACTGCCAGGTGATTAGGAGTCTTGACAGCTGGTACAAAATAACCTCTTAGGTTAGCCACCTCTGGATTAAATTAACATGGCAGCCCTAATGATTTTACAGGGCAATCCTGACCATATCTACTTGGAAGTAAGTCCTATTGAATTCAGTGGGGCTTATGGCTGTACTCTTGGTATAAGGAACAGGGAGATGTTTACACTATCAAGATGAAAGGCTAGGAAACCTAACATAACTAAGGTACTAGAATCATGTAAAATATTAAGCAGATATGCTACAGTTATCTCCCACTTGGACTACTATTTTAATTTTAATTAATTGATTGTCTGTTTTTATGTTCTTTGTATATTGTATTAGTTTTATGATGTTAGCCACCCTGAGCCCGGCTCCGGCCAGGGAGGGCTGGATACAAATAATTTATTATTATTATATTATTATTATCATTACTGCAACATGCTCTATGCGGGGCTACCTTTGACGGTGCCTCAGACATTACAACTAATCCAGAATGCAGCTGCCAGACTGGTGACTGGGAGCAGGCTCTGGGACCATATAACACGGGTCCAGAAAGATCTACATTGGCTCCCAGTACATTTCTAAGCACAATTCGAAGTGTTGGTGCTGGCCTTTAAAGCCCTAAGTGGTCACAGCCCTGTATACCTGAAGAAGCATCTCTACCCCCATCGTTCAGCCCAGACACTGAGATCCAGCTCCAAAGACCTTCTGGCAGTTACCTCATTGTGAGAAGTGAGGTTACTGAGAACCAGGCAGAGAATCTGCTCGGTGGTCACGTCCACCCTGTGGAACACCCTCCCGTCAGATGTCAAGGAAATAAACAACGATCTGACTTTTGGAAGACATCTGAAGGCAGCCTTGTATAGGGAATTTTTTAATGTGTGATGGTTTACTATGGTTTATTAATTTGCTGGGGGTGGGATTATTAATGGGTCAGATGAGTGGCTTATTTATCAATTTAACAACAACAATAACAAATTTCCAACAAAGCCAGTGGGACATGTATTGAAAGCCACTATATTTTTCAATGCATATCTGGGATGTCTTCTAACTCTGCTTTCTTTAACAACCCCTCTGCACTGCTTCCCTCACACTAGCCGTGTGCTAAAAACAATAACCATTATAAAATCTACTACACTGAGGTTACTTTTTAAAAAAAATACTCTGTCATTAGTAACCTCTGGTATAATACTTGTTAACTGCCAGGCGGCAGCTACTCATTTTATTACAATGTAATGAGAGAGAACACTGACAACAGACCTGTCCTCTTGTTTCTCAAGGCACTGCACAAAACAGCCCGCAAACAAGGCAACACTGCCCTGCTGTAACATACTCTGAACACCCACAGTCCCAAACACAGCCAAGTTCTTCATATTGTGACCCCAAGCCTGTTGCCAAGATACTTCAAGGATTTATTTGAAAGAATGCCATCTAGGCCACTTCCTGATTAGAGTCCTGGTAGAAGAGAACCAAGGCATGCTCTCGATGGATCGCATTCTGCCGCTAATGCAACTCTCCCTCTGTTATTTTATCTTAAAACATTTTCTCAGAGAGATACTGAATAGAAATCAGGGATCAAGTCACAGCCTCTGCCTGCGTTTGGATTCAGGGCTTCTGCCCATCGTCACATGATTGATTTAATCACGCAGCAAATCAGATCATGAGCACATAAACACCTCAATGAGCAAATCAAGGTCAGAGCAAAAAAAAAAGTAGGTCAACTTTAAAAGTCTGCTGAGGCACCCATCTGGGAGGTGAGACCTCAACACGCAAGCGCTGCCAACTCCAACACTGCCTACAGGAAAAATTACTGTCACCATAAAACAATGCTTGTTTCTTTCCAACGAGACATCACTCCTCACTTGCTGAATCACAAGTGCACCACACCACGAAGGCATTCTTTTTCAATTACCAACAATGTCTGCACTGCACTTCTTTTAGCAAAAGAAATACGACGATGAAAGTTGTGCCTGCTTTCATTATGCATCCCAAAATGACAAAAGTATACAATGCAGACTTCCCAACAAACAACTTTGCATGTGTTTTGTGAATGGAAAATTATGAAAAATGTAAGAGTAGCCCTGCAGGATGAAAACAAAGGTACATCTAGACTGGCACTCTTTTTCCCAAAGGGGAGAAACACATGCCTCCAAGAGCCTACAAGCAGGAATGTCACTCCCTAGAAATCAGCATTCAGCTGCAAAAAGTCTCCGACCATGGATGTTCCATTAAGGCAGGGGTCAGCAAACTTTTTCAGCAGGGGGCCAGTCCACTGTCCCTCAGACCTTGTGGGGGGCTGGACTATATTGAGGGGGTTGAACATATTCCTGTGCCCCACAAATAACCCAGAGATGCATTTTAAATAAAAGGGCACATTCTACTCATGTAAAAACACGCTGATTCCCAGACCATCCGCGGGCCGGAATGAGAAGGCAATTGGGCCACATCTGGCCCCCGGGCCTTAGTTTGCCTACCCATGCATTAAGGCATCATGACTAATAGCCATTTCATTACAGCCTCATATGCAAACCTGTTTTCAAAAACACTTCTCTGAAATGAATGCTTAAAGGGTTTTTCAAACAAACAGTAAAAATGAAGGGGGAAAGATTGAGGGAAGTGAGTGCTTGGGCAAATGAAAAGGCTAGGAAGAGGAAGTGAGAAAAGGAAGAGGTTGGTGGGAAGAGGAGGCAGAAGAGACAGAAGAAAACAGAGCAGTAATTCCCAACCTTTAGAATGAGAGCCCCTTTTTAACCTAAACTTTATTGCCACTAATGTAAAATATTCCTGCACACAGGACTATCAGTTGTATAGTTCAATGAAATCCATAACCCCTGTAAGTAAAGCAATTTCAATATACAATTAATCTGATTCTATTTATTTATTTTTCATATCTGTATTTATATTTCCTTTTTTATAAGCCAGCAGGCATTAGCAGCAAATGCTGCTTAGAACAACAGACCCAAAAAATCTGCCTTCCCAAATATCTTAAACCAGAAAATGGCCAGAACTCACACCCCACACCTAAGAATTAGGCAACACCAATCCACAGAATTTATCCTAATAAAGCACATGAAATAACGTCAAAACTCAGAAACCGTAATGTAATCAGAAATTAGGAAGCAAAAAGTCTGCCAATGGTCCATAATACAAATCCCATTAAAATTAAAAGGGGAGCACAGTGAGACTTGTAAAGGCTTTCATAAAGTTCCCCCACTCCCATTTGAACCTCCAGAAGCACAAACAGGAGACAAGGCTGTTTTAAAGCCCTTTGCAAAGGTGCCTTTTGAAGCATCTTCTCTCCCACTTTTAAACATATGGTAGCTTGTTCAAAGGAGAGAGGAGGCTGTTTCAATGAATGTTTTTGCTTTAAGTGAGTGGGCAAAGGGACAACACCTTTTTTGATGCCTTGGAATGGGATGGACCCCAAGTTGGCACCACAAGTTAGTGTCTGTCAGCATCTATATTAAGTTGAAGACCATTATTAAGGATGTTTCACCATATTTTGTCCAGGTAGATATGTAGTTGATTCATTATACAACCATATATGACCCTCTCATAGACTTCTCAATTAATCAATCAAGCTTGGACATGGATTTGTCCATCCATGGTGGGCTGCTAGGTGAGTAGGATCGAGCTGGCTTACAAGTTGGTGAATGTACCCTTATCACTGGAGGGTGGTGCATATGATTCCTTCCCAATGCCTGCCAACATGTAATGTTTTTTTTTTTTAAGGATGCTAAGACTGCCCCTCCCAGAATGAAGCATGTCTGAGTCCACCAAAAAGACATTATAAAATTCTGAAATACGGCATGTTGAAATGACTTCTCTCAGTAGGTAGCTATAACTTGGCTCATGGCTCACCAAAATAATAAAGTATTTCCCCCCCCCAAATAAACAATAGGAAATGTTAATGAATGAAAGGCCTGCAATTACATACACATTGAGGTTGAATACACATTTTCATAGTCTACTGAACTTCACTCAAAGCTCTGACATCTTTCCATAGCAGCTGAGTTATTGCCTTGCATTCTGGCCATGTTAAACCTGACCTACCTATAGGTTTGGAAAGATAGGAACAAGTCCAAGGGGATGGTTAAGAAACACAGTCAAGGAATTATAAACACAATAAAGCTTCAAAAAGGAGTAAGTGCTCTTTTTTTCCAACTGGCCACAAATCACAACCTCATACATTGTTGCAAGTAGTACAAGCAAATCTTTAAGCAGCTACAGTATCAGACAATTTACAGTTCTAGACATCCATTCTGATTTTTAGTGCAGCTCTGAGCTTTGTGGCTAGCAACAATCTGTTTCAGTACTTCAAGAGCAATACTAGCACCTGCACTGCCTCTACCTTAGGCTACCAAATCAAAAGCTCATAAAAGCCAAACAAACCTCCCAAGGCAAGGAGTTCCACATTCTTGATGGCATGACATAAGAGATTCTTGCACATCCCTGCCAATTGTACCTCAGCAGGTGATGGGACACGCAGAAAGACTTCACCAAATGTTCTTAGGAGGCAATGATCTTACTAAACAGCTCATTACATTTTTTATTTGCCTGCATGCCTATACAAAGTTCCATTAGCCATTGGCATTAGCCATTGGCAACTATTTTCTATGTTTGTTTCCAGCCTCGCCTGCCCTCAAAATCGTCCATTTCATCACACAGGGACACAATCATATGAACCACATACACTTCATGTAATTGTGAAAATACTTGTGTCAACTGTATCATATTAAAAGACCCAGATTTAATGGGGCAACAAAACAAATTTAGAGAACGTAAACATCTGTGTTCTGATTTACAATATTTATTAGAGAATTAGAGAATTTACTAGAAAATTGTTTTTTGCAAAGGTCCCAATTTACTATACAAAAATGGGGGGGGGGGAATAAGGATGATATGTTTCTGGATAATATGTTTTGTTTTAATTTTGAATAAAAAAGTTATTTTAAAAAAATCACATTGAGTTGTTACACTGAACCATGGTTCAGTGAGACATGAACAAAACTAGCCTCCTCCCAGACTCATTGAAGGGGGGAGGATTTTGAAAGCTTTTACTCCCACTTTCCCTTAATATGCATTGCATCCAAACCAGGGGAAGTTGTTCGAGTTCTACAGTTAGGTGTTCAACCAAAGCAACCTCCTGGCCCATGGTTTGACATTAGCTTGTGTAATGCCTTCCCATATCATTTATGCATTTTGGTAAGGGTTATTCACAGAGGTACACTGTGAGCAAAAGATGTACCTCAAGCTTTATATATACAGTATTTCAAGCTGCATAACAATCCCTGCAAAGGCAGGACCACCATGATGCTTTTGGTACATTTTAAAGGGATGCATACAGTGTGATCCAGGCATGTATAATCAGAGGAAATTTTCATTTAGTCTTACTCACTAGTATAGGTGCTAAGGATTGCACTTTGACTTTTCCTGCGTATGTAAACAACACCATAAGCCAAAATCCTTGGAAAAGGTCTCGTTCTAATCTATAGTTATAAATTATGGACCTTGTGAACATCAAATAGAGCTTCCTATTCATCTAGGGGAAGATATTCTGAAATCTTAGTTTTAAACATAAACCATTACTATACATCTGGCCAGCCATCCTTCACCAACCTTGTGCCTTCCAGATGTCTTGAACTATACGTCCTGCCAGCACCAGCCTGCTTGGCTCTACTAAATAGGTCTGATGGGAGCTGTAGTTCAAAACATCACATGGGGCACCAAGTTGGCAAAGGCAACATTGACTCTCACATATATCTTTTTTACACCACACATAATAACAGGATAGACATACATACATATTTCTGTGTTCAGCATTTCACATTACTTGTCAGTTACCAAAACAAACTGTATTTCCTGAAGAATCTGAATTGGTGACCTGCCACAGTCACTTATCCTAAAACATGTGCTTTATGCACAACATTATTTAGAGAAATCACTGGAATAAAGAACATAAATCCTTGAACTAAGCCTGTCCACCATTGTTCAATTAATAGAATGTCCCCCAAGGGATCAAGTATGTAACTTTATAGGACTATATTTACTATGTCTACTAGGAACAGAAACCACTGATTCCAACAGGGCTTAATTCCAGGCAAGTATGCTTAGGATTACAACCATGCATCAGGTATAATGCATGCTTAAGATTGCAGCCTTAGAATGACATGAGGCCTATGCCAGAAAAGAGACACTGGGCAAAAGCAGATAAGAGTTTAACAAATGCTAGATTTACTGCTGGGGTGGGAACCTTTTAGGACCAAAGGCTGCATTCCCTTCTGGGCAATCTTCCAGGGTTGCATGCCAGTGGTGGACAGTGACAAAGGTAAGAGTGGGTGGAGTAAGTAATAGACATTTGACCTGTGTAAAATACACTGGTTTCTACACATACCTCTTTATACCCCTACCCAGGCAAGCAACAGTCTTTATAATGTTCCAAGTACACATTCCAGCCAGGCACGAACACTCCAGGAGGATGAAAACAATGCTGGAGATGGGGTGTAGCATGGGGAGAGTCCTAAAGGCTAGACAGAGAGTCTGAGGTTTCCCACCCTTGTGCAGGCACACACAATTACATGGGCAACCACCTATTGTAGTAGCTGTCTACACCATAAGAAGAATTTTCAACGGTTCCCTGGATTCTAGATCCTACGCAGAAATGTGAGTAAAAGTCTCATAATGTGAGCAGTTGCTGTCGGGACACTTCTAAACCTACTGTGGCAAGTCACCACTTGGCAGTGGATATTATTCATGCCATTGCAATGATTAAAAAACAAAACAAAAAACACCCTTCAACTTCAGGCAATACCAAAAACAAATTTTCAAGCTTGCTATCTAGATGACCCTACCTCGAATTACAGTGTGTGGGTTTGTTTGTTTTTTAAATTAAGCTATCAATTTTATACACCCGTTACCCAAATAGGTAATTATAATGGAAAATACTGCCCTATACCAAATCAGACTGTTGCATCACCTAATCCAATATGATCTGCTCTGATTGGATCTCCAAAGATCTCCAAAGGCAGAGGACTTCCCCTTCGCCTCACTTGCTCCCTTATCCTGGAGATCCCAGGAATTGTACTGTGCAAAGCCTGTGCTCTACCGCTTTCCAGAGGAGTTTCAAACATCAGGGGCTGCATACAGTATATGTTAATGTTGCAACTTGGCCTGGGTTTCTATGATTTGCAAAATGAAACCTGCACAGATCCATTGGTACTGCCTAAAAATACAGGCACTGTCTTATGGGATCAAGCCATCTAATCTAAAACTTCTTCATCAATGAGCCATCAGATGCCCGTAGGGCTCTCCACATGGGGAGACAGAAAAAGAGAAAGAGAGGGAAATGGGGGGGGAGGGGGAGGAGAAGGACTGGAGCTGCCATCCTAGATCCCAACCTCTCCACTAAGCAAATTAACTAAGGCAAAGATGCACTAGACAATTCAGAAATCAGATTGACAGGCTGCAGCAGAGAATGAGGTTAAATGTAGCTTCCAGATTTTCTTTTTGAAACTAAAGTCTACCCCCGCCCTTATGAAGTTATTAACTACCCTTCACTTACTGAAACATGAGTGCTTACATGAACCAATTTAAAATGCACTATGCCAAGAACATATGGGAACTGACAGTACTGCTTATGTGGAACAAATGTCACCAAATCAATTATGTGACAAGCAAAATAAAAAATATTACAGATGCGCGTTCTGTGCAAAACAAACAAAAAACTCTAAAAAGTTTAATTCTCCTAGCTGTATAAATGTAGGCTTCAATCCTAAACAGGCTTCCTATGCAGTAAACCCAACTGGATACAAATCCAAGCAACATCTAGATTAGTCCCGCTCAAATCAATGGGAGTAAACTGATTTAATTCCCAGGAGGAAGCAGTGTTTGGAATGTTGTTTTAGGACAACCCTCAGATGTTTTGGACTACAACTGCCACCATCCCCAGCCAGCATGGCCAATGCTCAGGGACAATGGAAGCTGTAGGCCAACAGGCTGGGAAGGCTGCCTTCTGATATCTCAAGTCAGTTTGTAACTCAGCCTGCAACCAGTCCATTACTTGATGCCAAACTGGGTCTTCAGATTGTGAAGTACTTGATAACTTATGGGTAACAATTTCTCAGGGATTCTGACAGAGATCAACTTGCAATCCTTCCCCAGAGGATCAGAAGGCAGCACATAACCCATACGTATTCAGTGCTGTATCAGTTCCAGCCCATTGTCTCAACCTTATTTTTCATGGGTACAAAAAGGAAAATAAAAGTTTGCTACAGACAGAGGGCACAATATGATTGTGTTTGCCAAAATGCAGAAGCAGCTATACCCAAGTCAAACTTGGGTTTATAGAGTGGAGAGAATAATTAGGGTGATATGAAATATTGGCTGCCCACTTGTATTATGGATCTTCACTTGTGCAGATGGGACTGGCCCTTCTTCTCCTTCCCCCACCATGGATGTCCCTAAAATTTGCTTCTGGAGTTTTCAAAACCTTTGGAGCACATTGAAGGCATGGGGGAAGAAGAGGAAGGGGAAGGTCTGCTAGTGCAGTGTTGGATCTTGCCCTAAGAATACAAGCAGGGCTGCAGGTTTAGTGGGCTTTTGTAAGAATCCATGTTTAAATGGTAAGCAATATAGGCTTACCAGCAAATATTAAAAGGAAAAATAATTGTGCTCTATGTGGGGCTTCCTTCAAGACCAGTTTAAAAGCTGCAGCCAGGTTGCTGAGTGGAGCATCTGGACACATAAATATTAAAGTTGCGCTGAGGGATAGAACAGCTACCAGCCATGTTCTAAGATATTGCTACTAACATATAAAGCTCTAAACAGCTTGGGACCAAGTAACCTGACCGGCTGCCCTATACAGACCTGTAATCACTTATATCACCTAGGGAAATTATACCCTACAGACTATCACAGGGCAGTGACCAGAAAATGGGCATTTTCTGCTGTCGCCCTTGAACTATGGAATGTTCTTCCCCCTGCCATATGTGAAGTTGCTCTTCCCCCTGCCATATATTAGTTGCTTCAGATGTTTTGTGAAGGCGTATCTTTTTGCCCAGGCTTTCATTTATATACAAGGTTGGATTGTGCTATTAAATTCCTGTGTTTACCTGATTCTGTTTTATTATATTGGGTTTTTTGTTTTTTGTTTTTTGTTTTTATACTGTTTTCATACACCACTTAGGGAACTTTTAAAATATGATGCAGTCTAGAAATGCTTTTAAATCAATCAATCACATCAATATATTAGAAGTACCCAGGACTGGAACCTAAGATTGGTAACCTAAGCACTGATTAGAAAGCAAGTTCCAATGCTATCAATAATCCTCACCCTTCAAGTAAGACTGCAAAATTACCTGAGGGTATCACTGAAATCAATAGGATTTTCTTTTCAGTATTTGCACACAGGTTCAGGCTGTTAATGTGTATACTAGAGTGTGAATAAGCTTCAGTGAGTTGTGAATGGAGTTACAAGATCTTTCGACTAGGATATGCCATTCACAGGCAATATTATTTGCTGTAGGAGTAGCCCACTGGCACCATTCCTACTAGAAATTAACCCAACACACTACAGTGTGGCATCACACCAACATCACAAGCTGTTCCAGCTCCTGCAGCTGACTTGGAAACATCTCTTGGCTGTTGAGTCTCTTAATATCAAACTTCTCAAATAGCAGGAGGATGAAAAGGTTACCAAGTTCGTGGGTGCCAACTAATACTCATTGCCGTCATAGGTGAGAAAAGATGACCTGGAAGTGTCTCCTTTTTCCCCTAAAATGATCTTTCCGGACACAATTAACTCAGAATTACACACTGGCTTATTTATAAGAACAAAGCAGGAAGGAGGGATAATTTATCAACAAGTTTTACTGCTCTTCATGTTAGTTGCTTCACTGCTGGAAGACAGCCAAGAGTCTGACAGTGTTAAAGGAGTTCAAAGCTCATTTTAGGTATTACTCGTTGCCCAAAGCAGCGCAAAGGGGATGACGTTCTCCTTCAGGTTTACAGAAAAGGTCACAAACATTTTTGCTCTGCTTTTAGGGATCCTAGGTATCACGTTATTGAGACTCAATTACTAGATATCAAAGGGTTTTCCATTATAAACTGATTAAGTATAACAAAGTTCCAAAGAGAAGAATACATATATTGAATATTTTTTATTGCCAAGTGTATGCTACATTAGTAGTTGGAGAAAATGGAAAACAGGTTAGAAAAATGCAATAGGGACCATACAGAGATTCTCTCACTGAATAAATGAGGCTGCCTTATACCAAACCTTTACCAATCCAAGTCCATGTGTCTATGCTGACTAGCTGATAAGTCTTTAAGGTCTCAAGCACAAGTCTTTTCCATCCCTACAACCAGAGATAAATGCCAGAAATTGTCTCTGTGGTTTTCCACTTGCAACACATGTGCTCAGTCCTGTGCTATACATTCTCCCGTTGTTCTGTGTACATTTAGTAAGAGGTGAAAAATTATTAAGTCAGCTCTACTGAACATTGACTTAAGTCAATTCACAAGCAAGGCAAGCCTTTTTGTTTAACCAGCACACCTTCCCAAGTAACCCCAAAAGTGTATCTTAACCTTGAAGAATGACTTGGTAGCCAAACAGCATTTGCCATAACTTCTCTGCAAGTTCATGTGCACCAAGCTAATATGTTGCCAACCTGGGGTGGTCCCCCACCCCCACAACTTGGTGAGAATGAGATGAAACACAAGCCAGCATCAACTCACATCTTAAGGGAGCTGTGGGGAAAACTGCTGGAACTCATAACAATGTGTGTGTGGTGGGGATGATGAAAAAATGAGCTGCAGGCATTCTGCATAGAAAAAGAAGGTAAACATCAGTGGCAATATAACCACATTAAATATATACCCACACAAATCAATGGAAGGAAATGGAGGAAATTGCTGGATTTTTCCGTGTATGTCAGTAGGAGGGTACTTTCCTATCCTTTTGCAGGAAAAAGGATCAAGTCACTGACCTAGGCTGGAAGATGCTTTAAATGTACCTTGTAAAACTATTATGCAGTAGGATAGGCTTACCAGTGAAGTTCTGGTAAGGGGAACAAAGGTTGCATCTTTACAATAGCCAATGACATTGTGGTTGTTAGTGGAGCATGGCAGAAGCAGTGTTTCCAATCTACATACATACCCTGTAAAAAGGTAGAAGGTACCTTTCACACCCTGTAAGTATCGTTACATAAATATAAGGTCAAACTTTAAAATTTGAGTACAGAATAAACATTGCCCATATTCTCTATTCAAAGAATTTATTAGAATTACCACAGCATACCTTTATAGCCAATGGGCTTAATATCTATCAAGTTAGTATGAACTACCAAAAATCTAGATAAGTGTATTCTATTGCTTTCTGCTTTCCAACAAAATCAAAAAGGCAAAATGAAAACTTACTGAATGTGGCTTGTAACACTTTTCTATAACTTACAAGACACAATTGGTTATTTGTTTACCCTGGGAGTTGGTAAAGTGCATTGTGAAGTAAGATAAGTACTATTCTAAAGCACTGACTGTTTCTTCCTCACTTTCTTGATTTGGCCCCTTACCCACATGAAAACTTTCTAGCTCTTTTAATACCAGAAATATACTTATGTACATTTGAGAGGTGCCTTGAATAACATTTCCCATGAAGTTATCAAGAGATCTGCTCCTCTCTAGCACCAAAGGGCCTCACATTCATGGCAATGGTTGGGTCTGTTGTAGAGCACATGGAGTTCAGTGAGGAGGAAGCGGGTTGGAAAGCTCAATAAACTCCCTATGAGGATACCAACTCTGTCTCTCTCTCTCTGTGTGTGTGTGTATTCAACAACAACTTGTAAGGCACAAGATCAATTTTACGGATACCTAGTGAAACACACCATTAGGCTTCCAATTCTGTACTTGGTTCAAATAAATATGACATATCTGGCTCTTCCCACATGGTCTCAAAAGTTGAAAAAATACCATGCAAGGCAGTAACAGGATATACTCCAGTTCTAGAGTGCCCCACACTACAGAACTCTAGCCTTCCCAAAGCCATTATTTCAAAAAAGACTGTAGCATTTTCTGTTTGGGTTGTCACCTAGAAACTGTGGTTAAGCATGCAGAAAGCATGAAGAGCTTTATAAATGCAACATTTTTAACTGTAGTATTTTTACCTTCTCTACTCTGTTTAATTTAAGGGCATCATTTATGGCTATCAATTTGGAGTTTACTACTGGGTAGGTTCTCAAACCAAATAAAACAATTTATTTTTAGACCATTACAGCTACATCAAGTAACAGTTTATCTGAAGTACTAGAATTATCCTCTTTCATTGACAACCTAGTTCTGAACACACTTTCTTGGAAGTAATTTCTGTTGGTTTCAATGCACTCAGTAATCTCTTAGGTGATCAATTTACAGCAAAATGTATGTGCGACTAATTTGTTGCATGGGAACTATGCTCAAGGTAATATTTCTATGATTTTTTTAGTACTCAAAATATTTTTGTTGCTGGGGAAGTGATCCTCCTCTAAGCAAGCACACTCATTGCTACTGTTGAAACATGGTGTTAAAACATGGTGAGCACTCACTGGGTAGTGCCTGTGGCATTAAGTGACAAGACCATGGCTCCTGACCCATATCCATGCTATTTTTGGAAATGCAGACCCTTGGTGGCTGTGTGTTCCTTTCTATGCTGCTAAAGCACTAGAGGGCTGATGCAGCACTAGTTTGTTTCTTTTGCTTAAAGCAGTAACTCCTACCCCCTTTTCCCACCATGCCTTTTAAAAATATTAACTCAAATTTGATTTTTACAACAGCCTACACATTTTTACTCATAAATTAAAGTCCCACAAAGTTCAATGCAGCAAGTAGGTGCACATAGAACTACAATTACAGTATTATGTGCATGCTTGATGTGGACTTCCCATGGTGCAAAGCCAGAGCTAGAGCTGTCATCTAGCCTTGTTTACAAATATAAATATTCTGAACAGCAGCAAGGGAATTCCACCAGCCCACATCTATTACATGAACTCAGGATGTCATATTAATGGCACTGCATTGGGACCAATGCAAGTACAACACTAAAGTGAACTTTATAAAATGCTTAGAAATCTCTTAATCCCAGGTGAAGCTACCATTCTAACCATACTTATTCAGATGTAATTACCACTGAAGAACTTCCTAGGACCTCAGTGTGGCTCAATTTAAGTATGGTTAGAATTGCAGCCTTAACAAATTTCAATGTATCAAGCAGAACTACATATACCCTGTGGGCTTTCACATGCATCATACTATATCCAGAACATATAAGCTTTCACAAGTGCATTTAATCTTGTAAGAAATTGATTCTTAGTCCATACATTGCCTCTCTAGTTCTCTTTCATCTAAGGACAAATGGACTGATAATATGCCTCATCCAGGGATGGACTTTGGTCTTTTAAATTTCAGCAGTGCCCTGTGAATGGTCAAAATTCGGTACCACTCTCTTTCACCTTCCATTCTGCTCAATTCACTATTTTATAGTAGTGACATCCTATAATGCCCCCAATGCAGCAGAACCAGTTGTATTGCCCTAAATTTGCCTCTGCCTCATCTGAACAACTTGTAAGCACCTTCCATATCTCTTCTGATTGCTCTAATTGCTGGAATAAGCAATCAGCACAACACAAATGTTGATTTTGATCGAAGTCTGGAATCAAGGAGCTCACTTTGCTCAGGAAAACAGGGAAACTAAATTAACATAGCCACTGAAGGTTACGCAAATGGCCAATATATCCACTACTGACTCAATTTAATAGGCACAGAATCCCCCAGCAGAGACAATGTGAACAATGCAACATACTCCTATTGCATGGTGGTGCATACACTAGATGGTTTTCAGACAACAGGTTATCATGCATGAATATATAGGCTGCAATCCTAAATATACTTTTGAGTAAGCTCCACTGGACACAGTAGGACTTACAAATAACATGTAGAACAGAGGTGGAGAACCTGTGGACTACAATTTGATCAGTCTCAGCCAGCACGGCTGATGGTCAAGGATGATAGTAGTTATAGTCAAGGAACATCTGGAAGGCCACCAGTTATCCACCCTGATGAAGAGTGGATTATGCTCTTAAACATCACTCTGATCTAGGAAGCTGTCTTATACTGAATCAGACCATTGGTCAATACAGCTCAGTATCCTCTATACTGACTGGGAGTGGGTTTCCAAGGTTTCATACTGGTGACATTCCCAGCCCTACTTGGAGATTCTGCATGCCAAGCAAATGCTCTACTAGTGAGCTTTGGAAACTTCATTAATAACTACGAAGTTAACTCATCAAGCACTTACAAAACTATTTGCCTTTTCCCCATTCAAGCATTTTAATGTCCTCTTTCGGTACTGTTTCTTGACAAAATTACAACACATCAGAGATTTTGCTATTTTACACCAAGGTCCATTCAAACTTTACTTAAGAGTGACTTTGAGTAAATCCTCCTATGTTCAGGGGCCACCTGACAAATAGATCACCATGCATTAAGAAGGGCAGCAACATTGTAGCAAGAGAGTGATTTGGTATTGGTTAAAATGATACAAAATACAAGATTTTTAAGCGTGTAGTATGCTTGATGGATACAAACTCAATAAGAGCAAGAAAGAAGACACAAATGCTATCTTTATTGAACAATCATAGTATCTAGTTCAGATTTATGAGCAGGACAAATCATTTTACCCAACGCATAATTATTTGCCTTGGTCATAAATCTGAACCACAAAACTGTATTAAGAAATACATCTGACATCTCCACTAAAAGAACCAGAACCCAGGCAAAGGAAATAAGATCGTGATCTTATGTATAATTACCAGGGAGTAAGTCCCACTGCAAGTCAGCTTTATCCTCCCAGAAACACAAGGCCCATTCATCTTTTGTCTCCCAAGTTTTGCCTCTTACTAAGTTTGCATGAGTTATATTTTAAAATTAAGGTCAGTTACTAAGGCCTTACTAGTTGCTCAGTTGACCACAACTTTGTTTCTAAAATAATAAGAAGAGGGTGGGCTGTGGATTTACAATGCCGGTACCATTCCCACCCTGTCCACTGAATTTTTGTTTGAAAAAACCTCTGTCCAGAATACCACCCAAGTAACACTGCATGTATATAGGTTTTCTGTTGTTTTGTTAATAGGACAGCCCTGGGTAAACAGACTCCGCTCCCTGTTCTCTGGTCCAGAGGAAGACAATCTAATCCCGTTTCCTTATCGCTCCTTAGCAAATATCCCAGAAATAAGCCCAAGAAACACAGGGAAAGGGGATAATTTCCCCACCTGTGCATGCGAGCCCCCTTCTCCCTCTCCAGTGCACCGACCCGGAGGCCCCGAGGAGGAAAACTACCTCAAGTCCTCATCCACAGGAGTAGATGCGTTTAATCTGTTGGGCAACCCGCCCCCCCTGGAAAAGTCTCGGGCATAAGCGCCCTGGTATGCGTGAGACAGATTTCACACATGCACCCAGACCCGCGCTTTCTGCGCACTCCCACCCACCCACGCAGAGGGCAGCAGCGCAGCCCGAAGGAGAGCCACCTCTCCCCGCACCTGACAGGAGTCGAGAGGGGCTCCGCATTTCGCCGGCAGGGATCCCCCGCTTCCCCGCACTGAAGTCACCGAGCAGGAATCTCCTCCACCAGCTCCGCTCTCCCGCTCCCCTCCCTCGCCACCTCCATCTCTGCCCTCCTCCCCAGCCTGACTGCGGAAGGGAAGCGCTCCCCCGGTCCCGTTCCTCACCGTTTCAGCAGGGCGGCGGCGGCGAGCGGGGGGGGGAGGTGCGGGGGGGTGACAGTGCGCTGCCCCCACAACGGCGCGCGGGATGGCAACACAAGCGACGCCCGGCGCGAGCAGCCCCCTATACCTGACCTACTTTCCGCCTGGCTTGCCACTGAACGTCGCACCACTAACCTACTTTCCAGCCAATGGCTTCTCCCCCCGCACCAAGCCCCGGCCCGCCTCCCGACCAATCGCGGGACAAAGCTACGCGGGCACGACGCCCAATGGGCAGCCGAGAGAGGCTTCGCGGTCCCGCCCTCCGCCCCGGCCGTCCAACCGGCGGCGTCGGCAGAAGAGAGAAACGCGACGGAACGGGGGATCAACGCTCTCGTTCCTCCCGCCTGTTTAAAGGGCTGTAACTTGTGAGGCGGCGGGGAAGCGAGGGGGGAGGAAGAGCGGAGGAGAAGAGGAGGAGGAGGAGCAAGGCTCCCCCGCCCCGCGCGCGCTCTTTCCTGCCGGCCTGTTGTTGCTCCTCTTAACGGTTGCGTAAGTGACTGTTTGGGACGGGTGGGACCCGGATGTCTCCCTGCTGTAGCGCCGAGCGCGGGCTCTAGCCTTCCCTGCGCGCGCGCGCGAGCGTCGCTATCGTCAGAGCGCTGTCGTCAGAGCTGGGCGGAGACAGCGGAGTCTGTTTTTCTTCTGAGGGATTTCGCTGCCTCTGCGCGTTTTCGCTCCTCGCGGGGAGGCCCCCCTCCCCCGGGAATGGCGCGCGGCTTCCCGCTCTCGGCGCCCTCTCGCGCCTGTGCCAAACGGCGGCCAAGGTTGCCCGCCACTTAGTGCCCGGCAGTTCACCCGAGCAGCCCCCGCTCATCTCGGGCTTCTGGTGCTGAAGCGTTATTGGCTTCCCGCTCCGCCTGAGGGATCGCCGGCACAAGTTAATGTTATGAACACGGAATACCCCCGTGGAAAAAAATTATTTGCTGATCGCAAAAAAAGCCTCCTTTGCGCTGCCTTGCGCAACTCCGCATCCAGGACCCTTTGCCTCTCCCGACGTGCGCTGGGAAAACGTCCCCATCCATCGCCCTCTGTTTCCATCTCGACAAATTCCAGAGGACGGCTTATTGCGGCAAACGCCCACACGAACTTCTTTGCGGTGCCATAAGAGACCGAACAGATGCATTGCGACTTCTGCCACAATGCATGCTCCTTAATTTAGTCATTTGTTTACATTCTTTGCATGGTTCCTTTTCTTTTTTCTTTCTTTCGCCAAGGCGGCTTACACTTGTGAAACACTAAAACCGACGAATGGTGCAAATGGTTCCTCTTTAGGAGCTGGTGGCACAAGCTCTCTGGCCTGGGCTTCCTCCCCTCTTCTGCCTTCTCTCAGGGCAGATGGGTCTTGAACAGTTCCAGGGTGGTGGGAAAGGGACTCAGCCATCAGTTCTCTTGGCCCTTGATTGTATTTTTTGATTATTTTTATAACTATTTTTATCTTCCTGTTAGCCAGAAGAAGCTTGCATGTCAGTGATATAAAAGACAGTCGCTGCCATCAAGCTTACAAACTAAAGGTTCACTATTAGTAGGATTACATTTAAAGCTGCTATACCGCTAACAAAAGCGGAGTTAAGGGATCATATATCTGATGAAATATCTCCACTGGTTCTCAGTTACTTTCTAAACTCAGTTCCAAGTGTTTTTGCTTCTTTTTAAAACCCCGCACAGATGCTTACTGGATACTTTCAATACCTTCGTTCATTGAAATCTTTAGCTGAGGCCTTTCTCCAGGTGTCCCGCTTTCTTAGTTTAATGTGTGACACCTTGAAATAGAGCCTTTCCAGTTGTGGCTTCCAGTATTTGGATCGTACTCCTCAGAGGAGTTCATCTGTTGCCCCCATTGCTGCTATTTCAGTGTCAGGAAAATACTCCCTCCCCCCTTTTCCCAAGCCTTTTACTTTTTTCTACCATTTAAGCAGAGTGTAGTATCCTGCTGTTCTTCAGTTTCTATCTGTCCTGCCATTTTTGTCCCCCACAATTCCACTGCAGCGTATCTCAGACTACATCACAACAATATGCTGCAAGATTCCCACAAAAATCATTGTGTGCTGCTACAATAGTAACTTCTCTCATCCCTACTGTGACCACCCCCTCATACTGCCACAGCTTCAACTCTGTAGTTGCCATGGCAACATCAACCTCCGCAAAGTGCCATAGAAGCACTGCTGTAATGCCATAGCAATGACATCATGCTGCCAGGGATGCTGCCCATCCTCGCCATCTTCACATGCCATAACATTAAACTGCCACTGAAGTATTTCAGAGTTTCACAAGGCACATAGGAACATCAGCATAACAAACACATTACTGCCCTTTGCACTTAAATTATCTGTGCATATTTTATACCAGCAGCTGCACCCCTATTTGCTCCACTTGCCCCCCTTTACCAAGCCTGTGGGGGGAAGCAGGGTACACTTGCCCTGGGCCTCAGAGGGCTAAGCTGACCATAGGCGGTGGGCACCAGGGCCCTGCTGAACTTCGGCTGTCATGGCAAGAACAAGACTCCTTCCCCAGGCTTCAGACAAGCTCTGCATGGGCTATTAATCTAGAGATTCCCCTTCCCACTCTGTGCAACTACTAAGATCAGTTTTCAGCTTCCCAACCCCATTTATGAAGCCGCTTCTCTCTCTGCAGTCCCATTTTGCACTAATTTTCACTTTTGCCCCATGCCCATGCCTATGCCCCTTCATTCCCCTCCATTTGTTCAATCTGCTCCCCAAACCACCCCCATGTGTTTTCAGTGTTTTCCAAACTCCCCTGCCTCCATGGACCACCTGAAATATGCCTAGGGTCTTGGAGGACCAACTTAACGATTTTTCTACCTGTTGTAGTAATTGTAGCAGACTGCACCGGAGGCTGTATGCTTTTTAATTATGTTTTTATTTCTTCTATTTCTTACAATTCAAAGTGTAATACAATAAAATACAATATAAAAAAAAAAACAAAAAAGCAACAAAAATTCAAATTAAAACCATGTTATGTGATGGATGGGCTATCTCCCATATTCAACAACAAATCTACAGACATGCTGTGAACCATCTGAATGGAGCTAACGGACCACAACTTGGGAAATATTGGTGTAGAGAACAGAAGCAACTAGCAATATGGATTCAACGGAACTTAAGCACTTATAATGAAAGCGCTAACTAGTAACACTCCTATTGAGAGTTGAGATGAATGGGATTTGAAATGGTTTAATATGCCTGGATTGTGCCCTTGGTGTTCTAAACTGCACCCATGAAAACCTATATCATTCCACCCAAGGGTGTATGCCTGATAATTGGTAAATACACAACATGGGAGCACCCTATATTTATTGTGTTTTTATGAAGGAGGACAGGAAGTACTTAGGGAAACATTCCAGGAACATTATTCATCTGTATTTGTGAATCAGACTGTAGTCAAGAAGGGAGTTCCCTAAGAGTGCTGAACAATCCTTTTGAACTTGATCTTAACTGCACAAGCAGCACAGTCATTCATCCTGGAAAACCAGGAAAGCCAGATAATGTGTTGTGGGCATGCTCAAGAAATAAACTACAGCCTTTTCAAAAGTTCTTTTACTATAAAACCTATTTTGCATAACACTAGTTACAACATTGTAGCTGACTCTCCTCATCTATCCATAATTCAGATGGTAGCCATTGTAGGCTCAACATAGGCCCAGTAGTAAACAATCAATGCAACTTAATCTTATCAGCCAATCTGCTGACTGGCATTTCAAGCTCCTGGTGATGTCTCCTTTTAGCATAGCAGCGGCAGAATCAAAGTAAATAACTTGCTTATGATGAATGCTGGCCGTCTTTTGGACTACAACTCCCATCAGTCATGTGGGTGGGGGAGGGACTGATAGGAGTTGTAGCCCAAAATGGATGAAGGACAGAGATGTGAAAAACTGCTCTAAAGGGAAGAGAGAACATGAAGTTTGCAGTTTTGTGAGTCAAGTGCTGTAGTAAAATTCATCTAAGTGTTCCCTGTTGCATATTTCCCCCCAGAGTGGCATAAATACAGAACTTTGCTTTTAACTTGTGTGAACTCACCTTTATAATTAAGGAACTTGACCTCTCGATTGAAATGTTGTTAAAGCCCTCAGTCGCCAATGACAACACCATAAGAAGAGCCTGCTGGATCAGGTCAGGGGTCCATCAAGTCCAGCCCCCTGTATTCACAGTGGCCAACCAGATGCCTGCGGAAATCCTGCAAGCAGGACCTGAGCACAAGAGCCCTCTTCCCTCTTGTGGTTTCCAGCAATTTGTATTCAGAAGCATTTCCAATTGAGACAACTGGTACTGTACACTGTATTTCAAATGCAGTTGCGCCATAGAGAATGCATAATGGCATTACAATGTTGATAGTTTTATTTTAAATTCCTTTCCTAGTGATCCCTAGCATGGGATTTGTCTTCTTCACAGCTGCAAGCACACTGAATTGATGTCTTCATTGAGCTATCTACTACAACCCCAAATAATCATTATGCTCAATAAATTTGTTTTTAAACGAGGCTGTATAACTCCTGATAAGATTCTCAGATACTTCTATAAGGCATTAGTTCTCCATTAATTGTAATCAATGTCCCCAAGCACAAGATTATATTTATACCACTGTCCTTTTTGTTTCACTGTGTGTTCATGCACTCTTCTTCTTCCTGCCTTCCCAGACACAAGGACCAGGGTGGCCGCCTGCATTATGTTCTTCTGTTCTTACACCGAAGTACCTTCCAGTTTCACTCCAGCAATGACTGTTGCCTAATTTCATATTCAGTTCTCCTGGGCTGTGCTCCACCCAGGCTCCTGCCCATATCTTCCTGTCCACATTGTCTACCTTACGGTCTGACTTCATGGTTTGATCCCTTGGCTCCACTGGCTCTTCTTGCTTCACCACTCTGCCTTTCTTGCTTGACTCATCTTGATTATCTTCTTAGATTCTTCCTCCTAAAACACAATCCTGATAAATGCTTCTGACATCTTTCCTCTCAATGACCATTGACTTACTGTGAACTTCGGGAATCCCATAAATTGCACAGTGCTCTTTAATGCACAGAATACCTGTTGCACATACACAACTTCTAAACATACTCCTACTCCTACATACTGCTGTTCTAATGGAACAGCCTTCTGTACGAACTTTCAAATGTTTAGTTAAAGCATTTTTATGCCACCCACCTTGTGCAGACAAGGAAGAAAGACTACTCTTCATGCCCAGCTCAGCTGGATCCCTAGGAAACAGGGTGTCTGAAGGGATCCAGTTATGGCAGTGGTTCCCCACCAGGGGCCCGGGGACCCCTGGGGGTCCATGGAATGCACCTGAGGGGACTCACTTATCTTTCTAATTGCACAGTGAAAGCCTTCCATAGATCATCCAGCCTCTGCTCACAAACAGCACCTGCTTGCTGGCAGGGGGAAAACTTGGGAAAGAGCTGCTGGATGGCAAGTGAGCTGGGATTAGGCACAAACCTCTGACACAGTTTCTTAGAGTTCTTGCGATTGGATGGGGCGAGTGGGGGGGAAGAGAGAGTGCGAACAGCTCACATGCTTATCATTATTTTTTTTAAGTGTAAGGGATTCCTTTCCCTTGCTCTCTACTTTTTGAAAAGAAACAGTTGCTTTCAACAGCTATCAAGTTGAGAGGACTCTCTCACTGTTTGTAGGTAGGGCTTTCAGTGAATCTTTCCTGATGAGTTTGGGATTCATGTCTCATCTTGGAAGTCCAACAGGGGAAATAGCTAAGCTAATTGCCGCTATGATTAGCACAACAGCTCACCCTCTGATGATTTAGTTTAGTGCTAGGGCTGGGCGAGATTTTCTTTTCAGCATTGTGGTATATCAGCAGCTAAACACCAGTATATGCTGATATATCATGATGTATGGAATTTATCTTGGCTGCTTTGTCCCATCTTTGGACAGTTCCAGCCCTGCACAGTGAGTGAGTCTTGATGCCTCTCAGGTTCATGTGCAAACTGAGGAGCATTGGGTCTTTGCTGAACTGCTCAGCCGGAGGATGGAAGAGGCCTTCCATCTCACCCCACCCCACCCCATCCCACCTGAACGAACCAGTGGCAGGCTGGGGCTCCATTAACTCCTTGACTGAGGGGAGCAGCAACCATAAACCCCTCAGTGAAGCAGTTTCATGTGAGCCGGTGGCAGGGCAGATCTCCATAAAACTGCTTGGCTTAGGCAAGGACAGCTACACGTTCCTCACCCAAGCAGTTTAAAGAAGCAGAGGGAGGGAGGAATAAACTGTATTGTGCCTCACCAATGCAGCTTGTTTCTCCCTCTGCCAGTATGAGGGCAGAGTGGGATGGCTTCACTCAGTGGTATATTGGTGAAACCACCGCCACTCCTGAGTCCCTCTGCTACCAGCGCCAGCTGGAGGGAGTAAAAAACAGTGGTGGCTTCACTCGCCATCGCAGTCTGCCCCTCTTACCAGTCATGCGCGATGCATCAATACATCATCCAGGCCTATTTTGTGCAAAGGTAGTCTGCATCGATGTTGTTTTGTTGTTTTCTGTGGGAAGCAAAGTGGCTACATTTGGGGGTGGGAGGAAACAGATGTACGGCAGAATCCTAATAAATTAAAAAGTTGGTTGTTCCTATTGGGTAATCAGCAAGAATAAAAACCTCACTCCAAGTAAGTACTGTATTTAACTAATAAATCTCTTTGAACCAGGGATTAAATTTGGGCACAGGAGGGCTGGCTAAATAAATAAATAAATAAAATAATAAATTACTACTACTATTACCAACATTACAAAATTCCAGCTGTTTTCTACTCCGTCTTCACCAATACTTCATTAAGCCCTGACCAAGCCTTCACCTATGTCTTGAAGGTGCAAGTTCCCTCAGTTAGCAGAATCATATGCTGCAAAGTTTTTGCTAAAGGTGTACCACCTCAGATTACAAGTAAGGAATAGCATGTTTGAATACTCTCACATATAAAAAGAAGAAGAAGAAGAAGAAGAAGAAGAAGAAGAAGAAGAGGAGGAGTTTGGATTTGATATCCCGCCTTTCACTCCCTTTAAGGAGTCTCAAAGCGGCTAACATTCTCCTTTCCCTTCCTCCCCACAACAAACACTCTGTGAGGTGAGTGGGGCTGAGAGACTTCAGAGAAGTGTGACTGGCCCAAGGTCACCCAGCAGCTGCATGTGGAGGAGCGGAGACGCGAACCCGGTTCCCCAGATTACGAGACTACAGCTCTTAACCACTACACCACACTGGCCTTCTGCGTATAGAACACTTGCAAGTTAGGGAAACAATTGCTTTTTAAAAATTCAGTTGTAGTGGAGCAATGGAGAGAAGTTCTCCCTACTGTCTGGGGATAGGCAATTTGTGGTAATATCCCAAATTTTATGGTCTGCTTTTTAGTATACCTTTGATTATTCGGATTCACCCCACATTTTCTTCAAAAAAATTGCTTTGCACAGGTAACTACCATAGAGTTATCAAAATTTTCAAAAGTAGGGGGTCCGTGGCTTGGCTTTCGAAAAATAGGGGTTCCTCAATAATTAGCTAATTGAGAACCACTGAATTATGGTATATAGCAATAGCACATGTCCCATTGCAAGCAATTATACAGACCCCAATATGTTAAGTGGTAATTTCAGTGGGCAGAATACAGAGCTTGATGCTGGAGGAATGACACAAGCATCCCTCCACAGGCAGAGACTAGGAGAGCAGTTTTGGGCTAAGCCGAGGAATACTTCTGCCCCATCCACACATCCACACAGTCACTAAGCATGGTGGGTCAGGGGTTTGCTTTGCAGCCTTATTTAAAAAGGAAAATTATGCTCCACTTTTCTTTCTAGAATAAACTCAATAGCATTTCAAAATCACAAAGGGAAAAAACAAACCAGGACACAATGAAACCAGTTCAAATTACTAAAACCAATGCTTTAAAATCAAGAAGAGGTCAAAAGCATTCAGCATTATAGCAGGGAGACAGGATTGTAACCTATACTAAAAGCTTGGTGAAATAAAAAAGTCTCAGCCCCTTGCCTGAAGCCTTTAAAAGAGAGAGGGGTCCCAAAAACCTCTCCCTTACATGGCAATTGTTCCAAGCAGGCACTTCTTAAAAGGGTGAAATCCAATCAGATATCTCGTTTCCTTACACCTTCACATTCACTAATAATTTTATTGTTTTCCCTCTTCGCATCCTTATTTTTATAGCTGCTGGGCTACTGTTAAGTTGTGCCATCTGCCAGCAGCAGATGGCATCCTAGCAAATAGAAACAATGAGAAGGAGCTCTTTACACATCAGCAAATTTGCTTTGGGGGGCAATTGATTTATCTCCGTCTCTTCCTTTTGAAAGCTAGTCTCCAGACTTCGGCTGTGTCTTGGACAGTTCCACTTAGCTTGCTAGATCAGACTCAAGCAAACCTTAGTCTTCCCCCTCCCCCAAGAATTCTGTAAGCATTGCAGAGACAGGGCTGTCTTAAGCATATCCAGCGCTGTGGTGCAAAGATCCTTCCGGCGCACCCGCCCCCCGTTTCCCAGAGTTGTCAACCTTTTTTAAGGGGGGGGACCCCAAAGTTGTTGACCTTTTTTGGGAGCTGACACCACGCTTATACGTTATCTCTAACAAGCCCTTTGACCAAAATGAAATGAAATGAAAGGGCAGAAGAAAATCTAATGAAGTCCTCAGTTCCAAAGCAAGACTCATTCAAGAC